TAGGTATGACTATCGACTTTTGCATTTATATCTCCTTTCACCGAATACGGTTTGTTTTCAATAATTAGTCTGCCGTTTAGCTTATTAGTTCGTCCTTGATTGAGCATCCTCAATCTAAGTTGCAATAGTAGACTGAAATGAAAATGCCCGGAATCCGGTCCGCTAGTTTTATATTAATCTTTAATAATTTTCATCAATCACCAATGTGATCCATTTGGTTAATATTTTGCTCTTTACAATTATAAAATAGTGACTGCAATGTTGACAAAACATACCAAAGAAGGTTGAGATGTTTCCTAGACATATTAGTTTTAAAATATTGCAATTTAGTTTTATTTATTTATATAGTTTCGCAATAAGCAATTTATTGCCCTGCAAAGGAAAACAGTAGCTTTAATTTTTTTTACAATACAGTGGACAAACGAAATGAATAGTGTTAAATGACTACTGCCGCCCATAAGTATCCGCAATACCAGAGGAATTGCTAGTATGCTGCCATCCTTTTTAAAAGGCATATGCTCTTTTCTTGAAGGTTAGATGTCATATCGATTCGGAAATACTGCTGCTGGAAGTTGATTTCAAAACATGGTTGTGCGTGGAAGAGAGTGCCTTAAAAATGCATGTTGGGGGACCACCACTCATTCAGATGGTTGGGATGGAGTTTTCGTTTGTAATAGGTTGTAAGATGGTAACAATGAGCAGTAGATTAAAATCTTTTGGAAGTTACTAAAAATAGTAGTATTTTATACAGATATTCTTCGCCACTAGCCATATTACCGAGTTGAAATCTAAATAAAACATAACCTTTTGACAGTATTTAAAATTAGTTCAGCTGGAGTATTAATATTTGAATTAGAAATTCTTTTAACCTGTCGTCAACTCCTGAGGAAAGAACATGTAAAATTTTAATCAATATCATACTGATTACGCTATTTAAGTGGGATTGTGTATTAATATTATATTTACTATTTTATACAAGCATAATCCGTTTCGAAAAATATCTAATTATTTTGTCAGTCTTAAACCATAATACGAAAACCAGAATGAAATACACTGACTGTTACTTAGATGATAATTAATTAGATAAATGAGTTTGACGATGGGGTAAATAAGTAGGAGGTAGATTGTTAAAATTTGAAAGGTCGAAATATAAAAACAAATCGATGATAGTCAGAGCCATTTGGTTGACTGTTACTTTTATAGTAAATATAATAACGAATGACGATTATATTTAGATAGATAGATAGATAACTTATTGGCATTACTTACAACGCACGAATTATAACATATATAGATATACATAAAAAGCGAGATAACATAAATGATTAAAAAAAAATACATAAAGCCAAGTACAATTTTTTCTTTTGTGCGTGTGCCATAACAATATTAGCAATATTTTATTAGATTCTTTAACTAAACTTTATCGTTGATGTGAAAACAATATTTAAAATAGATGAATGTGTACATTTAGATGTGTTCAATTTAATATTAAATAAAAAAAAAAATTAAGTCACTAGGCAATTATTTTTTGTCTTTGTCTCTAGATAATTAAACACATCTTAAATTTGTAAATATTATGTTTTGTAAAATATTTATAAATCCGGCAAAATATTTTTATATTACAAATTGATATTCCTTGAGTGTTTGACAATTCTTATAAAAAATTTTCACGATAACGTTATTTATTGAAATTGGTGTATGTATCTATGTAGTTTATCACTGATAGACTTAAAAATATTGTTGTATATTATTATGCAATGATCGTGTAGGTTTTTAAATGAGAATAAATTTCTTGATTTTTGCGTACATTATAAGATCGCTATCTAAAATATCATGCTTCGCCCCTTCATCAGACCATTTTTATCTTCGTTGTAACATCGATCATTTAGTTCACGGTCGGTTTGAGATTATTACTTTTAAACAAATGGGTGTTTTACAACTGAAATAGGTAATACCTGACGCTTAGTAATCTGACTGTTTATTAAGTAGTAGAGTTTCATATCGTTTCATAAAATATACTTTTGTGATAATTCTTTATTTTAATTGTGTTATTAAATGATATAGATCTTTATTAAGGACGTCAGTAATTAATTTGGCACGGACAAATTATGTATGTGAACTCGTTGAAAAGAATTTGTCGTACAGTGTTTGTTTTTTATTGATGGGTGAAAATGGTATGGTAACCCCGCCTGCGCTAACGGGAAACGCTGGCGGAGTACCAGTGAAGGGTGATAGATGAGAATGAAAACAGGCCAGTTAGTTCATCATGATCAATTCATCAGGAATTAACCGTAATAGTTTCCAGGGGGAACCGCGTGGAGGTCGACCTGGTTGGGTATATTGCTAACAATGGGATTCTCAGTCTACATTCCTAACAATCCCTTTTCGCCCTATGTCGTACAGGTTGTGTATGTGTGTGTGTCAAATCATATTCCACAAATGTGGTTTAATTTATTGTCTATGTCGTTTTATTTTCAATTACTATTCATAATTAATCTAACAAGGTTTTGTCAATAAAAATAATATGATTGATATTTTTTTTTAAAGTAATGGTTCTCTTGACCTTTAGATAAGGTTTTTTTTTAATGGGTGAGAATGGGATGGTAATTCTGCCTGCGCTATCTGTATACGCTGGCGGGCCACCAATGAGAGGTGATAAGTGAGGATGAAAGCAAGTCAGTTAAGCTTATCATTACAAATCTCACAATAATTAACCACGATGCTTTCCAGAGGGAACTGCATGGGAACGATTTGATAAAGTTATATTGCTAGCAATGTTAGACCCCATTACTAACGATCCCTTTCTCCTTGATAACAGTCGGCGGTGGACTGTCTCTTGATTAATCAACCGAATTTATGGATATACGAGTATGTTCATTGATGCCATAGTCTTACTTAAATTGTCAAGGACCCTCAAGAATTCGGGACTTACTTCTCAGGATTGAGTTAAACGTTTTTTTTAGGTTGATTAAGGTCATAAACAAATTTTCATTGTTTATTTTATATCTACCTTCTATAAACACATGTAAACTGGTATTTAGATCTCCTTACTAGCGCTAGCAATGATGAAAGATGGCTATCTTTCATCATTTGCCATCTTGAAATCAGTCTAAAAGTAAATATTTATCATACATGTATGTGACAATAACGTTAAACAAAATAGTTAATTATTGATATTTCATTCTCTATCTGTTTGTATACTTGACGTATTTATGCATTTATAAAATGGGAATATAAAAATTAAATAATTGAGCTGTAACACTGGGCACTGAGTATTGATTGTATCTATGCAATTAAGTATGACAGCGTTTTGCATTCATTTTATTGCATTTATTCACGAACAATCAAAAAATGTATTAGATACTAGAAATTTCACTTTATAACATAACCGCTAAGTTCCTTAATATTAAAGTGAATGTCCTTCATATCCACACTTATACTTTTGTCTTTTATGCGAAATGTAGACAAATAGAAAATATGTAAGTATTACATAGAGGTGAGTTGCGTCAATAGAGAAATTTATTTAATGACAAAGTGACAGCCGAAACGTTTAAATTCAGAACGCAATTAATCTATGCTATAGTCTCCTCCTCACATCTTTGATTTAGATCTATGAATTTAAAGATGTACAGTAAATCGTCGAATAAGTAGGTAAGTAGTTAAATAGAGACTTAGGCATGAGTTTCAGAAAAAGGATTGGTTGTAGAAGCCGCGGTGTATATTTGTGCTGGCGCAAGATTTGCGAATAAGGACAACTGTTACCTCAGTCCTCTCATATTACAAAATGGCGATGATAATAGATTTTTAATGAGTCTCGCTTACTAATGCCTTATAAGCCGTCTAATGATCTTAAAATGCGTCTACATTCTCAAGAATTAAAGGTAGAGTCATCTTCTATAAAACATTATATTTTGATTAGTAATATTTATAGTGTTTTATAGTAGAGAAAATAAAGTTACTGGAAGCTAAAATATTGTTCATATTATAAAGTAAATGTAATATATCTACTACATTACATTTATTCTATGGTTTAAAACCTCAACAATTTTTACTTTAATATCTTTATTTAGGACTTTAAGGTAAAAGTTTTTTAAAGTTTGACTAGGTTAAATGATAGATCTATTGGGCTTTCCACTACACCTACACCTCCTCTCCTCATTATTGTTTCTAGCTTGTTATTTAATATTAGTACCAAAGTTTTTTATTTATTATGTGAAATATCCTCTATCATTGCCAGCTGGAATACATATATACTAATCTCTAGATATTTAATGTAGGTATATAATATATGATAGGTATGATTATTGAATGAGTTAAATTAAATAGCAAATAATAATAAAAGTTTTAGTAAATATCATATTTGTTAAGCCATAAAAAAATATGATCATAGTAAACATGTTTCAATTCAGGTAGTAACTACTTAATTAAGTTTTATCGGTATGCTATATGAAATTCGTTAACAATCGATAATGTTGTGGTAAATGTACATAGGTGTGAATTCTATAAATATAATCGTATCAGACCTTTTTATCAAAAACAAAGCTATTCATAATAGCAGTGTTTGACACCAAATAGATAACCTACTGTTGTCTTATGCAACCGAGTTTATGCCGTATAATTATTATAGACCGATGTATGACAGTATTACTTACATAACTAAGCACAAATTTATTGTCTTTATTGAAAAAATCTAATTACTTATTTAATAACAAAACCTGAATCAACTTCTAATACGTAACATTAGTATGTAACATAAATGAAGTTTAAACTAAACCAATTAAAAATTAATTAAAATTTTACTTAATTTTTTAATAATTTTATTACAGTTATGTACGCTTTATATACATGTACTGAAAATAAATAGTACCAACCTATTTAAAATCCCCTGGACTAAATGTCTAAATGCACAATGCAGAGAGGATATGGAGAAATATAGTTGTCAGTTGAGTCAATTGAATAATAGCAAGTTAGAGGATGTCTCATATGCAAGTGTTACTCACGTAGGTGGTCTAACTAGATGGAACAGTTCCGTTGGTGATGTTGGTACTCGTCTGATAACCATTTTGCGTCCATCTGTGCAACCCATTCCAATCGATGCAAGTGAGCGTACAGATGGGGCTCCATAATTGGTACCGCTCTCTGAACCTTCAGGATATGAGTTGACTTCAGGTTTATCATAGGGACGCAGACATCGCGCGGAAGCTGCACCAGAAGCAGCACCCACATCGTGAATTCTATGTGTATCGGTGAAGCTCTTCACTTTTCGCATTTGCCCAGAGGGCGTCACTATCGGCGTTGGAGCGTTTAATCCAAGAAGTTTTGAATTTTCTCCAGCTTGATTGTTATAATGATCCACGTGGATTGCCACGCTGGGCGCGGCGGCTTCCGCCGAATCTTCGGCTTTGCTCATAATATCACGTCACAGGGTCATGACGCGGTGACTTATGTCGCGTGCGCCGCTCGCGACGCGCGACTCAGAATAATGAACAGAGGCGAACGAGTTACGCCTGTTTAGCTCGCCGACCGACTAGTTCGTCAATCGTACCAATTGGTAAACAAAGAGCGATTTTAGTGGGAGGAGGGGGGAGTGGGGATACATAGGGTAGAGTAGGGGACTGGGCATACGCGTTAACGCTGATGGCCGAGTTGTATAAGTACTGCGCCTGCGCTTGTTTCAGGGTTACAGTAATCATATTTTTATTCTAGAGCTAGAATATATCTAGTTTAGTAGTTGGTGTACAATTGAATGATTACCAATAATTTTTAAATAATTATATAGATTAAATATACAAGATAAAATAAAAAACGTAAACATCTTTTTAAGGAAGTGTGTTATCAGTGAAAATGAACATTTTCATTAAAGAAAGATAGTTGGAAAAGCAACACAGAAATTTTGTCGTTTTGGACTTTTAATTCACAATTATATAGTATGGATATATTTTTAGTTTTACGTACTGCTAATGATTTGGATTTCAAATTTGTTTAACTTTACTTACTATGTAACAAAAACGTGTTTTATATAATAAGGTATACTATTGTATTCAATGAATTGATATCAAAGTACTTTGATTACGTTGTCATAATATTATAGACAGGGAAGTACCTACTTCTGCAAGAGTACATAGAATTCGATAGATAGAAATCTACTTGTATTAAGTCTAAATTAACATTAATAAATTTGGTACCTATAATACTTTGTTATTACTGAAATTTTAAAAGTTATTTAATTGTAATTGTATTTATTAAATAATTATTTTTGATAAATGGGACTTATAATGCTCGGGAGTAATAATCACACCTATCCATAAGTTTATCCGTGATCATATGATCTGTGTCCCCATTCAATTGAACTGATGGAAGTAATAATTTAAAGTTTTATTCCACAAAAAAAAAACACAGAGTTCATTCGTGGCAATATCAGTTAGTTATTTTTATTTAAAATCTAAATTACTGAATGAATTTTGATAAAATTCCAGTGGGATCAATCTGAATGTGTATACTTTCAGATTAAGGAGATTTTTCCAAATTGGTTTATACTCGTAAATGCTGTAGTTCTGAGGTAACAAATTAAAAAAAAAATACAACCAAATTGAGATCATTCTCCTTTTTTGAAGCCGTTGAAAATCACTTGCTAGTACTTATTAGTTTTTATAATAACTAGGTATTCTTATATACCCTTTTTGTGGTTTTATTTATAAGCAATTACAAGAGGTGGTAGTTTTCAATTCTTATCTTTTTATATTACGCAATATCTTCATCAATGATAATTATTTTCGCAATCGATATAGTTCTTTACCGTTTTGATCGTAAATTACGAGAGACAGAGAGAGAGAGAGAGAATCACGTATAGACTGTATCAATAAAGGAGAAAGTATTGTCAGTAAGTGACGTTAGTCTCCAATATACATTGGCAGGTCGACCTTCATGGATTACTTCTGGAAATCGTGATTAATTCGGTACAATTACTCCATATGATGTAGATGAGAACTTAGCGTGGTGGCGAATAAAAATACAATTTCCAATTCTTTTTTATTCTTAGTGTGTATATTAATTACTAACTGTCCACATGAACGTAATATATTCATTCTCTATCCGATATAGTATCTTTATACCAAATTTCATACTTTTTGGTGAGACCATTAAAACACCAAGTTGTGTTAAACGTACAAACTCACTTAAATATTTATAATATTAGTAAGGTTGTATAATGTATAATTTGAATATAGCTCACCTGATATCTAAATTAACTAATAATATTATAAAGAGGAAAGAATTGTATTTTTGTGTGTATGTATGTTTGTAATGAATAAACTAAAAAACTACTTTGCCGATTTCAAAAATTCTTTTACCATTTATATACTATACTAGTTACATTCACCCTGAGTAACATAGGCTATATTAATTGCTAGAAAAGATTAGGGATCCTTACTAAAACTTTAGTAACGTAAATCAATAATTAGTCTATCATGTGGCAAAAAAGGGTCATTTTGCTTAAGTTTATAAAGTGGTCAACAACGTTATGCAGCTACTACTAACGAAACTCAATCAAGTGAGACATTATCTTGTATTCTATCAGCTACAAATTTGAGTAAAGCGATTGTACCTATCATACGGCTAGTTTTATAGATAAACGACTCATTTAAGAACTAAGAATTTACCCTTTTCAGTAGAAAATATCAAGCAGATAACATTTTCTTGTCCCGTTTGTGCTGAAATTAACCAAGATTCATAAAATCATCAGGGACTTTGATTAAAGCTACTATGTCATTTGAAAGAATCTTTTAAAAGGCCTTTATCTAGTAGAACACAAAATAAATATCTTTTAACCATAGTAGATGAATATTCTCGGTTCCCATTTGCCTTTCCGTGTCCAGATATGAGTACTGAAACAGTTAAAAGGGAATTAACTGAATTGTTCGTTATATTTTTATTACATCAGAATTAAAGGATTTTTTGAGTGGTTTAGAAGTAGCTACTAGTTATTCATCACCATATAATCCTCGTGGAAATGGACAAACAGAGCGTTATAATGGAATTATTTGGAAAACTATTCAACTTTCACTTGTTTATCTTAAATTGCCTATAAATGCGTGGGAATCAGTTACTACTCAAGCATTGCATAATATTCGCTCATTACTATGTACGAACATTGGTTGCACGCCCCATGAAAGGATCTTTTCACACCCCCGTATGTTATCCAATGGCCAATCAACCCCCACATGGTTAACGGAAGGCCAGATTGTGTTTATGAAAAATTTGGTAAGGAGAATTAAATATGATCCCTTAGTCGAAGAAGTAGAAGTAGTTAATATAAATCCACTTTATTCTCAAGTTCGTCTGTAGAATGGTCGGGAAACTACGGATCCCAACAGACACTTGGCTCCAGCTAACCTTCCGTTGTTAATTGAACCTGAAAGAGACCAGGCTGAAGAAAAAATACCTCCTGTTGAACATCTTTTGCGTGGCATGAATTTACGGGGTACAGGGGAATAATAGCTGAGTCCTCAGGAATGACAACGCATGGGAAGTATCATGGGCGAAACAGTATACTCTGTTATGTCCATGGTACTGCTCATGTCTATAGGCGACGGTTACCACTTGCCATCAGGTGGGCCGTCAGCTTGTTTGCCATTCTAAGTTGTATAAAAAAAAAAAAAAAATCCTCCTACTGAGACGGAGGTATTTGTTCGCCACTCTGTCAGAGATCGCCGTCCACCTGTTTGGCTTCAAGATTATCACACAGAAATTTAAGACTTAGGGGTGAATGTCGTGATGCCATTAAATATTAGAAGAATGTTTTAGAGAGATGTTTTCAATAAGAGAACTACCAGTAAGTCACTTTAAATTACGGTTAAAAAAATGGTTACTGGAATGCAATTTTTATTTAATAAATGATTTTTTAAAAAATTAAATGAATGTATGTAAATGTGTAATTCATTTGTATTGTATGACATTTGTTATATTATTGACTTGTTATGTATTTGTTTTTGTTTAGTTTGTATTTGTATTTGTTTAGTCTGCTACCATTAGTATGTGTGCGGCTGCCAATATTTATGGATTGATCCTACTAGGCTATTAATATACGTAAGCCACTAAATTATAATACTAAATTTGCATGCCTTTAGATAAGGCGAAATGTGTAGATCTATTATATTTAAGACCATTATTATTACCACATTTCTAGCAAATAAATAAATTATTATTATTATTATTATTAGTTATTAATTGTCATAGATTTTATATGTAAAACAACTATTAAGATTTTCAGTTTATAAAAAACCTATAATTCTGACGAATTATAGTTTCATTCTTATTAACTACTTAATATGAACATTACATGGCTTCCCTTCACGGCCTAGTCTTAAAGTTGCTTTCGCTAAAACACATAAATTTCCATTTCTGGTTTCTTTGGTCGCCCACATATTTTGGTCTTTTTAGCCGGCAATATTTGGCCTACATATATTATTTATAGTTCTTATATTATTATTTACCAAATTCGAAATTGACACGCATCTCTATTATTTCCTTTTAGCTTTTCTTCACGGCCTAGTTTTCAAGTTCCTTTCGCATATATTTTCAATTTCCATTTCTGGCTTCATTTGTTGTCCACAAGCACCTTGAATATCATGAAGTTTTTTTATACCATTAAGATGGTAAACAAGCAGTTACCATAGCCTATGAACGCCTGCAATCCCCGAGGCATTACTCGCGCATTGCCGACCTTGAAGAATCCTCTTTACTCCTTTTTTGAAGAACCACATGATGTAGTTTCTTGAAAAAACCTCGAAAGGGAGCAAATTCCGACAAAAAGTACATTAAAGACGCTAGTGTTATGCCTCTGTACCTTGTAATCTCACTACATTTAAAATCGAAACAGCCATATAAAGGCTGCTGCTTCAGTGACAGAGATATCCAAGCTGTCAATTTTTTGGACTGCATTGAGATGCAACTTAGAATGGCAAACAAGCTGACGGCTCACCTGACCTAAAGTGGTAATCGTCGCCTATAGACATGAGCAGTATCATGGATTAACAAAGTATACTGTTTCATCCAATATACCCCCTCATGTGTTGCTATTCCTGAGGACTAACTTCTCGTTTCTCTTGGTGGAACAAAATTGCTTGTTGCAGACCAATTTTTATTATAATCAACATGTAAATATGCAATTCCATGTTCTAAATTTAAATTTATTATCTATATATATTTTCTTGCGAAATAAAATATACTTGTAGCTAAATATTATAGTAGGTAATCAAGAACGACAGAAGTGTAAACTAATATACCAGTGTAGGCTGTTAACACTCATTCGTAATTTTTTTTTTTATACAACTTAGAATGGCAAACAAGCTGACGGCCCACCTGATGGAAAGTGGTAACCGTCACCTATAGGCATGAGCAGTACCATAGACATAACAGAGTATATTGTTTCGCCCATGATATCCCCCATGCGTTGCCATTCCTGAGGACTCAGGTGTTATTCCTCTGTACCCAGTAAATTACTCTATCGACAGCTATTTTAAAGGATTTTGCTGTTAGAGCGTGACCCGTTCTCCGGTGACGCATCTTATTAGAATTACAGAGATTTCTTTTACTTTGATTGGTACTAATTATATTGTCTTGTGCAATAATACTAATCACCGGAGAAATGACAGCCTATGATTTATTATCCTAAATTTAATTTAAAGTTGAATTTACGATAGAGTTAAAGAAAGCTTGAAATAAAATTCTATACCAATTCACCTAGAGGCAATTTTTTCTTTGTAGGGGCATTAAAGGATCTTATGACAATGAAAAATAAGAAGGAAGCTCTTTTAGGAAGCCAAGATAATAAAATATAGTTATAAGTGTGGTGATGATGGGGGCTTTGTTTGTCGTTGTAATGAGATTACAATTTATTAATTTCTTTTCAATTTTGAAAAATAAAAGACATGTTATTATTATTATTAATATTATTATTTTCTTACACTAGAATCAATATTCGTTTTACTTACATACAATTATGGTGATTTCGAATATTTATATTATGAATATCACAAAATTTAAAGGAGGCGACGATTCCACGTTAATATAAACAAAATTACAATATGATATTTTAAATAAACTAAGCAGGGCGTGGCGAGCGCATGCGAGGGAAAGCGCTCGCGGCGCCCTCGCCCACGGTCCTCCGGCGGCGCGCACAGAATGAGTCCTAGTGAGGAGAAGGAAGAGCCGACACCGCCCGGCGCCGGCGGAGGAGCGGGGCGCAAGACTAGCGAATCTCAGTAAGTTTAGCGCTGGAACAGCGGATTTGGAAAATCGGGCGGATGAGGTAACGGCGCAGGTGGTGGACGCGCTCGTCTCCACGCCACCAGCCAACACGCGACGGCGGCGGCTACGGCCACCAGTGCTAGGAGCGCTGTTAGTGCTAACGCGACGGCCAGCCCGGCGGCCGACACGCACACTTCGCCCGCGCCGCCTGCTCCTCCTGCTCCATCCGCGGAGCCGTCGCGCTGGCGCGCCACGCGCGATGGGTCACGCCGCTCCAGTGTCATAATCGGGTTTGACTCAACCGTCACCTCCTCTCGTAGCTGGCCCTCGTTACCCATAGATTGGGTGTTATACGGGTCGTTATCGATAGCTTCTCTCTTTCTTCGTTTTCCAAAAGCGTCATATCCGCGACAGTTTACCTATATAAAACAACAATTTGTGGTTTTAATTTCAATATGATTTACTTCTTTAGTTTTATTTTAGTGCACGTAAACTACATAGTTTATTGATACATATTAAAAAGAAGCATTTTGTATGGAGTGTGTACCTATGTTACAAGACATTTTCGCCAATTCTGAGTCGATTTTTATAATTCTTTTTACAATCTTTTTATTTCTACATTATGTACCTAGTTACAATAATTTCAAACTATTTCTACTTATTTATTTGCTTTTAAAAATTATATAATTTATCACACTTACCGGTTGACATTTTCCAAAGCATACACGTATGTTACATTGGAATCTAATGTTGTCACTGCTGGGGAATTTAAAAGCATTAAACGAGGCTCGTAAAGCGCTACCGTCTTCACTTCGTTCCCACTCGCCGAAAATGGCCGCATCAGTAGCGCATCCGTCGGCATCCGTTACTGTATGCTCATTTTCTGCTTTCGTTGATACTTCGCTTGTCTTTGCAATACAGCTACGCGCAAAGCCACCGTAAATACCTAAAAGTTTTATTTATAATTAAAATTGCATTTTCTTCCATTATTCTACATAATTAAGCTAAAACTGAGGCGTTATTTCTATTCCTGTTTATTCCTTTAATATTTTAAATTGGTAATTTCGCGAAATTACTGTTTTATATATCATCATAAACTAATAATAATTTTGACTTAAATGTATTACTAAATTAGTTTATATTAGACTATACAATAAATATTATGGCTGTAATATCAAATTCAAATTTTAATTTTAGACATACGTTTAGAGAAATGGTATCTAATCGACCCCATTACATTATACAGTGAGAATAACTAGTTAGTCGTAATCAAATTCAAACCCAGTGGTAGTATTATTTTTAAAGCTTGTGTTCAGTTTTATTCAATGTATATACATATAAATACGGGAGATTAAGACGAGTGCGAGGCGAGACTCTGTAACGCACAGCGTCAAACACCCCCTGAAGAAGACTTCCGAATGAAGTAAAAATAATTGTCGGAAACGACCAAAAAACACAGTGAGTTCATTAATCTCTAGTGACAGTATTTATGAAATTTCGAAATTTGAAAATCTTTTCTTCTACTTCTCATAGTAAATGGAACTGAATGAGTGTGTTTGAAAGTTTAAAAAATATTTTCATTTATTATTTTATACAAAAATACATTCATTTTATTTACGTGGTTAAGCGTGATGGTATTTAATTACATATGTAAATTCAAGTGCGAGAAGCCATGGCTTACAACCAATCTGGTTCTATTATAAAATGAAATATAGTTAGAAAGATAACGTTTTACTTACTAGATGGTTGAACGTCTACTTGCAGTATTAAGTTTTGACCAATTTCAGCAGAGCTGACCTGGTCACCAGTACGTGTTACAATCCTCATTGAACACGTGGGCGGTGGTCCAGTGTTCGCAATAGTTCCAGCAGTTGTTAGCATGGATACATTGAATGCAAGTGTAACATTCTTTTCGCCCGTTTGATAGATACACTTGATATGGAACGCTTTAGCGTTTGACGTTACCAGTTTCGGATGTTTCTGCATGACTAATACGAAGCTTGCTAAACCCTGTTGAAATGAAATAATATGATTAGATAATACAAGTAGATATATGGTTGTCGTTTGATTAAAATGTCAATCTAAGTAAAAGTAAGTAAAATAAGACATACGTTAATGTGTACGAGGCCACAGTCTCCAAAGTGCACGGTGAAATCGACGGGGCTCTCCTGATTCTCTGTGGTGTGTACTACACGGTGGCAGCGTTCATCTTTGCTGTAGCCTTTTACATATAATACTCCGTTGAAGTCCTTTATCTTCAAGCTCACACGCACTCCGTTTGCTAAGCAATGTACCTGGTCGACAATATCGAAGTGAATTGAACGTTATTAAATAAATATGTCCTATATAATACGAGTATTAATTAGATTGGGAAATTATTGTTTCGATTTTATCTGTAAGCTTTCTTAAGCCTATACAGTAAATTAAAAGCATATAGCTTTTGATTTACTGTGTAGGCACTTAGCTTTTACAAGAAAATGATTAACTTTCACATGCAAGTACTTTACACCAAACACACACACCCATACAAATAATCCAGCAAATGATCAATTTGCAATGCAAACATTTCCTTTAAAGACGCATATCATTTTAGAGAGCATACATGCCTGTTATATCAAAAGTGCCTCGGATAAAATCGAGGATGTACGAGTAAAATGGTATAACCTTTACTTTCTTGTTATATTTAAGTACTAATATACATGTAATATACAATATACACAGAGAGAGTTATAATTAATTGGCAGATACATATACTATAAGAACAAATTTTTAACTAATAAAAAAAAAGCAGTTTTTACCTGCATGTCTGGTAGAGGGAAATCCGTGCGATAACTAATATCTGGAGGTGTGCTGGAATTACATTGTACTTTAGGATTGCCAAAGTATCCGGGCTTGCAAGTACAGTGGGAGCGGTGGTCAGTGGCGTTGCAAATAGCTGATATGCCACAGGGCTCGGCAGCGCAAGCATCGACGCAGCCGCGGTTGAGGCAGCGCTCGTGATCGGCGCATTCGTCGTCCGCGGCGCAGCCTGCTTGCACGCACGAATCGCCACGCGCCGTGTACCCGCGAACAGTGTCGCACACGCAACGCCCACGGCTGTCCACTACGTAACCGTTTTCGTAGTGACACGGCACGCATTCACCTAACGTATCAACACCTTGGCCCTCTATGCATTTTGCTCTTGGAACTAAAAAATAAAATAAAAAAAGACTATAATAATTACCATTTTAATAAGCGTAAAAAAATTAACCTCATGATTATAATCGCAAATGTAGTAAATTCTGTGTATTACGCTATTAACCATAATGGAGCAGTTCTTAACATCCCTATACCTAGCCGAGCATATTAAAGTTCAAAATGGCAGAGGTTGAGCCCGCGAATCCCGATATTCAGATTAATTTTATTGGTTAAAGGTATTTTTAACAAAGAACTAAGAGAGAAGAGATATAGACTTGAAAAAATAATAACAGATTAGTCTATAATGAGATATTTTTTTTTATTGTCATCGTAGATGAATGTTGCAAATAATAAATTTAATATTATTAAGGAGAAAATGAGATTATTTTATATTATCAAAGAGTATTATTTTTATATTATCAAAAAATACTTACTTTTATTAGGTGTACATTCAATTAGAGCATTTCCTCTATATCCGGTTAAACATTCACATACCATCGTTCGGACTGGAAGTGTGTTGACGACCTTACATTCTGCGTTAATACCACAAGGCTTTGTCTCAAGGCAAGGGTCGACACATTTAGCGTTTAAACACGCAGTACCAGATGGACAGTCAATATCCGATATGCATTGGGGTTCTAGAGTTTTATTACAACCTGCGTCAGTGCTTTGATATCCCGGTGGGCACACACAATGTACTTCGTGTAGATGTACGCGACATTCTGCCGGTTCGTTGCATGTTTCTGTTGTACATGGATTGACGCATTTTGAATTCACACACGATTTGTCGGGTGGACATTCCGAGTCTACACGACAGCCAATTGGTGTACACGCGATCGATGGGTTTCCTATAGTGCCTATCTTACAACGACAGGATGCTCGATGATTTACGCCATAGCACTCGGCAGATTGTTCACATATATCAGGTTCAACGGAACAAGCTGGGACGCAACGACTATTAATGCAGCTTTCATCATCTGAACATTGTTGATCTGATCTGCATATTATTTCATAGCATCCAGTTCGTGCGTCACCTATAAATCCTGGTCTACACGCGCACACGGGTTTATGATCTTTAATTTGGCAATCAGTGTTCGGGCCACATTTACAGGGGTTGGTACAAATGGATGTTACGCAGGCATGGTTTGTATTACAATCGTTATCTAATTCACATTCGACGCTATTGATAGGTTCTGTCGGCCGACAGACTCCACCTCCACTACTGACATATCCCGGAGGACACGTGCACAGCATAGTGCGTACGGGCAGCGTGGATGATACATCGCAGCGCGCTGGAGTAGAACATGGTCGCAGAACTGTACATGGATTCACGCATTTAGATGATAAGCACGCTAATTTTGACGGACAATCGGCATCAACAGTACATTCAGATGTGATTTCTGGTTTACATTGTATATAAGGACTTCCGGTGAATCCTTGTTCACATTTACAAACGGCGAGATGGTTTCGCACAAGACAAATAGCGTTAATTCCACAGGTGTTTCCAGAGAGGCAAGGATCTATACATCTATGAGCACGGCATTGTTTATCTTGTGGGCAATCACCGTTAGATCTACACTCAATTGCATTACATCCAATAAAAGCATCACCCTCAAAACCAATGCGACAGCGACACAGTGGATTATTCCTTTCTACATAACATTCGGCGTTAGGTCCACAAGTACTATTCAAAAGACAAGGGCTAATACAATTACCATTAATACATGCTTCGCTCGATTCACATTCAGAGTTGGTACGACAACCCACTGTACGGCATGTGCGATATGGATCTCCATCATAGCCATCAAGACATGAGCAAACTGGACGGTGATTACGAATGAAACATTCAGCATTTTCTCCACAGTTACATGGATTACGACAAATTCTATTAACACAAGATTCTTGATCACTACAATCATCATCAGAAGAACAGCTAAGTGGTGGTAATTGCGCTGGTTTACATGAGCCATTTTCATCAGGGGTATATCCTTCTGGACAGCGACATATTAAAGTTCGGAATGGTACACTATCAGAAACAGAACAACGAGAATTGCCTTTACATGGTTTTAGTTCTATACAAGCTTCACGACATTTATCTCTTAAGCAAGCGTGTTTACTAGGACAGTCGCTATCGTATTGACATTCAATTTGTGTAATTGATGGCCTTCTTTCACAGTATGTTAAAGGATCTCCGAGAGGTAATGTTGAGGGGCATTTACAAGATGCTGCATGATTTCGTGCAAAGCATTCGGCATTGGGCGCACAAAGTCTTTGTCCTTCTGAAGAGCATGCATTGCGACATGTTCCTTTTACGCAAATGCTGTCATCATTGCAATCGTTATTTATTTGGCATTCTATATATTGGCATCTGGTGTAAGGATTTCCAGTAGTGCCCGCAGGGCAGCGACAGTTAGGACGATGAGCTTTGCCATAACATTCGGCACTGATAGCACAAGGAGCTTCTAAAATACATGGATTGATACAGGCACCATTGTAACAAGTATCGCTGTCAGTACATTCAGAATCTGAACTGCAGCCAACTGGAATTAAATAAAAACACGTTATAAAAATATTAATCTTTCTATTTTTGTATTCAAATCGGTTTGGAATTTTTAGTATTTTATAAACAAACCTTTAGTGCAACCGATGTATGGATTTCCAGAATATCCGGACTCACAGTAGCATACGGGGTGATGCCGCAGCACAGTACAGGAGGCGTGAGTGCCGCACGCACATGGATCCGCGCATGCGCCATTTATACATGCCTGCGATAGCGGGCAATCGGAATTTGCTTTGCAACCTACTAGTATTGCAGATCCATCCACAGCTGCAAATGTAATGTATTTTTTTTTAACATGTAACGTATTGTATTTACAGATTAAATAGAAAGAAAAAATCTTTAAAATTGATCGATTTACTGAATTATTTAAAAAAATAAATAAAAATAAATTGTACATTCACTGTATACTGTGTATTACATATTCGAATTACACGATATTGCGAGTCTCTTAGTAACTTCACCGACTGAGTTACTAAATGTGTATTTCAATGTATGGAATTTATTTATTATTATATGAGAAAGAATAAAGAAAAACTATTACTTACGCGCTGTACATTGTACAGTGGCGACGCCAGTGTATCCTCTTGGGCAGGAACATTGCGGTTTATGATCTATGACACGGCATAAAGCTCCGGGACCACACATATCGGCGCAGGGATTGATACAAAGGCGATTTATGCATGTACGCTCTGAATTGCATTCATCGTCACTGTAGCATTCCACAATAGATGGTTGTCTTGGTTCTAAAAAAACATTTAATGTATATTAAATTTTGATACAGTAAAAATTGATGATTTTTCATTAATTAATAAACAAATAATAAAACATTTGGTTAAATTTAATTAGTTTAAAGTTATAATTGTGTGTTTAAATAGTTCAAATTGTATTTGTATTTCAAATTTTATTTGTAATAGTTGTAGTTAAAAAACGCTCTAAACAACTTTGCTGAATTATTATAAAACAGCTTATTTAAAGTATATTTATATATAAAACGGCAAATATTATTTTGTTTCCTTCTACTGACGTATAGGGGTTCCTTTATTTTTTCTTATCGGAATAAAAACTATCTTATGTGATCGAAAATCATAGTAAGAGATTAAGATTTGAGAACATTAAAATATTTTTAGTTTGTTACTATTTCATGCTTGCATGTCTCAACATATTAGAGAGAAATTTGGCGCACTGGTAAGTTATATACTAATTTGACACAGGATGCTTCATATACTGAACCACGAGGGCAAAGCCACGAAAAACAGCTAGTCATATTATAATTACCTGTGTTACATTCAATTCTTGGATTTCCACTATATCCTGGAGGACAAGTGCAACGTGATGCGTGATCTATGGATTCACAGAGCGCATTATGTCCACATGGATCTGCTTTGCATGCGTCCACGCAACTTCCACGATGACATATTTGACTTATAAGGCATTCAGAGTCAGAAGAACATTCTGCTGAAGGTGGAGATCGGCAACTGCTATCCGGTGTAACGCGTCCACCATCGGGGCAAATGCAAGCTACTGCACGTAATGGTAATATATCGACAATTTTGCAGAGAAGGCCAACGTCGCATGGATTTACAGCACAAAGGTCTGTGCATCGTGAATTGACACATGCAAGTGGCGATGCGCAGTCGGCATCTATAGTACACTCACGAGTGACTTCTTTAGCGCAACCACGTAGATAGGGATCTCCAGAACGGCCCGGTGGGCAGGTGCACACGGGTTGATGATTTTGAGCTATGCAGGTAGCTCCAATGGCACAGTTGTTTTCTGAGCAAACAGGTTGGCAGACGCGATTGAGTCGGTTGCATATTTGCGAGTCATCACAATCTTCGTTATACTGGCATACAACTGATATGCAAGCACGATGAGGGTCACCCTGGGTTCCAGGCGGACAACGACATGTTGCAACATGAGCGACTGCTTCACAAGTTGCATCACGGCCACACGGGGATCCAAGAACGCATGGGTCCTGACAGTATCCATTAGCACAGCTCTTGTCAAATGGACAATTATCATCTGAAGTGCATTCAGCTAAAACAAAATAGTTATATTATGTAATCGATGTACAATATGTCAAGTTACAAGTAACTTAGAAAAAATATTTATATAATTTAGAGAAAGTATGCTTATATGCACATACGTGTATAACAATAACGTGCAGGATCGCCAGCGGTACCGGGTGGACAGTGGCAACGTGCGCGATGATACTGTGCATCACAGACCGCACCAGTGCCGCAAGCACCCTCACACGCTGACACGCAACGTCGTGCTACGCATGCTTCGGTTGTACCGCATTCGGAGTCCACTGTACATTCTATATTGGGTGTACCTATTGCGTAAAATATATGATTACTATCTTTGTTTTAATTATAAAACTTAATTTAGGTGTATTAGAATTTTTAAATTGCATAAAGATTATTATTGAAAACAATTTTAAAATTATCAAAAGATACTAACTAGGCGCTGTGCAGCCTTGACGTGGGTCGCCCTGTAAAGGAGGTATGCAGCGGCAGGTGGCGCTATGAGCCGTGGCTCGACACTCTGCGCCAACGCCGCACGCCAATGTTTCACACACGTTGATACATCGCTTGTTTTCGCACCGCTCTTCATCTCTACACTCTGAGTCTTCGTTGCATTCTCCTTCTATTAAATTGAGAGAGCTTAAGTTAATGGATATCTAAGCAGTTCAGTAAGTTATAAATTGCCATATTTACGCAGATATATGCTACTTTGGAATTAGATTATATTTTTTTCATTCTAACCTATACTATAATTATAACATAACAATATAATATAGATTAATACGACCAGATAAGTTATAAATAAAAATCTATGAAAGTAGTAACATAAGAACAAGTGTTTTTTCACTTATAAAATATAATACAGATTAATTGATAGTTTTATTACTTATTAAACAACGTTTCTACACTACATGTCTAAACGGGTACCCGATACCTAGATAACATTATCCTCATGATGCCGTGTAAAAACAGTATATTTACAAAGAAATTGTAATAAGTGCATTGTAAATAATAATATACACCAATAGTACAAAAAATTGTGCTGGAAAATATAAAAGTGTTTTTTACTTTGTGCATTTGTATTCCGGAGTCCAATAAAATCTGCAGATATGTATTCTATCTGAAATTCATATTAGACATTAATGGTATTAATGAAATTATTTAGGAAATTAATTCGCTATGATGTGTGTCACTTACTTGGATTACATTCTACAGCTGCATCTCCGGTAAGAGGATAAGGACATTCACAAACAAGTGTGCGGAATGGCAATGTGTTTGTCACGCGACATACAGCTCGGATTCCGCAAGACGTATTTTCGCAGGGGTTCTTGCAATTATTTTGCAAACATGCCAGATCGGGTCCGCACTCGGCGTCTGTTTGGCACTCTACTTGTTGGAATACTGTAAAAAGATTTACGTTTAGTCGTATTATGGACTGAATATTGGTAAAAATCTCAAAGCGAAGTTGTGATAAATATTATATGTCACAAACCTGGTAGACATTGAATTTTAGGATTGCCTTGAGTGCCGCGTGGGCATTCACAAATTGGTGTGTGACGCACTACAGTACAACGAGCTTCTTGGGCACACGCTCCAGGACAAGGATCTTGACACATAGCTTGTCTACAAGCCAGCCACGTTGGACAATCTTCGTCACCAGTACATTGATCCCTGCGGCAGGATGACCACGGATTTCCACCCGTCCCATTATCACATTCACAAGTTGCCGTATGTCCACGGGCAACACAGTGAGCATTAATACCACAGCGGATACGAGTACATACTTTAACGCATGATCCACTTTCACAGCTTTCATCATCGGGGCAATCATTATTGCTATGACATTGCACTGAAACATACATCATGATATGAAAAAATATGTAATAAATATAAAAAAAAAAACAAATACATTTTCGTTTTCTTTTTTTTTTTACCTGAATAACACCCTCTGTATGCATCTCCTTCATATCCAGGTAAGCATACGCATCGAGCTCTGTGTTCTCTGGCTAGACAACGTGCGTTAATTCCGCAATTTGTGGGTCCGCAAACTGGTGAACAACGGGAGTTGATACATGCCGAGTTGTCTTCACACTGGTCATCTCTAGTACATTCAGGCACAGGCGGAGCTGCAGTCGGAATGAGTACTCTTTCACAACGTACAAACGCAGAACCGGTATATCCGACAGGACATGAACAAACAGCACTGTGCCTTACACCAGTACATAGTGCATTAATTCCGCACGCGTTTACACAAGGATCTGAACATTTTCTGTTAATACAAGATCGGTCTCCTGGACAATCATCGTTAACTATACATTCTGGGTATGTGCAAGAGCCATCGCGGCACGTCCCACGTGGGCCACAAGGATTAGGATCGCACGGATCGTACGTTGTTTGTGCTGGTTCTAAAAATAATACAAAAAGGTAAATATCTTATTTCTTTTTTATTGATACAAGAACTGTCTTGAAATTAATGTTTAATTTTAAATTTCTGTACTAACCTTCTGGGCGGCATTGGAAGAAAGGATCTCCTGTTGTCGATGGTGGACAAGAGCATATGGGTGCGTGATCGAAGACGCGACATAGTGCTCCATTTCCACACGCGCCCAAGCATGGATCGACACATTTGTTGCGAACACATGCGCGGTCGCGTGCACATTCAGAACTAACAATACACTCGGGTCGGCAGCCCGTGGAGGCCGCATCACCACTGGTGCCGATAGGACATGAGCATACGGCACTGCTACCAACAACATTGCATAGTGCACCTGGCCCACATGGAGATGGTGTACATGGAGGTGCTGTAATTTAAGGTGAATTATTTTCTATATCGTTTATTATAATAATAATATCATGTTGCAAAGAAAACAATGTATTTAGGCGCACTTATCCCTTGAAAATATTTCTTCCAGTCAACCTTAAGAACCCGAAAAGAGAAAGTATTCTTTAGGATTTTTATAGAGAAGGTAACATACATGGAGCACAAATAATCAATTATAATTATTTAATTCGTTATTATTTTACTTTTGTCGATTATTTATTAATCATAAAACTAGCTAAACCCCGCGGCTTTGCCTACGTGAATCGTAAAGTATTCTATGTGTTAAAATAGGGATATAACCCATCCATGTACCAAATTTCATTCAAATCCTCTCAGTTGTTTAGGCACGATAGAGTAACAAATATCCAAACATTTAAACATCTAATATTTATAAATTTTCACATATAAATGTGAAAATTATATTTAATTAGATTAGAAGAATAGGACGAAATCCTTTACTTACGAGTCATAATGATGTCGCACTTTTCAAATGCATTGCCTTTAGTACCAGGGGGACAAGAGCACAATGGTATATGATTGACTGTTTCGCATTCAGCACCAATACCACAAGTTCCTTGGCATGGGTCTCTGCAGTGTGATCGTATACAAGCTTGTGTTGGTGAACAGTCAGAATCAGAAAGACATTCTGGTCGGCAACCAGTATATGGATCACCGAGCAAACCAGGTTCACATTCGCAAGAAGCGCCAGCTCCTTTTGTACGACATATTGCACCAGGACCGCACGGTGATGGGTTGCATGGATTTGGCGGTATAGCTGTAAAATCAAGTAACCATTATGATTATATTTTTTAAATTATAATGCAGCAAATGCAGTAAGCGCTTTTCTTGAAGCGTTCAGTAACATCACATCTCCAGATAAACGGTTAATCTAGTTTCGCAAATAAAACCCATGCCTAAGTTTTAAAAGCGAAAACATAGAGTTGCCGTTTATAGGATGATTTACGCAGTTTAGATCATATTTCGTTTGTAAGTATTACTAGCAAGATAATTTACTGAATTTCGACACTAAAAGCAATCTTCCATGTGAGCCTGTCTTACGGATGTTCTCGAAGGGACGACATTGAATGAGAGGATTCCCTGTAGTGCCTTGGGGACAATTGCAACGCGGTTCGTGTGCTATCGGTGAACACTCCGCTCCGCTGCCGCAAGCACCAGGACACGGATCCACACAACGTTTATTGACACAAGTGAGATGCCAGTCACAGTCGCTAGAACTGAGACACTCGTATTGACAAAAAGGTGGTTCCCCGAAGAACTGAGTTCGACAGCGACATTGGTTATCAACACAATCAGCATTCGGACCGCAGTTCTGGCACGTTGGTATCTTCGGCTCAGCTTCAATAGCTGTTGAGAATAATAAAATATAAAATTTTAAATATTTGTAAATATAAATATTACTATTACTTGTTTACATAATAAGCTTTATATTAGGTACCTGGCAAACAACGAATGAATGGATCACCAACGAAATTAGATGGGCAAGTGCAAATTGGAGAGTGCGATCGAACATGACATATAGCATGTGCCCCACAGCTACCGGGACATGGATCTTGACATTTGTTGTTGCGGCAAGCACGGTTAGGGGGACACTCGGAGTTGGCACGGCACTCAGGTCGACAGCCGGGTGGGCCACGGTTGGTGGCAGGCTGGCAAGAACAGTGTGCCACGGTACCTGCCGCGCGGCATACGCTGTTGGGCCCACATGGATTTGGTGTGCAAGGATCCTCTGATACAACAGGCACTGTAAATAGCGATGCTGTTTTTAAGTACATATTTTAATATTTGTTTAACAAAAACAATTAACAGGAACTATGATAGTGCATACCTGCAGCGCGACAAGACAAGAAAGGATCTCCTTGTAAAGGTACTGGACATTCACAAATAGCTATGTGGTTATAAACGTTGCATATTGCGCCAATGCCACACGCTTTATTACAAGGGTCTTTGCATTTATAATTAACACAGGCCATTTGTTTTGAACAATCATTATCCGTTGTGCATTCCGGTCGGCACTCGATGATAGGATTTCCGTGGTATCCAGTAATGCATGAACATGTTCCGTTATCACAAACTGCATTAATACCACAAGGGTAATGTGCACACAGATCTACGGGCTTTACAGGTTCTGTACAAAATATATATATATTTATTTAAACAGTAGGTAATTAAACAAAATAATAATATTTTTATAAATAATATAATTACCATAATCCATGTAACAGCCTTCAAAGGAATTGCCACGGTAGCCAGATAAACAAGTACATATTGCAAGGTGGTTCATCGGTCGACACTCTGTGTTAGCTCCACAGGATCCAATACAAGGATCAACACATTTCTCTCTGACGCAAGCTTTATCATTAGAACAGTCCTCGTTAATGGTACATTCGGGAGCGCAGCGTGGTGGAGCTCCAACATAACCCGGATTACAGCTACAAATGGCCGAACCACCATGGTCTCTACACGTTGAATATGGACCGCATGGATTAGGTTCACAGGGCGAGGGTACCGGTGGAGTCATTGAAATCTCCTTAATACATCTGATAAACGGATCACCTTCAAAGTTGGGTAAACAAGTACAATAGGGACTATGATGATGAACCCGGCATTGTGCGTTTTCCCCGCACATTCCAATACAGGGATCTACACATTTCTGTTTGATACAAGCCTTATTAAGTGGACACTCGGAACTTGTGAGACATTCTGGACGACAATTAGGTGGTGCACCAATATATTCTGGTTCACATGTACAAATTGCTTTATCGTTAACAGTTTTGCAGATACTATACGGTCCACAGGGCGATGGATTGCATGGTTCAGTTGGTTTTTCTAAAATAAATATATTTTACAGTTTAGTTAATTTTATTCTATTGTATATTATATTGCAACTAAGAGTTAAAATTTTTATCCACTAAAAGCACTTCAATTGCGATGAAATTTAAATGGACGTTGATTCAATAAATGTTTCATCGCAATTAAAATCTTGTCAACTGTGAATGAAAAAATAAAAGTTTTATTACCTTCTCTATAAGTACAAATACGATATGGATTACCCACATATCCAAATTTACAAATACATTGCGCTAGATGATTCACAATTTGACATTGAGCATTGGTACCACATAATCCCGGACATGGGTCTTGGCATTTATTATTAATGCAAGCCAAATTTGCCGCACAGTCAGAATTGAGGAGACATTCTGGTCTACAACCCTCATAAGGATTGCCGAAGTATCCATTTACGCAAGTACAACTACCAATATTATTGCGTTCCTGGCAGATAGCGTTTGGTCCACATGGATTTGGCAAGCATGGTTTTACTTGATCAACTGGTTTAACAGCTAGAAAAAATGTACACAAATCAATCAATCAATAATTTAATTGCATAAACATAGTTATATTATTAAATTGGATTTTGTATAAAATGCTGTTCATGGGCATACATATTACTAACAATTAAAAAAATTTAACATATTATTAAAAATCACAAAAAAATTGCCTGTTTGTACTAATGTGTCATTAAAAAAATATTAATTTATAATAACACTTAATAGGATTTTGAAATATACTAATATGACATAGGAAGCATTAGTAAGTAGGTACTAGTCTTACCGGCAATAGGTGTGCACGAATCAAAAGCGTCTCCTTCATATCCTTGGTTACAGACACATTGTGGTGAATGACTAATAACTCTACATTCGGCATTGCGACCGCAAGCTCCGAGACATGGGTCTGCACACTTGTTGTTTATACATGCTTTGTCGAAACTACACTCACTGTTCGTGACGCATTCAGGGCGACAATATGGTGGATTTCCAATAAAGCCAGTTGAACATGAGCAGGATGGAGATTCGTTAATTGCTCGACAAATTGAATTTGATCCACATGGTGATGGGTTACATGGAGTTGGCTTAACAGGTGGTTGATCTAAATTACAGGATTCAAAAAAATGTGTATTAATGAATATAACATGTAAAAAATATATCATAAAAACAAAAGAAGCTATATAGCTATAAGCTTGTCCTTTTTGATTGTAGAAACGTTTTTTTAAATACTCATATACACAGCAATCATAATTATGAGTATTCATAAAATATGTAATTACCTTGATTGACTATTCTGCACTGAGTGAACGGATCTCCTGTAAATCCATTTCGACAATAACAAATTGGTCTGTGGTTGTGAACTTTGCATTCAGCGTTCAATCCGCATGATCCACGGCATGGGTCTATACATTTTTGATTGGAACACGACATCGTACTTGTGCAATCAGAGTTTATCAAACATTCGGGTCTGCATGACGGCGGCACACCCATATATCCAATCAAACATGAACAGACCGCTTGGTCATTTAAAGTTCGACATACACTATATGGTCCGCAAGGAGACGGTTGACATGGATTTTTCTTTTCTAACTTAACTGTAAAAAAAAAGATACAATATTTATTTATCTATAGTAATATTAATATGAATACTAAATACAATAGCAATTTTAGAATTTCATACCAGTTATCGGAGTACAAGCGAAGAATGCGCTTCCTGTAGTATTTGGAGGACAACTACACACGGGAATATGATTATAAACATCACATTGTGCACCTTGACCACATAAGTTTACGCACGGATTGATACATTTGTTATTTATGCATGCCAAATTTGGAGCACAGTCAGCATTTTGTGTGCATTCTGGTCGACAGCTTAAGTAAGGATTTCCGAAATAATTAGGTCTACATGTACATTTTCCGTCATTACAGTCCGCATTTGATCCGCACGGAGTCGGATTGCACTTATCATATACACTAGGTAAAGGTTCTGAAAACATTAATTAATTACTTAAAATCCTTAAATAAATTTGTTTATATAAACTTTAAAAATATATTTATAATAAATAAATGTACCTATATTTTCAAGGGGGTGACAACTAACAAACGGATTTCCGGTATATCCTTCTTTACAACTGCAAATGGCAGAATGTTGATAAACTTGACATTCTGTTTGGATTCCACAAGAACCAGGACAAGGGTCTTGACACTTTTGATTTACACAAGCCATAATACTTGGACAGTCTGAATTGATAGTACACTCTGCTCTACAGTTTGGTGGTGATCCGACATAGTTACTCATACATGAGCATACAGGAATTTTATTGGTTACTTGACACAGAGCATTTGGTCCACATGGCGATGGCAGACATGGGTTCTGTTCAGGTGCTGGTGATGTAACTATAAGCAAATACACATTATTAGGAAGTAATTTTGGGATGAGCAAGTGGGTTTCGATTGGTTAATTTTTTTCTGCCAAAAAAAAATAACTTTAATTGTGTGAAAACACATTGATGTATGATGAGATATTTCGTAGACATCTTAGATTAAAAATATTTTAATTTAGATTTAGAAATCGTGTACCTAAGTTTTTTGATGTTTCAGATTATTTCAAAAATACTCTGCTAGCGAATTAAAATGTTAATCATATAATAATATTCTTATTAAACTGTCACTGAATATTTGGTTTGATGGTAAAAATATATATGAAAAATTCCGAAGTAAAATATAAAGTAGGTTTAAAGTGTAATGGTAAATTTATATGCAATGACTACTATTTTAGTTCGCTAGCAAAGCACTTTTAAATAATTTAAATTGTTTTTGAAAATTAACAGATAATTGTACCATTGTCACACTTTGATAAGCAAAAGTTACGAATGCTTTTAATATGGGATTATGTTGTCAATATCGGTTCAGTGTTGTCGACGTAATCGTATAATATATATAACAGCAAAAAAGATACAGATCAATTGACGACGTTCTCCTTTTGGAATTATTTACCTTTTATTATGGCGCATCTTATAAAAGGATCTCCATCAAAACCTTGTCGGCATGTACAAATTGGCGCGTGATTTACTACTCTGCATTCAGCATTCTGTCCGCAGGCGTCTGTACATGGATTGATGCATTTCTGTCTTACACAACTGGTTGTGGCTGTACACTCTGCATTAATAGTACACTCAGGACGACAATTTGGAGGAGATCCGTAAAACTCGGGCATACATGAACATGTTGCTAAGCCATTATTATCTTTACAGACGGTATTGATTCCACACGGGTTTGGTATACATGGGTTTCCTGCTGGAGGTACTGCAAAAAAAAAAAATTAGTTGAAGTGGCAATAGACTGGCCATATAGTTCGAGCAACCGATGACCGATGACAAATTTCATAAAAAATAGCTTTCTGTATTCATAAAAGAAATGTGGGGCGGAATTTCCATAATAAATGACAATGAATTTTAGAAGCAATTTTCTTAATGATTTCAATCCATAAAAATTAAGAACTTAGATTATAAGTTAAAGATGTTCTGATAAAAGAAGATAAGTCAATGTATTGTAAATATATAAAAAAAAATCCTTATTTTAACTTAGGTTCAGCTTATGGAAAATGTTTCTGGGGATTACTATTGTTATTTAGCTTATACTCGATTAAATTATATAGGGTCTAAAAAGAACTGTACTTACCATTATCATTTATAAGTATATGACAGTATTGGTATGGATTTCCTGTATAACCAGGGGCACAGTTACAGGTCGGTACGTGATTGATTACTTGACAAATTGCTGTTGAGCCGCATACTCCTGGGCAGGGATCTTCACAACGATTTTTTCGACAAGCTTTATTAAATGGACAATCAGTATTGACGACACATTCTGGTCTACAATTTTCATACGGATTTCCAAAGTAATCAGGTTCACATATGCAAGCTGCAGCTCCATTTGTTGATACTTTACAACGTGCATTTGAGCCACATGGAGTAGGGTTACATGGATCTATAGACTCGGTAGCTATGGGTTTAGGATAGCATGATGTAAATGGATCGCCTGTATAACCATTTTGGCAAGAACACATGGGACTATGTAGATGCACTGCGCATATTGTATTTATTCCACAAGAGCCGGGGCAAGGATCTGAGCATTTATAGTTGATACACGCTTTGTTTGAAGGGCATTCATCATTTGAAGAACATTCTCGGCGACAATGTGGGGGAATACCCTCAAAAGTTGGTTGACAAACGCAATTATGTGACTTTTTATCAGGAGTTACGGTGCAAACGCTATTTAGACCACACGGCGAGGGTACACATGGATTAATTGCTGGTTCATCCAAACGTTGAACTGTAAATATTTTTTTTTTTATTAAAATTGTACAAATTAATGTATTCAAAAATAAGTTATTACAAAGTCTAATGATAATATTTACCGTAACAGTGATTGAATGGTGATCCAGTATATCTCTCCGGGCAGGTACATATTGGATTATGATTTTTAACATCACATAAAGCATTATGCCCACAAGAGCCAGGACACGGATCCTGACATTTACGATTTATGCAAGCTAGATTTGGAGAGCAATCTGTGCTTTGAATGCATTCTGGACGGCAATTAGGAGGATTTCCTATAAAACCTTGTATACAAGCACATACAGCTTGACCATTTGCTTCCCGGCATACGCTATTGGGTCCACATGGAGATGGTTCACATGGTTTAGTAACAGGTTCTGTAATATAAATAAATTAATTTTAAATATTATCTATTTCTTAGATCAATAGGTTATGTAATATTTTTTAAAGTACATACTTTCTATCTTGGTGCACTCTACAAAAGGACTTCCTGTTGTACCACTTGGACAACTACATACTGCAACGTGGTTATAAACATTGCATTCCGCGTTTATGCCGCACATATTACGACATGGATCAATACATTTTAATTGTAAGCAAGCCTTATCTAGAGGACAATCAGAGCTTAACACACATTCAGGTCGACATTCGAAATATGGATCGCCTTGATATTCAGGCAAGCATGTACAGACACCGTTATTACACTTTGCGTTAGGGCCACACGGTGATGGATTGCATGGGTCTGCTTCTTGAGGACGTTCTGTAAAATAAATGTAAATATTATATATATATATATATATATATATATATATATATATATATATATATATATATATATATATATATATATAATTCAAAAACAATAAAAACCATATTTAGTAAACTTTATTATACCTGATGGTTTAATAACACATGACGAAAATGGGTCGCCTTGATATCCAACTAGACACGAACATACTGGTACATGATTAATAACATTGCAAATAGCATTTACTCCACATGACCCCAAACAAGGATCTTGACATTTCATGTTTATACAAGCTTTATTATTGCTGCAGTCTGTATTTATAACACATTCTGGTTTACAATTAGGTGGGCTACCAAAGAAGCCAATCATACATGTACAAGAAGGTATTCTTCCTATATCTCGACATTCTGCATTTAGCCCACATGGGGAAGGAACACATGGATTAACAAATTCCTCAACTGAATTTTGAGGCTTTGGCAATATATAACAAATAGTAAATGGATCTCCAGTATAACCTTGTCTACATGTACATATAGGATTATGGTTGATCATTTTACAGTCTGTATTCACACCACAGGCTTTGGGACAAGGAGAAATACATTTCAAATTTTCGCAGACTTTATCCAATGAACATTCAGAGCTAGTAATACATTCCGGGCGACACATTGGTGGTGAACCTTGATATCCATTTGAACAGGTACATATAGCTAAACCATTCTGAGATTTGCAAACACTGTAAGGTCCGCACGGGGAAGGATTGCAAGGATCCGATGGCTCCACTGTAAAAAAATAAAGAATGTTTTATTATTAATTTTATACGTATACTAGCTGACCCCGTAAACGTTGTTTTACCACTTATTGCGAAATATAATAATCGCGATTAAAATACAGGGGTTGATCGTAAAACGATGAAAATTTAAAGTTGTATGTATTTTTCAATCCTAAATCATATTTAAATAAAAATAAAAAAAATTGTCTAAAAAGTAAAAAAAAATAATTTTGGGGTGGGTCACCCTTATCATTGAGGGGTATAAAAAAAGATGTTGGCCGATTCTCAGACCTACCGAATATGCACACAAAATTTCATGAAAATCGGTAAAGCCGTTTCGGAGGAGTTTGGTAACAAACACCGTGACACGAGAATTTTATATATTAGATATTATTATTATTATATTTATTACTTTTACATCAAAAGTACTTACTCTGAATTTTGATTGTACATATCTTATAGGGATCACCATAATATTGTTCGAGACATGTACATGTTGGAATATGATTTATAACATTACACAAAGCGTTTATACCACAGGTACCAGGACAAGGATCATTACATTTGTTTTGCATACATGCCAGATTTGAAGGACAATCAGAACTAAGAATACATTCTGGTTTGCAAGCTTCATAAGGATTTCCAAAGTATCCTGGTAAACATGTACAGGATCCAACATTATTTTGCTCTCTACATTCGGCATTGACTCCACATGGTGACGGTACACAAGGAGTAGGACGTTCTTCTATCGTGGCAGCTATTTCAGGATTACAGGAATAGAAAGGATCGCCTGTGAATCCGTTTTGACACAAACAAATAGGTGTATGACTCACAACTCGACATTCTGCGTTCATGCCACAAGAACCGGGGCATGGATCTCTACACTTTCTATTTAAACAAGCCGTGTTTGACGGGCAATCTGTGTTACTAGTACATTCAGGTCGACAGTTGGGTGGAAAACCAATGAACTCTGGCAAGCATCGACAATCAGCAAACTCGCCATTTTCAGAGCATTGCGAATTAGGTCCACATGGTGAAGGTAAGCAAGGGTTGACTTTTACTGGCGGTGTAGCAGCTATAAAAAATATACATAATTAAAATATTACTAACAGATCCATTGTACAATATTGTATTGTAAAATATAATATATTTGTTATTACTTACGTATTAATTGACACACTGAAAACGGATCCCCAGAGTAGCCTGACAAGCAGGTACAAACTGGATTGTGATTTACTACTATACACTGCGTGTTGCGTCCACAAGCTCCAGGACATGGGTCTATGCATTTTTGATTAGAGCAAGCTCGGTTAAGGTTACAGTCGGAGCTTACAGCGCATTCGGGTCGGCAATTTGGAGGACTACCGCTGAAACCTTGGACACAGACACATACAGCATGTCCTGATATATCTCTGCACTGACTATAAGGTCCACATGGAGAAGGTTCACATAAGTTGATTGGTAGCGATATGTCTGAAATTCCATGATAAATATTACTTTACATTAGTAAATCTATTAGGTACTAAACGTAGGTAACTGTCATATTTTAAAACCATCAGTTTAAATATCTATTAAAATAGAATTTAAAACGCGGACATAATAATATGTTTAATATAAATACAATACAATTATTGTAATTGTAATATTAGTTTAGATCTAATCTGGATATTTCAGCATCTGGGCATCAACAATCTTTACTAATATTATTACTGTGAAAGTAAGTTTGTTTGTTTGTTTCATTTTAGTGTTTTAACGGTTTAATCAGTTGCTATGAAATTTGGTTTACAAGTACTCTATCTATATACTGGCAAACCCCCTCTTTATGAGGGAAGCCTATGTTCACTATTGAATAGTCAACGATTATATTAAATTATATATATATATATATTGTAATAAAAAAGAACATAGGTTCCTTTTTATTCTGGCCAATGAATACACCCTGGTTACGTGACCAAAGTCGCGGGTAAAAGCTAATACAATTAATTATAAATAATCACCTGAGTTTATTTTAGAGCAATAAGAAAATGGAGATCCAGTGGTTCCTAGCGGACATGAACACATGGGTATGTGATTAATAGTTTCACATATAGCATCAGTTCCACATGTTCCGATACAAGGATCTGCACATTTGTATTTTATGCAGGATTTATCTCGTGGACAATCGGAATTCAGGATGCATTCAGGTTTACATCCAATATAGGGGTCGCCGTGATATTCTTCTATACAGGAACAAACACCATCACGACAAATGGCATTTGAACCACAAGGTGATGGAGAACATGGATCGGTTGGTTCTAGAATCAAGAATTAGTCATTACAATTAATTATTATATCTGTATGGCAGAATATTACAATACAATTAATAAACAATTTACCATTTAAACAATAACGATATATTAGTAATGTTGAGATGATAGTATATGAAATCACAATATCATTAGTCCAAATTATATTTATGTAATTACAGAAATATATTTTTATGAATGTAAAGGGGTTTGAGAGGGGCTTTTTGAATTTAGCTTTCAATAGAAAGAAAGCATAAAATGTCTTTAGTATTGAGTAGTTTATTGAAAACAACTATTAATTGTTCATATAACAAGTGAATCTAAATCCGCAAAAAATAGTATTCAGTAATATTTTTTTACATAATAAAATAGTAATAATTTCAGTGTTACTAATGTATATTACTTACCTTCATTTATGATAGCACAATTACTAAATGGATCACCGGTGAATCCAGGCAAACAGGAACAGATGGGGAGATGATTGTTGACATTACATTGAGCGTTATTTCCGCATGCTCCAGGACAAGGATCTATGCATCTATTGTTTATGCATGATTTAATAGCGTTGCATTCAGAATTAATAGTACATTCTGGTCTACAGTTTGGTGGTGAACTTATATAATTCGGAAGGCAGGTACATCGGGCATTGCCGCCATATTCTTGACATAGTGAATTCGGTCCACATGGTGATGGCACACAAGGATTCGCGGGAGGCTGTGGAGTTGGAATTTGGATTGGCACTGAAACAACAAATTATCAATATAACTGAAACCGCTCAAATATAAACTTTTGACATGAATATATGTTCTTCGAACATTATTATGTTGCATATACAAGTCGCTCCATTATTATGACACGTTGGTGGGCACGATGCTTTGCGTAAATGAGGTCCCAGGTTCGATTCCTGGTTAGACCAATTCAGAAAAGTTAGTTTTCTAACTTGGCTCGACCGCGAATCGAATCCGAAACCTTATTTATGCAAAGCAATGTACTCATCACTACGCTACGGAGGTGGTTGGGGTTATACCCTATGTTTATTTTCTGGTTCCTTATAATACAGGGTATCTTAGTTTGAGCACCAGGCGAATCACAAAAGACGTCTATCGGTTAGATAATTTTTTTCAAGATCATAAATAGAATATTATTTATAATGTTATCAGGTACTCACTTGGTATACAGTTCGTAAAAGGATCACCGGTATACTGGTCTTGACATGAGCATATTGGGTTGTGTGAAAATACTCTACAAACAGCATTTCTAGCACATTGTCCTACACAAGGATCTACACATTTCCTGTTAACACACGCTTTGTCACTTGGGCATTCACTGTTGATTGTACATTCTGGACGACAGTTTGGTGGCGTTCCCATAAAGTCAGTTTGACAACTACATACTGCTTGAGAGTTTACTTCACGACATTGACTATTAGGACCACACGGCGATGGTGTGCATGGAGTAGGCTTTTGAACATCTAAAAAAAGAGGTAAATCTTAGGTTTGTTTACGAGTAATACATCCATAACCAATAAACAACACTCCTCACGTTGAATGTCTGTGAACGTATTAATTAATTATTCATTTATCTATTAAATAAGATTATTAGAACAAGAAGATCATTAATTCCTTTGAACTTTTTATTCAATTGCTTATGATAATACAATTCAATCTCCAGTAAGCATAAACATACCTTCTGTTTTTTCAATACAATATGAGTAAGCGTTGCCTGTGAGACCAGGTGGACAATAACATGATGGTAAGTGATTTATAACTTGACACAATCCATTAGGTGCGCACACTCCTGGACACGGATTTTTGCATTTATTTTGAACGCAAGCCAACATTGGAGGGCAATCACTATTTATTACACATTCTGGTCGACATCCTTCATATGGATTACCAATGAAAGATTCGACACATTTACATGATCCAGCTCCATTTCTTTCTATACATACAGCATTAATTCCACACGGTGAAGGTTCACAGGGTGAATTATATTCTATTTGCGTATCTATAAATTATAAATGATATGTTAAAAAGAAGTTTTAAGGGAAAATATGGAAATTTCATAAAGTAACTGCAATTATTAATTTTACCTTCAAATGAATTACAAGAAATGAGAGGATCTCCAGTTTTGTCAAATGGGCAAGAACAAACCAGAGCGTGACTGACAACTCTGCAATCCGCATTATATCCACAGCTCCCTGGACATGGGTCTTTACATTTTTGATTGACACAAGCTAGATGATTCGGACATTCGGAATTACTAATGCATTCTGGTCGGCAATTAGGCGGTGAACCACTATAGTCAGTTTGGCAAACGCATGATGGAGAGTCCCCAATTACTTTACAAATAGAATATGGTCCACACGGTGATGGTGTACAAGGATCAACAGGTGGTAAAGGTGATGCAACTGAAATAATATTATTAGTTTGAGAAACGAGCCTATAAAAAATGTGATTTAATAAATTTGTAAATGCTATAAATTTAAATACCTATTGGATTGCAATACGTAAACGGATCTCCTGTATATTGCTGCGGACATGAACATATAGGATTATGATTGATAACTTCACATTTTGCTCCATAACCACAGGAACCTACACAAGGATTAATACATTTGTGGTTGTTGCATGCTTCGTTGGATGGACATTCAGCGTTAATTGAACACTCTGGTCGACACGAAGGCGGACTGCCAATAAATGTTGGTAAGCATGAACATACAGCTTGGTTATTTATCGGACGACATTGACTGTTTGGTCCACATGGACTTGGATTACAAGGTTCTACTTTCATAACTGAAATAAAAAAAATGTATTTAATTTTAAATACTGGCATTGTACAATAACAATCAGGTGTTACTTTTACAGGTATACTTACTTTCGACCGTATTACATCCTATAAATGCATTTCCTGATGTTCCTTCAGGACAAGAGCAAATAGGTATGTGATTATAAACATTACAGTGCGCAGTCGAAGCACAAGGTCCTGGACATGGATTAATGCATTTGTTTCTAGAGCATACCTTGTCTGTCGAGCAATCCATGTTTATAATGCACTCGGGTTTGCACCCGATATATGGATCACCATAATATTCATTTAGACAAGTGCATATTCCATCCCTACAATTCGTATTAAATCCACATGGTGATGGATTACAAGAGTCGATTGGTATTTCATCTGAAATATAATTTTATCTATATTATTGAATTGTTATTAACTTATAGCATTAATTTATAAAAATATTTATAACATTCTCACCATTACTTGGTAATTGAAGGATACAGTGCGTAAATGGATCACCAGTATAACCTTGTGGGCATGTACATGCAGGGAAATGATTAAAAACGGTACAAACTGCCTGTTGACCACAACTACCAGGACATGGGTCACGGCATTTCAAATTCATGCACGCTTTGTCAAGTGGACAGTCCTGATTAATAGCACATTCAGGTCGACAGTTCGGTGGAAGCCCTTGATAATTCGGCATACAAGTACAAGATGGAGTGTTATTGATATCGCGGCATATTGCGTTTTCGCCACAGGGATTTGGTAAACACGGATTACGATTTGGTTCTGGAGGAAGTTCTAGAGTTGCTGTAATAAAAATATAAAAAGATTATGTAATAATATATTCTTAGGTGTATTACAAGTTCAAAAGTCATCCATTTAATAAGGAAAATTTCTACTTACGTTGTGAATAACAACGTGTGAATGGATCTCCTATAAAACCTGAACGACAAGAGCATATAGGACTATGATTGATTACTCTGCAATCAGTATTTGTACCGCAATGCCCTGGACAAGGGTCAGTACATTTTTTATTTATACAGGCTTTATCCGAGGCACATTCTGAACTCACAACACATTCTGGTCTGCAACTTGGAGGTGAGCCGACATAGTTCGGTTGGCATGAACATACACTCTGATCATTGACCGGACGACAAATACTATTAGGTCCACAAGGATTTGGTAAACAAGGAGTTGCTGGTTCTGGATTTGGTTCTGAAATATTTGAATAATATTATTATTGCATTATTGGATAAAATATCAGTAAAAAGAATAGATAAAATATTAACAAATGGAGTCATACCATTTATAATGTCACATCTACGGTAAGGATCTCCAGAATAGCCGGGATAGCAACTACAAGTGGGTAAGTGGTTAACGACAGCACATGTAGCCATGTATCCACACGTACCAGGACACGGGTCCTGACATTTGTTACGTATGCAAGCCTTATTGGGTGTACAATCAGTGTTCACTGTACACTCTGGACGGCAACCTTCATATGGATTTCCAATATATTCAGGAAGGCAAATACAAGAGCCAGCAGAATTGTATTCTTTACAGATGGCGTTAGGTCCGCATGGTGAGGGTTCACAAGGTGTGGGTTTAGCTGGAATTGCGTCTTGTTGCAAAGCGCAATTTAGGAATGGATCACCATTATAGCCACTTTCACAGAAGCACATTGGAGAATGACTTATTGTTTTGCAGAGTGCATTAATACCGCAGGCACCAACACAAGGATCTTTACACTTTTGATTAATGCAGGCTTTATCAGAAGGACATTCACTATTACTGGAACATTCTGGTCTGCAGTACGGTGGTGAACCAAAGAAGTTTGGCATACAAGTGCAAGAGGGAGTTCCTCCCACTTCTTTACATATTGAATTTGGCCCACACGGTGAAGGCGTACAAGGTGTAATATCAGTATGTTGAGGTCCTAAAAAGAAAATAAAACCGATTAGCTGCAAGTTGAACTCATACCAAAGGTTCTTACTTATGTGCAGAACCTTATATATAAATGTGAAATAAAATGACCTTTCTTGCATTTCTCATAAGAAACAGATACATATATATACAAGGTGGAAGGGACAGGTTGGCTAAAACTAAAACAGCTGATTCAGATGAATAATCTGAATCAGATGGCTGATTATTTTCCTACCGGAAAAGCACCACAGCCATATAACAATTCTTAATTTTGACGCCGTGCAATATATTTAAAATTTTACAATCTACACGATGCGAGATACCTACAGCGCGCGGTCAATGGTGCTTCTTTGTAGGTAATTTTCGTACGCTTGTGACGTTGACATCTGATTTCGCTCGTCGCGATAGGATTTTAATACGAATATTAAATTAATAAATTATCCACCCTGTATAATTAAATTGTAACTAAACTTTTATATACGGGAGATATTTAAGACAAATTAATTAGAAATGTCTTAAACCTCTCATATTAATTTGTCTTATTATGACATTTATATTCATTAAATGAAAAATAATAATTAATAAAAAACTTCAAATTTTAAATTTTAGTATCGTTTATCTCATAAAGAAAGGAAAAAATTAAATATTCCTAAATTTCATTATTATGATTATTATTTACCACTTTCAGATCACCTAGCAAAGAAATTAAAACAATTTTTCAATTATTTCTGTTGAACTATGTCTAGGTTAATAATATGTAAATCTTTCCCAAATCGATAGTAGTTGCTGAGATATCGTCATAGTCGTAGAATAGTGACAGATCTTTATATGTAATCTTTGTCAGATCCGTCAGTATTCTACGACTATGACGATATAGCGCTCCGTTCGGAAAAATCGAAGAAGTCGCATCATAAGGGTTTCTTTGTACTTTTTTGGTAAAGAATGATAAAAAGTGTAGTAAAGTAGTTTTTTTTTTTTTTTATTAAATACAAATCTAAATTTATGTAAAAAACCTTTTAGTCCTAAAAAGTAGATAATAAAAAGTAATCAAGTCTTCAGTTAACTAGTATTTTAATAATATATATTTCTAGAGCGTTAAACCTTTTTTATTTTCTACTTTTCAAGGGCACTAAGTAAAAAACATATACTGACAACCTAGAGTGATTCAGTAGCACATTGCTATGCGTAAATAAGGTCCCGGATTCAATTTCTGATCGATCAAATTTTGGAAACGAACGTTTCTGAATTAGCTCTGGTCTTCAGATATTCGTTACTTGGTTCCTCAAGTCGTTACAAGGTAGGTATCCTAGCTTGAGAACCGGGTCATTTGAGTGACTATGTAGCATTTATTACTACAAAACATATTTTATTGTAGATTATATTATTTATATTAGATACTCTACTCTGCGGTGATGGATAATACGTACTCCTAACAAACTTAATTTAAACTTAAATTAATCAGAATAAAGGCAATAGGCTTGCCCCCTTCCGTAATATATGTCGAGTGATATGCCCATCATAATGGCAAGATTCCGAAAATGTCTTTCACTACGCTATTATGGAATGTAGTTCCTATATAAACCTATATAAAAAGAAGTATCTATGCATATCTTCTTTTTATATAGGTGAATACTTATTACAGAATAGGTTAATATCACATGTTGAACTTACTGTATGGTAAACATCTTATAAACGGATCTCCAGTATACGTAGGTGGACAAGTACATATTGGGTTATGTTTAACAACATTACATTTAGCTTCAACACCGCATGATCCGGTACAAGGATCTATACATTTCTGATTAGAACACGCTTTGTTGGGCGCGCAATCTGAACTAACAACGCATTCTGGTCGACATAATGGTGGGCTGCCTATATATCCTTGTACACAAGTACATACAGCTTGTCCATTTATTTCTCTACATTGGCTATTAGGTCCACATGGCGATGGTAGACACGGATTAGTTTCTACAGGTACTGCAAATAAATGACAAATATAATTATTAATATAAAAATACTCAGAGTGGACAGGATATCAATAACTGAATAATAACTGGAATATGATTTACTTAGTATTTGTATTGCAATTATGTAGTAAATTATTAAGTGTCCAATCTTTATTAATGTTATAAATGTAAAAGTGAGTTTGCTTGTTACTTTACAGCATTTTAACGGCTTAACCAATCGCTAAATTGTAAAATAAAGCAGTATTTAGAGGAAATGTATGAGCTAAAATTTGGAAAGCTTCACTTGTAAAAGCAGTGACAAATATTGTTATATGTGCTGCAATTGATGGCTGGCCCTATTTTAATAGGGCCAGCCATCAATTTTTAGCGAAGGTTTCTATTCAAAATCATGAAGAGCATTTTGAGTAATAATATTGTTAATACAATGTATTTAAATTTTACATTTCAGTAATAAAAAAATATTTGAAAGTATCTTTATTTTTTATTTTGATAATGTCCATGTGACAAAATTTAAGGACTAAGTTTATAGGTAGATATATTAATTGAATTCTTATAAATATAGTAATAGTTAAATGAAAACCCTGTAAGTATGTACCAATAATGATAGATATGCATGTATCAATACAATAAATAATTAGTAAAGAATATGCGTCACATATGTATAAAATGTCTTCCTTTTTGAAATCAGTTAAAAATTATTAAAAAGATGACATATACGTATGAAATTGTAACACACCTTTTATCAATTCACATCCATAAAAAGCATTGCCAGTCATTCCTTGAGGACAACTGCACATAGGAATATGATTTATTACATCACAAATGGCGTTCGTAGCGCATGTTCCTTTGCAAGGATTTACACACTTATTTCTCAAACAAGCCTTTTCTCTTGGGCAATCAGTACTTAACACGCACTCTGGTCGACATCCGATGTACGGATCACCCTGATGTTCCTCAATACAAGAGCATACACCTTCTCTGCATATAGCATTAGTACCACATGGTGATGGATTACATTTATCAATGGGACTATCAGCTTCTACAAACAAAAAATAATTGTTTTATACTTATATATTGTATTAATAAATATAATACAATAAATAAAAAGAATTACAAACCAGGTGGTTTTGGTGTACAAACTGTGAAGGCATCACCAGTATAGCCATCGGGGCATGTACATATAGGATTGTGTCGCGAAACTGAGCATATAGCATTTATACCGCAAGAACCAGGGCAAGGATCTCGACATTTTTGTTGAATACATGCTTGAGAAGTAGGGCATTCTGCATTTATGGTACATTCGGGTCTACAATTTGGTGGAGTGCCAATGTAATTTATCATACAAGCACACGATGGAACGTTTCCTATTTCTTGGCAAATTGAATTTGGTCCACATGGAGATGGTAAACAAGGATTTTTGTATGGTTCCAAAACTGAATTTGAAACAGGTGCTAGAAATAAGAACAAGGTAAAATTAAATATTGTAAAATAATTATGAAAAAATAATTTTTTAATATTATTTATTAATTTGATGATACTTACGTGTTATTGGAATACATCTGGTGAATGGATCACCGGTATATTGTGGTTTACACATGCAAATTGGACTATGATTTATAACTCTACACTCAGTGTTAATTCCACAAGCATTATTACAAGGGTTTTCACATCTCTGATTTATACAAGCTTTATCTTTTGGGCATTCATTGCTTATGATGCATTCTGGATGACAACCCGGGGGAGATCCTATATAATTTGGCAAACAAGAGCATACTGCTTGCTTATTAACTTCTTGACATCTGCTGTTCGGTCCGCATGGAGATGGTTGACAGACATCTACTGGTGTGTTTTGAATTTCTGTAAAAGATATTAATTGTAAAACATGTTACATATTTTATATATATATATATATATATATATATATATATATATATATATATATATATATATATATATATATATATATATATATATATATATATATATATATATATATATATATCTGCAATATTTTTGTAATAATGCAAAAGAACTTACGTTCAGGCGCACAATAACGGAACGGGTCTCCAGTGAAGCCTTGAACACAGGAGCATGATGGAGCATGATTGATGGCTAAACAAAAAGCATTCGGGGCACAGGCTCCTGGACAAGGGTCTTGACATTTATTTTGTACACATGTTTTATCTGATGGACAATCCGTACTTATTAAACATTCTGGTCGACAGCCTTCATATGGATTGCCTTGATAACCAGACACACAAGTGCAAGATCCAGCACCATTAAATTCTTTACATATAGCATTGGCGCCACATGGTGATGGTTGGCACGGAGTTGCCGTATCATATTGTATTTCCTGTTTATGGCATTCTGTAAATGGGTTTCCTGTATAATCTGCCTGACATGAACATGATGGTGAATGGCTTATCACATGACATTCCGCATTTATACCACAAGATCCAATACATGGATCTACACATTTCGTATTGATACAAGCTTTCTGTAGTGGACATTCAGAATTACTTATGCATTCAGGTTTACAATATGGTGGTTTGCCTGTGAACCCAATCATGCAAGAACAGGAAGGAGATCCTAAAATTTCTTTGCAAATGGAATTGGGCCCACAAGGTGATGGTGTACAAGGATTGATCGGTTCGGGTGTGAATTCCTGGAAAACACATCTAACAAATGGGTTTCCAGTATACGAAGATGGGCAGGAACAAATTGGATTATGATTTATGACTTGACATTTAGCTTCGACTCCACAGGCCCCTTGACATGGATTGACGCATTTTCTGTTTGTACATGCTTCACTTGGTGAACAATCAGTGCTTACTATACATTCGGGTCTACAGGAAGGTGGAATTCCAATGAAACCAGATAAACAAGAGCATACTGCTTGCCCATTTACATCTCGACATTGACTGTTAGGCCCACACGGACTGGGCTGGCATGGTTGAGGTTTTTCCACTGAAAATCATAAATTTATTATATTTTTTGTTATTATCCCATAATTTTATTTTTTCTTAAGTAATTCAATAAGATTTTACTATATGAACGACTTCCATGACAGTGGTAGTTATGTATAGTGTTGCGAAAATAAAAATAAAGATTGAGATTCGAATTTCGGTAATAATCGCTTTAAAATATTAACTTTTATAAATTGATTCGTATCTGGAACATCTAGATGTTTGTTGTTTTTCTAGTCAGACTAGGGTTAAAAATCCCGTATTAAACGAATTATAATAAAATTGCTTTATAAAATCTGTCAATATAAATATGCCAGTATGCTAATATTATGTCCATAGCGCGATACGCCTATCCTATCGCCTCGGCGAATCATGCAAAGAAAATTTTTAACATTCCATATGAATGATATGATCGTATAATTATATTATCTATGAATATTAATATTATACACTATTTACCTTCAACGGGGAAACACTGAATAAAAGCATTTCCAGACATCCGTTCAGAACATCGACACATAGGTATATGATTAATAACTTCACAAAGAGCATTCGAAGCACACACATTAACGTTGCAAGGATTTATACATTTGTTTCTTTGACATGCTTTGTCTTGAGGACAATCTGAGCTAAGAACACATTCTGGACGACATTCTACATAAGGATCTCCCTGATACTCCGGAAGACAAGTACATTGCCCGTTATTACATATGGCATTGGCACCACATGGCGATGGATTACAGGGATCTTTTTCATCGTATGTTACTTCTGAAATTAAAATAAGATTTCAAAAGACATGTTAACGTTAAAATAAATATATTGAAGTGACAATAATTTTGTTTTATTTCAAAATAATAGTTACCTTGCAATTCGCATTTAGTAAAAGCATCTCCGATGTAATTTTGCAAACATGTGCAAATTGGCACATTTTTATTTACTGTACATTGGGCATTTAATCCACATGAACCTGGACAAGGGTCTTTACATTTTTTATTTATACAAGCTAAGTTACTTGGGCAGTCTGAATTTATAGTACATTCAGGACGACAACCAGGTGGAGCACCAATATAATTAGATTGACATGAACAAGAAGGTATGCCTCCGATATCTTTACATTCACTAAATGGACCACAAGGAGATGGAAGGCATGGATCTTTTGGAATTTCTATTGGGGCATCGAACATTAATGGATAGCATCGACTAAAAGGATCTCCAGTGAAGCGTTCTATACAAGTACATATTGGGCTATGATTAATAACTTGACATTTAGCATTTTGCCCACATTGTCTTTCACATGGATCACTACATTTCTGAGATATGCATGCTTTGTTTGTTGGACATTCGGCACTAATTACGCATTCTGGTCTACAATTTGGCGGTGAACCACGATATTCAGGACTACAGCTACAAACGGCTTGTTCGTTTATAACTTTACAAATACTGTTCGGTCCGCATGGTGATGGTGAGCATGGATTAGACGGTGGTTCATTTTCTGTAATGAAAAATAGTGTGTAAATATTAAACAAATAATCATATTTGTTATGTACACAAATATTAGAATAAAATAACTTACGTTGCACAAAACAATTATCAAAAGGATTTCCTGTATATCCAGGAATACATGTGCATATAGGTGCATGATTTATTGATTGACATTGAGCATTATTACCGCATGTGCCAGGACAAGGGTCTTGGCATTTATTTTGTTGACAGACCTTATCAGATGGACAATCAGTATTAACACTACATTCTGGTCGACATCCTTCATATGGATTTCCAAAGTATCCAGGAAAGCAAACGCACGAACCGATATTATTTCTTTCTTTACATAAAGCGTTGCTTCCACAAGGTGATGGAGTACACGGAGTAGGTCGTTCTAACGGTACATTTATTTCTTGCACAGTACATGCTACAAATGGATCACCTAAGTAACCTTGAGGACAAACACAATTAGGTGTATGACTGACTACACGACATTGTGCCATTGAACCACAGGCACCAACGCAAGGGTCCGCACATTTGTTATTTATGCAAGCCATGTGGTTCGCACATTCACTGTTACTTGTACATTCGGGACGACAATTCGGCGGGGCTCCTATGAACTCCGGCATGCAGGTGCATATTGGTGACTCATTTAAAGATTGACATATAGAATTTGGACCACAAGGAGATGGCAAACAAGGATTTACTTGTGGTAGCATTGAAGCTGAAATTAAAGAAATAAATTTTAATGCTTTCTACGATATATAATTATACATAATATACATAAATATTATTTTGGTTATGTTTATTATCAATAAATATAAGAATATGTATAGATTATAACTATAATATTATTTCAATTTAGTTCTTATTGTAAATTATTTAGTAAGTATGCACACGACCGGTTTCGAGAAATTTCATTCACAAGCGTATTTACATACAAAGTTTAGAACAGGTATTTCTACAAAATATGTTTTATATACATACGTCGTAAAATGCATCTTCTAAATGGATCTCCTGTATAATCATTAGGACAGGAGCAGATAGGGTTGTGATTTATCACTTCACAAAGCGCACCAATGCCGCAAGCTCCATTACAAGGGTCCACGCATTTATAATTATTGCAAGCCTTATTTAAAGAACATTCGGCACTAGTAGTGCATTCGGGACGGCAAGTTGGTGGATTTCCTGAATAGCCGGGCACGCAAGAACATACAGCAACATTATTTATCTCTCGACATTGACTGTTAGGCCCACAAGGACTTGGATTGCAAGGATTTGTTGGTTGAGGAGCTAAAAAGAAAATAACAAAATTTTTCATTTGTTTTCGCTTCCTGTGTATCCTAAGATATTATTGTTTTTAAAAATATTTTTCTTACCAAACACTACATTACAAGAGACAAACGAATTGCCAGTATGTCCTGCAGGACAACTACACATGGGAATATGATTGATAACTTCACAAATTGCATTGACTCCGCAAGTGTCGGGACAGGGATTTATACATTTTTTCCTCGCACATATTTGATTTTTCAAGCAATCTGTGCTAACTGTACATTCAGGTCGACAACCTATGTAAGGATCGCCCTGGTATTCTGCTAAACATGTGCACACACCGTTATTGCAATCTGCATTGGGACCACAAGGCGATGGATTGCATGCATCTACAGGAGTTGGTTCTGTAAAATAATTCCAATCAATGTCAGTTAATAAATTCCTTCTTTGTAATGAACAATGAACAATTCTATTTCTTTTTATAAAGTCCTATCCTCTCTATCACATTCAGCTGTGTGCTAAGTTAGGATATGACCTACCTGTACTTAATTTAATTTAAAACTGTTCAATAGTTTTTGCATGAAAAGTTAACAAACATCCATCCGTTTATTCATACGTTCTTAGAAATTTCCGCATTTATAATATTATAACAACTAATTAAAACATGCAAGTAGGTGAGTTCATAGTATATACATATTCATCTAAGATAAATATAACATACATACAGATACATACCTTCTGCTTGCTTGAATGTACACACATTGAATGGATCGCCCTTAAAACCTTCGTTGCATGTGCAAATAGAAACGTGATTTATAACTTTACACTGAGCATTTAATCCACACGAACCGAGGCAAGGATCTGAACATTTTTCTCTAATACAAGCGAGAGAACTAATACAATCTTGGTTTGTTATACATTCGGGTCGACAATTTGGAGGACTTCCAAAGTATCCAGAAGAACATGAACATGAGGGTTGTACACCGGAAATACGACAAATAGCATTTGGACCGCACGGGGAAGGCACACATGGATCTGTTATTTCATGTATAGTTGGCTGTGGTTCTAAAAATAAATATTTTATTATTATTACTGTATATTAAAAATTAATAAATATCAAATATATTGTTATAATCAAATATTAGTTTATATACCTGGTTTAGGATAGCATCTTGTAAATGGATCTCCCGTAAAACCTGACCTGCAGCTACATATAGGGTTATGATTAAATACTCTACATTCAGACTGTAGACCACAAGTTTTAAGACATGGATTAACGCATTTTTTATTAACACAAGCCTTGTCTGAAGAACAATCAGAATTCAGTAAACATTCAGGTTTGCATGAAGGCGGTTTACCAATGAAATTGGTTAAACAGCTACATATAGCTTGGTCATTTACTACTTTACATTGGCTATTCGGACCACATGGACTTGGATGACAGACGTTGACTGGAGTATCTTGTGCTAAAGAGATAAAAGTAATATTATTATTATAACATATAAATAATATATAAAAAGTAAAACAATTTTGTTACATTATTTTTGCGTTCAATCTAGCAAAAAAATACTTACGAGGTATTGGATTGCAGCGTCTAAAAGCATCACCTGTATAACCAGTAAAGCAAGTACATGATGGAGAGTGATTTACTGTTGTACATTCGGCATTTATTCCACATGTACCTGGACATGGATTCTGGCACTTATTTCTTATACAGGCTTTATTTCCTGAACAATCTGAATCAGTTACACATTCTGGACGACAACCTTCATACGGATTTCCAAAATATCCATTATTGCAAATACAGGATCCCACTTTATTTTGTTCTTTACAAATAGCGTTAGGGCCGCAAGGCGAGGGAGAACATGGTGTTAAAATTTCTGTTGGTGTTTGTAAAAGACATTGTGTGAATGGGTCTCCAACATAGCCTTGTGGGCATACACACATAGCGGAATGACTAACTACACGGCATTCTGCGTTGGTACCACAAGCCCTAATACAAGGATCTTTACATTTTTGATTCATACAAGCCAAATGAATTGCGCATTCACTATTACTTATGCATTTTGGTTTACAATATGGTGGTTGACCTTTATATTCAGGCATACAGGTGCACGACGGAGTGCCATCTACATCCTGACATATAGAATTAGGTCCACAAGGTGATGGTTGACATGGATTTATGATTACAGGAGGAGCATCTAAAACAATTATATGATTATTAAAATATTGGATAGATAAATAAGTCCTGCATTATAATTATATAATAGAAATATTAGTTAAATAGAATTAATTAGTATTTTTCTGTATATATAATAAAATTATTTAACACCTATTTTAAGAAAAAATATTAGTTAATACTTCAAAATTGTATACATTCTTACTTGATATAAAGGTACACTCCACAAATGGATCACCAGAATGGGCCGGTGGGCAGGTACAAATTGGATTATGATTAATAACTTCACACATAGCTTTCAGTCCGCACGCTCCAATACAAGGATTTACACATTTCTGATTTGTACAGGCTTTATTTTGTGGACATTCTGCACTACCAACACATTCCGGTCTACAAGCAGGTGGTATACCCAAATATGTTGGCAAACATGAACAAACGGCTTGGTTATTAATCTCTCGGCATTGACTGTTGGGCCCACATACTGCAGTGCTACATGGGTTCCCAGTAGGAGGCGCTGTGGAAATAAAAATATTATATATAATGATAAAAAGAATATTATTATAAAGATCTGACTAATGTAACTGTATTTACCTATAGATAATAATATATTTCAGTAAAACCATCGTGCACATAAAGGTGAATCTTAAATGAATGTATAGTATAAATCTTTAATTTTTGTTTCCTATTTCTAGTGCTTCTCAATAAAAGGTATTCTGTTAAAAAGTATTTTGTCTGTTCTGTGTGTATGTATTTAGTTTATGTTTAGTTAAGCCTGAATCTGATGTTATATTTAATCAACTTCATAAATTTCTACGTATATAAGTATTTAGTGGTTTCAAATATGTTATCTTTCTATTAGGTATATCGAAAGCGTTGTGAATCTTACTAATATTATAAATGTAAAACTTTGATAAAAATGTTTAAATATTATATTATACTATATATTATATACTATTTTTAAGAGAGACGAGCTTTATAAATAATATATAATATATATATATATATTTTATCATTTTCCGTCAGGTGCCCAGTCAGATTACTACTCTAAGTTGCAATAAAAAATTAGGTATATAATATGAGATGGTGTCGTATTTAATAATTTGAAATTTTTTATGTCTGTATATATGTCTATAGGTAACGGTTACCACTTCCCATCAGATGGGCTGTCAGCTTGTTTACCATTCTAAGTCGTATACAAATAAATCATGTTCGTCTAGCGACAGTTTATGGTAAGTTGAATTTTAAGTAAGTTATAAAAATCCATATTTAATGTAGATAAATAGAATGTTTCGTGAAATTATTTACCATTGCAGTAGTTCAAATATTTAAAAATAATTAGAGAAAGCTATGATTTAAAAAATACAATAACATACCTTGGACCGGGTTGCATATTACAAATGCATTTCCAGTAAATCCATTTTGGCAACTACACATAGGAATATGGTTAACTACTTGACAAGCAGCATTTTGACCGCATGCGTTGGTACATGGGTCGACGCATTTTCTTTGTACACAAGCTTTGGTCTGGTCACATTCTGTACTGAATATACATTCTGGACGACAGTTGAAGTACGGATCACCTTGATATTCGGGTAAACATTGACATTGGCCATCAACACATTCTGCATTTGCACCGCAACGTATATTTGCACAAGCATCTACGACTGAAGGTTCAACTAAAACAAAAATAGACTGTTAAAACTGAGATTTTAATTAATTAATAATTACCAAGTTTCATGATTTTTCTATTTTTTACCTACCTTGTATTGGTTTCAATTTACAACTAGTGAATGGATCTCCTATATAACCCTCTATACAAGTACAAATTGGAATATGATTAAGTACAGTGCATGTAGCAGATAGCCCACAGGCACCGGGGCATGGATCTTGGCATCTTGAATTTATACAAGCACGATCACTGGGACAATCAGAGTGTATAGTGCATTCCGGTCTACAATTTGGTGGACTGCCCACAAAAGTAGGTAAGCATGAACATGATGGATTATTCCCAATATTACGGCATTCTGAATTAGGACCACATGGAGACGGTATACATGGATTAATAACATCTAGAGGCATATCATCTGAAAATATAAATAATGAAATGTTATAACTAAAAATTATTGGTTTTCAATATCTGTAGAAAATATAATATTAAAGTCAATTTGAAATCCGTTCGTTCACTTGTTGTTTGGTTATAATTATTTTGTTTAATTCCACTACCATTAATATATGTGTGACTGCTAACACTCGAAGATTGATTACTATTGTTATTACTAGATGTTGATGGCTAATACGAAAGGTATAACCTTCCAACTGATATTAACCAATTGTTATTTCATCAAAATACATTTAAACAAAATCATTCTAATCAAATAACGGGTGGTAAGGATTTTCGCAAAATAACTCCTAGTTCGTTATATATGCGTTCATTTATCTGTAATACTTTTTTAAATACTATAGTAATATAAATTATATCAAAGACTATTTTTATTTTTAAATTTATATCAAAAGATACTTACTTCTTACAGGAGTGCAAATGGTGAAAGGATCTCCAGTAAATGAAGGATTGCATGAACAAATTGGACTATGATTAATAACTTTGCAGTTTGTATTCTGACCACATGGTTTAGGACATGGATCTATACATTTATTATTAACACAAGCTTTGTTTTGTGAACACTCAGAGCTCACAACACATTCTGGACGACAATTAGGAGGAGATCCTACATATTCCGGTAGACATGAGCATACAGCTTGATTATTAATATTTTTGCACTGGCTATTAGGACCGCATGGAGATGGATAACATATATCAACAGGAGCTGATGGTGTTATTGGTTCTGAAATCATACATAAACATATAAAAACTTCAAATCTTTATATACTATATAAAAATTTACAAGGATTTAGATATTAACATAAAAATATCCTACCTTGGTAGACGCAATATCTAAATGGATCTCCCGTATATCCGGACTTACAAGTGCATAAGGGTACATGATTTACTGCTTGGCATTCGGCATAGTTACCACAGCTTCCAGGGCATGGGTTTGCACATTTATTATTAATACACGCCATATTAGAGGGGCAATCGGTATTAACTACACATTCTGGTCGACAGCCTTCGTATGGATTTCCAATATAACTCTCGATGCACGAACATGATCCTGCATTGTTTCTTTCCTTACATATTGCATTAATTCCACATGGCGAAGGCGAACATGGTGTAGTAATCGGCTCTGAATAGATAGGCTCTTGAATACAATTGAATAATGGATCTCCAGTAAATCCAATAGGACATAAGCAAATCGGTGAATGACTAACAACTCTGCATTCTGCATTTGGAGCACACGCACCTTCGCAAGGATTTTTACATTTCATATTAATACAAGACATATGCGTAGAACATTCTTCATTGCTTACACATTCTGGTCTACAATTCGGAGGTTGGCCAACATATCCTTGTAAACATGTACACGTGGGTACGTCATTAACCTCTCTGCAAAGTGAGTTAGGTCCACACGGAGACGGTGTACATGGATTCACAGGTTCTGGTATGCTTTCTGCTGTGATAAGTAAGTAAGAATATAAAAATTAATATTTTACAATATTTCCTTGCATCACAATGTAATAGCAGAGTAAAGATGAGTAGGTTAACTTCAGCCGTTTAGGAGATCTTATTATGTCTCCTTCTGTGCGAACGAGATTAACACTGGTACTTGCTGAAATACAGCGTTGTAACAGACGGACGGAGAAATAGACGGATAATGACGCAACATTAGAGTTTATACTCTTGGTATGGACTCTATGGTATGGACCTGACCTTTGTATTTTTAGGTATGGAATCTTAAAAACTACCCAATGTATACTCTTATAAGTTACAAATAAAGAAATTTCCATATGGTTCTGGCATAGAATGGGCCACCCTTTCCTTTCCCGTGGATATCGTAAAAGGCGATTGAGGTATTTTAATAGTCAAGGAATGGGCAGCATCGTCACTCTTTATACATCGTCAAAGACTAACTGCGGTTGCCAACCCACCTACCGATCATGGCAACTACTGGCAAAACCCCCTAGTAGGGACAGGCATATGGTTCAGTAGTAGCAGTTAATAAAGAAATTATTGTATTCTATTTCTTTCAAATTATAAACCTGACTGGTCACATTCATACATAAAAACTAAAACTTATTGGAAATATTTGCGTAGTTACTCGTTCAACGCGGTATACGCGTGAAGTAATGTCATTGACCGTTTGCCGACTACGCGCACAGACAACGAATGTGAGCCTCAGCGATTGTGTAACCCGCGATTACAATAATGTGCATGTTATGTTGCATCCGTACTGACACGCACACATTTAAGCTGCGTTTGATACCCGCTTTATAAATTACTCTTCTTAACTCTTCTTTTTAAAATTACTCTTCTTTACTCTGGTAAATAGTATATATGACATGGAAACCTCAAAATATAGTGAATATACTACATGTATACTTACGGAGTTTAAAACATCTAGAAAATGGATCTCCTGAATATGTTGTTGGACAAGTGCATATGGGATTATGATTTACTACTTTACACTCAGAATTTACGCCGCATGAACCAACACAGGGATCAACACAACGTTGATTACTGCATGCGCGGTTCAGCGAGCACTCGGAGCTTATGGTACATTCAGGACGGCAAGAAGGTGGCGATCCGATATTATTTGGAGCGCACGAGCATGCAGCTTGTCCATTTATTTCTTTGCACTGACTATTAGGACCACATGGTGATGGTTGACAAGGATTTACAGGAGTTGATTCTGAAATTAATATATTATAAAATATGTTTATTTACATAATAATTAAATAAATATTACTATCCCGTACGATATATACTCAATGTTTTACCTATAATAGGTCTACACTCCGTAAAAGCGTTGCCTGTCATACGTTCGGGACAACTACACATAGGTATGTGATTTACCACGTTGCAAATTGCATTAGATGCACAAGTGCCAGGACAAGGATCTTTGCACTTATTTTTTATACATGCTTGAGTACGGTCACATTCAGAACTTTGTACGCATTCTGGCCGACATTCAAGATACGGGTCACCTTGGAAGTCCCCAATACAATTACATTTTCCTTCAAAACACTCAGCATTTGCTCCACAAGGAGACGGATTACACGGGTCTTCATTTACTGAAAATTAAAAATTATTTAATATAACAATATTATAAATAAAACTATTAACAATCTTGTTAATAAAATAACCAGTGAAATAAAACTGAAATAATTATTATATTAATAACACTTACCTATTAATGGGATAACAGTACATTGTGTAAATGCGTTACCAGTGTAATTTTCAATACATGTACACACTGAAATATGTTTTAAAACTTGGCAATTAGCATTAATTCCACAAGAACCTGGACAAGGATCTTTACATTTCTGATTGATACAGGCCAGATTACTAGCGCAGTCCTCATTAATAGAGCATTCAGGTCTACAATTCGGTGGACTGCCCTCGAAATTTGGAAGACATGAACAGGACGGTATACCACGGAGATTTTGACATATCGAATTTGGACCACAAGGTGATGGCATACAGGGATCCTTTTGAAGTGGGTAATCATTAATTGGAGCTGCAATATAATATATTTATTATATTATAATAACATTACTTATAATTGTATGTTAATATATTGTTATACTAATTTACAAAAATAAAATACCTGTTTGAATATGATAGCATCTTGAAAATGGATCTCCTGTATATCTATTTTGACATGTACAAATTGGACTATGATTGATAACTCTGCAATCAGTAAACTGACCGCACGGTCCTGGACATGGAGATACACATTTTTGATTTTGACAAGCTTTATCTGTAGGACATTCAGCGCTTACTACACATTCTGGTCTACAATTTGGAGGAGATCCTCTATATTCAGGTATACAAGAGCATACACTCTGTCCATTTGATACGCGACATTGACTATTTGGACCACAAGGTGAAGGTTCGCATGGAGTTACTTTTTCAATTTCTTGTGCTGTACAAAACAAAAAATATATTTAATAAGAATATGGGTAATATTGTATTAATACTTTTATTACAAATGTTAAAGTTTGTAAATTCTTTCATATATTGAGATGTTTATTATTCAATGACGCTTAAACGATTGAACGGATTTAAATAAATAAATTTGTTACACGGGTTAAAACCGCAGGAAACAGTATTTCATAATTTAAAGAATAAAAAACTTACCTTTTTTACTACATTGTCTGAATGGATCACCAGTATATCCATTTTGACACATACACAGAGGCGAATGATTAACAACAACACAGTCAGCAAATGCTGCACAAGTTCCTGGACAGGGATCAATACATTTATTTCTAGTACAAGCTTTATTACTAGGGCAGTCTGAGTTTATTAAACATTCTGGATGACATCCTTCATACGGGTTACCGAAGTAACCGTTTACGCATATACAAGCCCCAGCTCCAAATTGTTCACGACATTCTGCGTTTGGTCCACATGGTGATGGCGTACATGGAGATAAAGGCTCCATCTGTATGATCGGATTTTGTATACATTGTACTGATGCATCTCCAGTATAACCAGCGGGGCAAATACACATCGGCGTGTGACTTACTACTCGACATTCGGCATTAATACCACATGCTTGTGTACAGGGATTTTGACATTTTCTATTTATACAAGCCATTTGCGGCGCGCATTCGCTATTAGTAATACATTCAGGACGACAATTTGGGGGTGCACCAATATATTCTGCTAAACATTGACACGTTGGAATTTCACCATTGCTTGGCTGGCAAATCGAATTAGGCCCACATGGAGATGGAAGGCATGGATTTACTGGTGTTGGGTTATTTATAACGGCTGAAACATAAAACAATAGTTATTGTTGTTAAAACAATTATAGATATTTTGATTATTTAATGGACGAAGTTGTAATGGTTGCTCTGCTAGCATTATTGGTATACGCTAGCGAGATATCAGTTAGAAATGATAGGATGAAAGCAGGTCAGCTGGACCATCATCGTGTAGAATTTGACAACAATGAACCATGATGGCTTCCGAAGAAATCGCGTGGAGGACGACCTGATAGGGAATATTACTAGCAATTGGGTTGTTAGACCCCGATACTAACAACCTCTTTTATCTTTGGTACTTTGGTTATTAAATAAAAAAGAACTTACGCATATTTAAACATCTAGTAAACGGATCTCCTGTTAAATCTTTAGGACAGGAACAAACAGGATTATGGTTAATGACTTGACATTCGGCAGCTACACCACAAGTTCCTTGACAGGGATTTATACATTTTTGATTGCTACATGCTTTATTAAGTGGGCAGTCGGAACTTGCTACACATTCTGGACGACAAGCAGGCGGTGCGCCGCGATATCCAAAGAGACATGAACACACCGCTTGTTGATTGATCTCTCTACACTGACTGTTGGGGCCGCAAGGACTTGGTTGACACGGGTTTGTTGGAATATTTTCTGAAAATAATAAATATTTGAAAAACTAATTATACGTTTTAAGCACTTATTGTAATAAAAATTATAAATCGTATTAATATCGAATAGCAGAGAGTAACATTAAATGATTGAGTTTATTAAATGTACGAGTAATATAATGTGCAAAATAATAAATAGTTACTAAATATTTACCTCGAATTGGATCACATTGTATAAATGCATTTCCAGTTGTTTTTGCTGGGCATATACACACAGCCATATGGTTGACAACCTGGCAGATGGCGTTAGTACCGCAAGTTTGAATGCATGGATCGACACAACGGTTCTTAGCACATGCTTTATTTATAGGACAGTCTGAACTAATTGTGCATTCTGGTCTACATCCAAAATATGGATCACCGCTGTATTCCGGTAAGCATGTACAGACACCATTATTACAAATGGCGTTGGATCCACATGGTGATGGATTACATGGATCTGTGACTGTTGGTTCTAGAGAAAAAACAAAACATTATATTTGAATATTATAAAGGTTTCTTTTTTATTTTCTAATAAGTAATATTTTAATACTATTAAAAATCCGTTCTTACCTTTTAATATGATAAATGAACAGGAATTAAATGGATCACCAGCGTAACCTTTCAAACATGTACAAATTGATACATGATTTTGTACTCGGCATTCTGCATTTAAACCGCATGTTCCTGGACATGGATCCATACATTTCTCGTTAATACAGGCCTTGTCACTAGGGCAATCTGTATTTATAGTACACTCTGGACGACAGTTTGGAGGGCTACCAGTATATTGCGATAAACAGGAGCAAGAAGGTACACCATTAACGTCACGACATTGAGAAAACGGACCACATGGGGATGGTAGACAAGGATTTGATGGCGTAGAATCAAGCTCAATATCTATAAATAAAACATAAAAAAATAAGTTAAAAGCAGTTAGAAGTATTATTATTATTATTAATAATATTTAAGTAATTTAATATATATGTAACATGTTTTGGAATATATACCTGGTATTTTATAGCATCTATTAAATGGGTCACCAGTGTACTTTATCCGACAAGAACAAATTGGGCTATGATTAATCACTTTACATTCAGCGTTTTGTCCACATACACCTTCACAAGGATTTCTGCATTTTCTACGTATACAAGCATGTTGTTGATTACATTCTGAGCTTACGACACACTCAGGTCTACAAGCAGGCGGTGCTCCTACGAAATCGGACTGACAGGTACATACAGCTTGGTTATTAGAAACTTTACAAATGCTATTAGGTCCACAGGGGGATGGTACGCATGGATCTCTAGACACAGGAGGAGTATCTGAAAATATTTAATTCACTATTAAAATAAAGAAATTTTAAACAAGTTTATTGTATTTCAAATAAATTCTATTCCATAGTCATTATTAAAGTACATAAAAATATTTCTAACCTGCAATGTTTTCGTAACAATTTACGTAGGGATCCCCCGTTAGTCCTTGTAAGCATTCACATTTTGGACTATGATTAATAACACTGCAAACGGCGTTGCGCCCACAAATATTGCTGCACGGATTTTTACATTTATTTTGAATACAAGCAAGATTGCTGCTACAATCTGAATTTACGATACATTCTGGTCGACAACCTTCATATGGGTTACCAATATATTCGGGTAAACATACACATGCTCCAGCAGGCCCTTGTTCTTTACAAACGGCATTAGGTCCACACGGCGACGGCGAACAAGGTGTAAGTGGGAAATCTATTACTCTACATTCTATAAATGCATCTCCACTATATCCTGGTGGACATAGACATTGTGGAGCATGACTTATAACTCTACATACAGCATTATTACCACATGAACCAGGACATGGATCTTTGCATTTATTATTTATACACGCCAACTCGTTAGGACATTCTGAATTGGCTATGCATTCTGGGCGACAATTAGGTGGACTGCCTATATAATCAACAAGACAAGCACATGATGGAGAGCCTCCTACTTCTTTGCATTCAGAATTTGGGCCGCAAGGAGATGGTAAACATGGATTTATATAAGGTTCCTTGATATCTGAAACATTATTTAAATAATTGTATGTGAATATTTAATATTATTTTAACAAATGGTAATATTTTTTGTTTTACTGATTTTGACTATTAATGAATAAAATTTATTAAGCAAATAGTTATCATGTAATTTATTCAATAAGTTTAATTATTAGATATAACACATACCTTCAATAACACAACGTTTAAATGGATCACCAGTGTATCCACGTGGACAGGAACAAATGGGATTATGATTTATTACTTGACATTCAGCGCCAACTCCACAATTACCTTTACATGGGTCAATACAACGCTGATTTGAACAAGCTTTATTTAATGGGCATTCTGCGCTGGAAACACATTCAGGTCGACATGTGGGCGGAGCACTTACATATCCAGATAGACACGAGCAAATAGCTTGACCGTTTATCTCTCGGCACTGACTGTTAGGTCCGCATGGTGATGGATTACATGGATTCAAGACTTCAATAACAATTTTTCTACATTCCAAAAAGGCATTTCCGGAATAACCCTCAGAACAAGAGCATAAAGGAATATGGTTGTACACACTGCAAATTGCACTTTTACCACAAGTATTAATACATGGATCGATGCATTTATTTTTTAGGCATGCTTTATTATGTGGACAATCAGTACTCGTCAAACATTCAGGTCGACAACCAACGTACGGATCGCCTTGGTATTCGGGTAAACACTTGCATATACCATTACTGCATTCTGTATTTGCACCGCATGGTGATGGATTACACGAGTCCAGTTCTGAAATATCTAAGAACAAAAATATATAATTTTAAATTGCATGCAAGTTTTTATATATCTTTAATTTTTTTATAAATCAAGCTAATAAACTAATAAGAAACAATGATTAATTTTATAATCTTTTGTTTTTGTGTCTAAATCTTTGAATCAATTTATATTATAATCTTAATTAGTCTATACTATTATTATAAAAAGGAAAGATTATATTTTTTGTATGTTTGTTTATCTTACATCTCTATCTGTGGGCGATTTTTATAGGTGAATTTATAAAATCGGTCAAATATTTTTTTTTAAGTTTATCGAATACAAACAAAAAATGTCTTCTCTTTAGATAAAGATTAGATAAAAAAAAAATTAAAGAAATTTTTTATGACTACATATTATAATATACCTATCTAATACTTATTAAAACTGGGTATAAGTGAGATAAATGATGAGACTTTGAAAAAAGCGATGAGCTTGGGTATAGAATATTCGAGTATATATTATTTAGTATTATTTGATCTACTCCAAAATAAAAATAAAAACGAACTTACCATCTTCTTCAGGCATGGGAAGACACCTCGTAAATGGATCACCTGTATAATATTCAATACAGCCACACTGAGCGATATGATTAAAAACAGTACACACAGCGTTTAGACCACAAGCTCCAGGACAAGGATCGCGACATTTTTCATTCATGCAAGCTTGGTTGCTAGGACATTCAGAATTTATGGTGCATTCTGGTCGACAATTAGGTGGATTACCCACATAATTAGATAAACATGCGCATGAAGGAGCATCTCTGACATTTCTACATTCTGCATATAAACCGCAAGGCGATGGAACACAAGGGTCGGGGCGTGGTGAGTTTTCGGGTGGCCTCATAACTGAAAATATACAAACAGGAATAAAAAAATTAATTATATTCTTCTCTATTTGACGAATTAACAATATTTATTAATAAAATTGTTTCTTACTTTTTATAGGATAGCATGTAGTAAATGGATTTCCAGTCAGTCCTATTTTACAGACGCAAATTGGGCTATGATTGATTACGTTACAATTTGCATTTTCCCCACATGTACCGATACATGGATTTGTGCATTTTTGATTCTTACAGGCTAAATGTGATGGACATTCCGAACTAACAACACATTCTGGGCGGCAATTTGGAGGTGCGCCGATGAAATTTAATAAACAAGAACACGCTGCCTGCCCGTTTATTTCTTTGCATTGGCTATTTGCTCCACATGGCGAAGGATTGCATGGATTCTTTTCCACAACTTGAGCTATAATATATTTTATTAGAATATTAATAATACTTCTGGCATTATGGTCATGTTATAGTTGTAATTACACTATACAACTCAGAGTTTAGTTTGTAAGATGATAATAATATGAAACATAATTTTTTTACTGGTTTAGTTATATTGACATTTTGCTGTAAAGTAATATTGGCGTATTTTATATACGCTAATATCACTATTCATATTTTTTTGTAATGTGTCAGTAAGTTAATAAATTACTTAGTATAATTTTGAACTATCAGAGAATACTGTGATTTGTATAATATGTATATAAATCGATACTTACGTTCAATGAGAATTGTACAAGCACTAAACGGATTACCAGTATATCCCGTTTGACATATACATGTTGGCATGTGATTGTTAACTTGACATAGCGCATTTGAGCCACATGTACCAGGACAAGGATCGATACATTTCAGCCTATTACAAGCTCTATTAAGAGGACAATCAGAATTTATGACGCACTCTGGTCGACAGCCTTCATAAGGATTTCCGGAATATCCATCTAAACATTGACATGAACCAATTCTGTTTTGTTCTCTGCAAACAGCATTCGAACCACATGGACTTGGACTACAAGGAGTTAAAACTTCTGGCGATTCCATAATTGTTTGTGGACTACAATAAGAAAATGGATCTCCGGTGTAACCTTCTTGACATATGCACATTGGTGCATGACTTACAACTCTACATTCTGCATTAGAACCGCAAATTCCGATGCATGGATTCGAGCATTTGTTATTCAAACATGCCAAATTATAATCACATTCACTATTACTGATACATTCCGGTCGACAGTTTGGAGGTGATCCTTTAAAAGTTGGTAAGCATGCACATATTGGATTTTCTCCGCTCATTTTACAAATCGAGTTTGGGCCACATGGGGACGGTTCGCATGGGTTTACTTGAATCTTGTCTTGTACTGAAAGTAAAAATTTATAATAAAGTAAATGTAATATAAAAATAAATTTTTATAAATATGTATTTACATTAGTATTAAATTACCTTTAATAGAACATTTTACAAATGGATCTCCAGTAAATGATGGTGGGCATGTGCAAATTGGACTGTGGTTTATTACATCACATATAGCTCCGGAACCACAAGCACCGATGCAAGGATTTACACATTTTTGATTATTGCAAGCTTCCTTTAATGGACATTCTAGACTGACAACACATTCAGGTCGACAATTAGGTGGACTGCCTCGATATCCCGATACGCATGAGCAAACTGCTTGGCCATTTGATTGTCGGCATTGACTGTTAGGGCCACATGGTGTAGGATTACAAGGATTTATTGATACAACTGAAATAGTATATAATAAATTCATAATTACATTTTTAATTAATGTGGTGACATAATTATTTAATAATGCATCTCTTTATTAGTTAAACAAATAAATAGTTATAGATACAGGCAGATATACTTTTTTGGTAAATAAACAAAACCATATATTAATTTATTTTTAAGATTTAACGCAACATGATTGCAGATAAATAGTAGTAGGTATATACATAACAATATCTATATACCTGATTGTTAGTATTGCCGAAGTTTCGAAATTAACAAATTTAAAACGATCTAATACATGTACTCATGATTTATAATTTGTGTGACAAAGATTGTCAAAAGGAGGCATAAAAATTTGCAATAAAAACTAGGTAAAAAATTTATGCCAAAGTACTTTAATAACTATGTATGACCTAACACAAATATTTGATAAATATTATGTCAAAGAATTATCACTAAATTTTAATAAAATAATTATACTGATCAAACTAATCTTATGAGACATATATCACCGAGATATAGCGCTATGACAGATGAATGAACGGACGGAAAGATTCGCACCATAAATATTCCTTTGTACCTGATATGGAATCCTAAAAAAATCATGAGTGTAAACTGTCAATAAATATAATTTAGAAGTTCAGTTTTTCATAACTTTTAACTTGATTAATTGTGATTTGTAATAATTTATTTAATATGGTACGTATTAAAAACTCAAAATATTATGTTATCAACTGAACTTTTTTGATGCTGGAGAAATCTTAATTAACTTACCCATCGAGTAACGGCATTCTATAAAAGCGTTTCCACTCATACCCTTTGGACAAGTGCACATTGGTATGTGATTATGGACGTCACAAACTGCGTTTTGTCCACATGTTCCAACACAGGGATTAACGCATTTATTTCTTTGACAACCTTTATCCGGTGAACAATCTGTATTATATATACATTCTGGTCGACAGCCAAAAAGGGGATCACCGCGATATCCTTCTATGCAGGAACAAATGCCATTGTTACAGTTAGCATTGGGGCCACAAGGATTTGGATTACACGGATTGATAGGACTAGGTATATCTAAAAAAAAAAACAGAATTAAAATCAGTTTTTTAAAGTTAATATATTAAGTACAGTTATATTCTTTTATTTATTACTTATCTATTCAATATTTTGTATTTTAAATAAAATTTTGAACATTTCTAAATTACAAAAATAATTACATGAAATAAATAAATACCTATATCAATAATGAATTTCGATACTATTTACAAAATAATTTTAAACCATATAATTTTGTACTTAATATACATACCTTGTTTTGGTTTAGAAACACACTCTCTAAAAGGATCACCAGTTAATCCATCTGGACATATACAGACAGGAATGTGGTTATTTACGAAACATTTTGCATAGAGGCCACATGATCCTTCGCAGGGATCTCTGCACTTTTCAGATACACATGCTTGATTGCTTGAACAGTCAGAGTGTACCACGCATTCAGGTTTACAAAATGGTGGTGAACCAATGTAAGATGGCAAACAAGTACAAGATGCCAATCCATTGTTGTCATGACACTCTGAATACAAGCCGCAAGGTGATGGGACGCAAGGATCTGAAGGTGTCGCCACGACTGGAGATGTATCTAACGAAACAATAGTTATATCATATAATCATATTCAGAAATTTATATATTTTATTATTAATGGTAATTATTTACGTACATAAATACTTACATATATTTGGAGTACATGTAACAAACGGATCTCCGGAATAACCACGTATACAAGTACAAACAGGACTATGGTTTATTACTTTACATTCGGTATTTCGTCCACATGGTCTTGGACATGGATTTGCACACCTTTGATTAATACAAGCCCTGTTAGTTTTACATTCGGAATTCACAATACATTCAGGTCTGCAATTTGGTGGAGATCCAATGTAATTAGGTATACACGAACAAACAGGCTGGCCATTAACTTCTTTACAGTTGGCATTTATACCACATGGCGACGGGTTACACACATTAATTACTGACTCATCATGTTCTGGAAATGAATATATGTGTGTTAATTTTTTATAATTAGGATTGTATTAAATTTAAAAAAATCGCCGTTGCATTCATATAAACTTACCAAGTATAGCTAAACACATAGATAGTGGATTGCCAGTAAATCCAAATTTACAAGTACACGATGGCTTATGATTTGTGACGTAACATTCCGCGTTGTATCCACATACACCAGGACATGGATCAACACATTTATTTCGGTTGCAAGCAGAGGTCAAAGGGCAATCTGAATCTGCTAAGCATTCAGGTCTACAACCTTGATATGGATCGCCGAAATAATCTGACAAACACGTACATGATCCCACGTTTCCTTGAACTTTACATTCAGTGTTTATGCCACAAGGTGAAGGCTCACATGGATTTAAGTATTCGATCTGTGGTGGAGCTGAAATATTTTTACAATGTCGTAAAAAAACACTTACCGAAATATCAGTCATTCACCTCCGTCAGTAGAAGCACCTCCTTGGTCCGAAGCGTTAGTCGAAGCTTGCTGGGCTCGGCGACTTTTAGTGACCTCCGTTGATAACATCACTATCTCTAGCGGTACCGTCCAAAGCGATCGTCACGGCGAACGACAAGCTTTACTGTAAGTGCTAGGTTATCTCCGCGTGCTCCGGTTTTTAAGCAAAGGCATTAGGTAATTTCACATAAAAAGTTATATCAAGATGTTACGTCCCTTCTGGAAGCATTTAAAAATTCTAAATGATTAAAATTATGTTTTACCTGATCCGAAGGCTGTAATGTTTGAAGCATAAATAGTTACTGAATCGATGAGAATACTCGTAGATCAGGTGGTGGGCATGGTCACCACACAAATCTCAAAGTAAACCCACCCATACAGTTCTATTTTTATTGGTACATTAGTAAACCGTGTGAGGCGTGACCGTCTTGAAATTTTTACAATGAGCACACCTTTAAAGCATGATATCTCACGCTTCGCAAAGCATAGTGTTACATGCGCTTCCAAAATCCTAATTCGATTTTTTTTTCTTACAATGTTAATTTATTTAAATAATTACCTTAGATTTCAGTAATTCAGTCAACTAAATTTTTGATCTAAAAACATGTTTATTTCACATCTATAAATTCTCATTTATTTAATTATATAAATATTGTTCTTACCTCTTGGAGGAGAGCAACCCTGGAATGGATCGCCTTCTAGACCAGGTTCGCAGGTACACGATGCACGGTGATCAATTACCGAGCAAATAGCTCGTGATCCACAGGCTTGTTCACATGGGTCTTTACATCGCTGACCAACACACGCTAGTGTAGCTGCGCACTCAGCACTAATTGTGCATTCTGGCCTACAGTTCGGTGGAGCTCCGATAAAACTAGGTTGACAGCTACATGCAGGTGTTTCTCCTGAATTTACACATATTGAGTTGGGTCCACATGGTGAAGGTTGACACGGGTCAACAGGTACAGATGGTGGCTCTACAAAATAATAACAGAAATTAATAAATATGACATTGCACTGAATTATATAAACAAATTTACTCCGAATTATAACAGCATAACTTACCTGGAGCAGGATAGCAATATGTGAATGGATCACCCGTATATCCGTCATTACAAGTGCAAATAGGTGAATGTGCTATAACTTGACAACGTGCTCCACGACCGCAAGCTCCTTCACAAGGATCGCGACAACGGCGGTCAATACAAGCTAATTGTAGTTTACATTCAGAGCTAACGAGACATTCTGGCCGACAAGATGGAGGAGAACCAACATGGCCTGCTTTACATGAACATGCTGCAGCTCCATTAGTACTCACTGTACATTCACTGTAAGGGCCGCAAGGTGATGGTGAACATGCCGATTGCGTTACTGTTAAAACAACAAAATAATGAGTTTTTTTTTTATTATCACACTTTAAAAATAATTAGTATTACATCTTTGAATATAACTAAAAATTATTAAAACTTCTTACCTATCTGTTTTACTTCTGTACATAATGCAAATGGATCTCCAGATGTACTAGGTGGACAAGTACAAGATGGAATGTGGTTATTTACTGAGCACACGGCATTTGTACCACAGGCGCCAGGACATGGATCAATACATTTTCCACCTTGACAGGCACGTGTAGGTGAGCATTCTCCATTAGTCGAGCATTCCAATCGACAACCAATATAGGGATCTCCAAAATAGCCAGGTGCGCATAGGCAAACCCCAGTTTCACATAGAGTGTTACTTCCACAAGGCGATGGATTACATGGGTCAGCTGAAGGCGTTGGTGAAACTATGAAATAAATATTATATTAATATTTGTGTAGGTTTTTTGGTAAGACAAAGCTTGTTCTTCTCATAAATGTTATGTCATATAAGTAGATATTCATCAATATCATAGTTTACTTAAATGTGTCAATAAAATCAACCTAAATATTAATTCGGATTCCCTATCCCATTAAACTATTTTTAATTTTTATTTCGATAGATATATTATTTCGTAGCAACAAAGTTATTAATTTTCAATTGCATATAAATTAATTTAATTGATTTAGTTTAGAGATATTTTATGAGAATAATCACAAAACTAACTAAACTATTATAGTATATATTAAATTTACAAGCGATATTGAGTCTAAGACTATACTTTTGTGAGTTCTATAATCTTAACCTAAAAGAATGAGAAATCCTATAAAACATACACATGGCTATCAAATATATAGCACCGTTTGCCATCAACAAGAATTGGATATCGTTTCCTCAGAAGATTCCTCCTGGGAACGCTTAGATTATGGAATAAGCTTCCTACCGAGATCTTTTCTAGATACTACAATAAAAGATTATTCAATAAGGGTAATTAAAGGTAATCGTTAAGACAGAATATATGCTTGTTTTTTTTACTATTGTTTTAAAAAAATTGTATAAACGAATGTTAATTTTAAATGATGATAAACATAAAATGATGTTCCATTAAGAATTATTGATAATAGTTAATCTCATAACTTACTTATTACTTCTGTACATTGAATAAATGGATCACCAGTGTAACCTGTTGGGCAGCTGCATATCGGAATATGATCATGTACTCTACATTCAGCTCTATAACCACATGATCCTTCACAAGGATTTGTGCATTTTTCGGCAATACATGCTTGATGTGATGGACAGTCAGTATTTACTAAACATTCTGGATGACAATTTGGTGGACTACCAATATAACCTTCCAAGCAGGAACACGATGGGCTATCTCCAATAGGTCGACATTCACTATATGGACCACAAGGATTTCCTTGGCATGGTTTTGGCTTATCGATTGGTCTGTTTTCTATTTTTTTGGGACAACTTATAAATGGATCACCGCTAGTACCAGCAGGACAACTACATAATGGACTATGATTAATAACTTGACAGTGAGCTCCAATACCACATGTTCCACGGCATGGATCTGCGCATTTCAATCGATGACATGCCCTATCTGATGGACACTCACTGCTTACTGTACATTCAGGTCGACAATCTGGTGGAGCGCCTATATAATCTGGTAGACATTCACACGAGGCCAATCCTCCGTTTTCTCTGCAAATGCTATTTGGCCCACAAGGAGATGGTTGACAGGGTTTTATTTCTATTACTGGCATATCCTTAGTACATTGAACAAATGGATTTCCGGAATGGCCCTTAATGCAGGAACAAGTAGGAACATGATTAATTACAGTACACTCAGCATTAGACCCACAGATTCCAGGACATGGGTCTGCACACTTATTTCGAATGCAAGATTTATCAGCAGAACAATCGGAACTAAGTACACATTCAGGTCGGCAACCTTCATAGGGATTTCCTTGGTATCCTTCTAAGCAGGAACAAGAACCTGCACCGTCGCGTTGGTTACATATAGCATTAGCACCACATGGTGATGGATCACATGGTTGTGCGACATTTTCTGAAATAAAATATTATGTTACGTACAATAGAATATATTAAAATTAAAATACTAAAATTATTAAATCATATTTTACCATGTATTGGTATGCATTGCAAAAATGGATTGCCCGTGTATTTTTCTTTACAACTGCATGATACAGTATGACTCACAACAATACATTCTGCATTAATACCACAGGATCCTGGGCATGGGTCTATACATTTATTCCTAACACATGCTTGATTTGAAGGACAGTCAGGATTTATTACACACTCTGGCCTGCAATTAGGTGGTTGTCCTATATAATTGTCAATACATCTGCAGTTTGCTTTGCCATTTCGATCTAAACATACTGCATTTGGTCCACAAGGAGAAGGATTACAAGCATCCACTGGCTCTGGAGGAATATCCATTAAATAGCAACTTTTGAATGGATCTCCTGTTTGTCCTGGATTACAACTACAAATTGGACTATGATTGATTACTTCACAGCGAGCGGATACACCACATGCATTGATACATGGGTTGATACATTTCTGGTTAACACAAGCTTTTGTAGAAGGACACTCAGAGCTAACAACACATTCTGGTCTACATAATGGCGGCGATCCTTGAAAACCTTCAATGCAAGCACATACAGCCGTATTGTCTGTTGTCCTGCAAACACTATTAGGACCACAAGGAGATGGATGACATGGGTCCTTTGATATCTTTTTGTCATCTGCCATAGGATAGCAATTTGTAAATGGATTGCCGGTATAGCCAGCTGTACAAGAACATGTTGGAATATGGTTAACAACATCACATTTTGTATTTTGTCCACAAACTCCCGGACATGGGTCACGACATTTGTTTCTGAAGCATGCTTTATCTCTAGGACATTCCTGACTTCCTGTACATTCTGGTCTACATGATTCGTAAGGATTACCAATGTAATCTGACAAACATGTGCAAAATCCATTATCGCATTGGGCATTCGGCCCGCAAGGAGATGGATTACATGGATCAGCAGAAGACGGAGTTGTGGGTACTGAAAAATAATGAATTATTAATTAATGTATAGATGCAATAAATATACAAAATATTTATAGTGTTACATTATATAATATTATACCATCCAATATTGGTTGACATCTTGAAAATGGATCGCCTGTGAATCCTTCATTACAGACGCATACGGCAACATGATTTAAAACATGGCAATTAGCATCAACTCCACAAGATCCAGGGCACGGATCTTCGCATTTTTGTCTTACACATGCTAATGATGCAGGACATTCCGAATTTATAGTGCATTCAGGACGACAAGAAGGTGGTGATCCTACGAAACCAGGTAAACAAGAACAAGCTGGTCCGCTGTCCAGTAATTGGCACCGTGAATGTGGTCCGCATGGCGATGGCGTACAAGATGGTGGTCGCTCAGTTGTTTGTGTCGTAGCTATAATAATTGAATGAAAAGTTAGTACTAACTTAAATAAATCTGCTAATAATTTTATGATAAAAATTAAAATACATCAATATAAACTAAATAATATAATATAGTTAAGTAAATATACTAATTTTATTTCTACATCTTATTGAGTGAAGCGTCAGATAAATATAAATGATGATGTATAATAATTTGATGACTGTTATTCAAATATTATAATAGTTACTTGATTTATTATTCAACTCACATATTTTATACAGTAATTTCTAGATATATTTTTTTGTTAGATTTAGATATGATTCTTATTTTTTTTATGCAACAGAATGGCAAACAAGTTAACAGTCCACCTGAGGAAAAGTAGTAATCTTCGCCTATAGACATGAACAGTACCATCGACATAATAGATTATAATGAGTCAGCCACAATACAATTCCTGCGTTGCCATTTCTGAGAACTATGGTGTTAATTAATTAAATTATTATTACTATTTTGTTTTCAAAAATATAAAATACTTACGATAACATTGAGTAAATGGATCGCCAGTCATTCCCGCAGGACATGTACATATAGGATTATGATTTTTCACTAAACAATGAGCTCTTAATCCACAGGTGTTAGGACAAGGATCGTCACATTTCTGATTAATGCAAGCTTTAGAAGTATCACATTCACTGTTCACGATGCATTGCGGTCTACATGACGGTGGCGATCCTATATAATTCGGTAAGCAAGAACATACTGCTTGCATATTCACTTGTCTACATTGACTATTTGGTCCACAAGGTGTCGGTTCACATGGATTTTGAGCCGGAGTAGCTGAAATTTATTTGCAGTATTTATAATAAACTAACGAGCCGCCCCGGCTTTGCAGGAGTACAATAATTAAGATACATTATATGTATATACAAAGCTACCTCTACAAAATTATTAAAAATAACAACGTAAAACCCTTAAGAAATCGTATCAACATCGTACTTTAGAAATTTACTTTTATGATGTTTAAAACCCTAAACAAGCTAATAACCCAACTGATAGGAAATGGCAATTGTTATCTCTTATATAGACAATACTGTGGATATCATAAAACACAATATCTAATTTATAACTGTATTTATGTTTATACAAATATATTATTGATTTAATGATAATTTTTTTATGTATTTATTTTATTCATAAATTGTTATAATGTATTAAAAATTAATAATAATATTAATAATTTTTCACATTTATCTCATTTATACCTATTAATTTCACTTCTAGAAAAGTCAAAATATAAAAAAAATAAAAATATTTATTTGAATAATTAATTATTAACTTACGTGGTATTACAATTTCTTTACACTCAAAGAATGGATCTCCTGTGAAACCTCGTGGACAAGTACATATAGGTACATGGTTATCTACAGAGCATTGAGCGAATTGACCACATATATTATGACAGGGATCAATACACTTGTATCTTGTACATGCTAAGTTTGGTGCACAGTCGTCATTATTTTCACATTCTCTACGACATCCCTGAGGATTATATGGATCACCATAATAACCATCAAAACAAAGACACGCTCCCGCTCCGTTATGCTCGCGACATTCTGCATTCAGTCCACACGGTGATGGAGAACATGGACTCGTAACAGACATTTCAGTAGCTACAATAAAAAAAAATATGTTTAAATGGTGTATTAATAGTACAATAATTATTTTATAATAAATACGAAGACTTACGAGGTATAAGAATTTGATTACAATTATTATTGGCATCTCCTGTAAAACCTTGTTGACAACTACATATCGGGTTGTGATTTACTGTTAAGCATAGTGCATTTGAGCCACATGCGCCTTGACATGGATCTTTACAACGTTCATTAATGCAGGCTGTATTACTGGGACATTCAGCATCTATTGTACATTCTGGTCTACAATTCGGAACTCTTCCAATGTAATTTGCTAGACAGGAACAAGCAGCTTGATCTCCAATTACACGACATTCAGAATTAGGTCCACAAGGTGAAGGTACACATGGGTTTTCATTGAAATTAGGGTCTCGTCCTGAAATGATTAAAATATTTTAATTTATATGAATTCCATTGAACTGTTAGAATAAAGAAAATCATTTATTCAAATAAACTTACATTCAAGCACTTTTGAAAAGTCATTACATTTTTTTTAATTGTATGTAGGCTCTTTTAAATAATTTTATTATTATTTTACATTTTTAAGTTAAATTACAATTAGCACTAATTCAATTAAATACTCAAAAAGAAAAAAAAATTGAATTAACCAACTGGTTAAACAATTAATGCATCTAGTAAATGGATCACGAGTATGACAGTGAGCCAAATCGACCATATTTTGCCCAATGAGAACAACTGGACAAATGGGACTTCAAAACACTAGACCACGTTATATTGCCATCTGATAGTTATAGTATTCACATTTTACATAAGAATGCATGCGGCAATTAATACAAAAAACCGCTACGCTTTCATATTTCTAAAATTAATCAATTAAATAAGAACGAATTAAATAAGAAAGAACATAAAACTCAATAATTGTATGTAGGTAAATTACTTACTTTCTTCAGGATTGCATCTAGTAAATGGATCACCAGTAAATCCTGGAGAACAACTGCAAATGGGATTATGCGTTATAACTTGGCATCGAGCATTAAGTCCACAAGTGTTAGGACATGGATCTACACATTTCTTATTAACACATGCTTTATCTTGTGGACATTCAGAGCTAACGATACATTCAGGACGACAGGATGGCGGAGTCCCGACATAACCACTTTCACAAGTACACACACTGTGTCCATTTATTACTCGACAAAGGCTATTAGGCCCACAAGGCGAGGGTTTGCAGGGATCTTGTGGAGATTCTGATTTATCAGAGGCTGTAAAAACAAAATAAAAATAATTTAAATTTTAAGAAGATGATGCATGACATAGGATTTTAGATTATTTAAAAAATATATTATATATATGAGGAGTCTTATTAAAATCAGTGGATTTTTTTTTTGTATTTTGAGAAAATTTATCTGACTAGTCTGTATGTTTATTCCTCCATCACGCTGCACCAAATTGGATGCGACTTTCACAGTTGTGTTCTTAAGGTCAAATTTAATATCTAGTTCTATTCATTTTGATACTCTATTTTTCCTATTTCTGAAAAGCTAAAAATTTGTAACAATATATGAAACAATAGATAATTGACTGAATTTTACGTTTTTAATCATTGTTACCGATTTTTCGTTTTAGTTTAAACAGTTAAATTAATATTATGGAAATAAAAAGAATATTAAAGAATAGAAACAGATAGTTCTCATGTTTGTCCATTCCTCAGATATACAAAAAAAAAACAAAATGGAGAGAACATTTAATCAAATTCAACATATTTTAGAATTTTATCTGTTTGGTTGTTTATTTTTGCCGTTCATGTCCTAAACGGCTGACAATAATCTAAATAAAGACAATATATTAAAGTGTTATTATAACTTTTCTTAGTGAAAAAAGATAGATAATATACTCACTTCCTATTTCACATTTGATTATAGGGTTACCAGTATAACCCGATAAGCAGGTGCATGTCGGTGAATGGTTAACTGTTCTGCATTCAGCGTTTATGCCACACGTTCCTGGGCAGGGATCTTTACATTTATTGTTTGAACAGGCTTTATTGCGATCACAATCAGAATTAGACACACACTCTGGACGACAGCCTGTATATGGATCACCGAAATATTCTGGCAAACAAGAACATGATCCCACACCATTTCTTTCTTTACATATTGCATTTGCTCCACAAGGTGACGGATTACAAGGATTGGGCGGTGGTTCTGATTTACCTATAAAAATTACAATTTTAGGTGATTAAAAATTTATAGACTCCGGATGAAGTCATCACAGTCAATTAATGAAACTTACTCTCAACTGGTGAACATCCACTGAATGGATCACCTGAATACCCTGATATACAATTACACAACGCTACATGATTTGCTACAGAACATTCCGCATTTAAACCGCAAGAACCAGGGCATGGATCTACACATTTTTCATTTTGGCATGCAAGATTACCAGGACATTCCGCGTTTATGGAACATTCTGGTCTACAATTTGGAGCTACACCAATGTAACTTGGTAAGCATGAACATGCAGGCGCTTCTCCAATCACTTTACATTGTGAATATGGACCACACGGTGAAGGTACACATGGATTTCCTTTAGGCCCCATTAAAATAGGTTCTAAGAAAGAAAACAAAATAGATTAAGAAAGATAGTAAATAGAATATAAATAAGAATATCAGATAAAAAAGTAATAGAATAACATCTCAGAATAAGATCATGCAAGAAGGAGAGAAAATACGCGACGTACACAAGGGGTTTGTTTCTGATTAAAATAAATTATTAAACATCTTTTTTAATAAATATAATTTTATTTTTTTTAATATAATCTTACTTGGCTCTAACTGGCATGTAACAAATGGATCTCCTGTAAATCCTGCTTTGCAGGTACAAATCGGATTATGATTAATAGTTTGGCATCGAGCATTAACACCACAAGTTCCTGGGCATGGATCTCTGCATTTTTGTTTAATACAAGCCTGATGTTGAGGACAATCTGTACTAATAACGCATTCAGGGCGGCAAGTTGGAGGTGCGCCAACGTATCCGTCTTGACATGAACAAACTCCATGTCCATCTACTACTTTACATGTACTATATGGTCCACATGGCGTTGGAATGCATGGATTTACTTCCGTTTTAGGAGCTAAAATAACATATGAAATATTAAATTTTCAGTACAAAATATTCGTTTATATATTATATAAAATTATAAATATTTTTTTTTATTACTAACGTATTCTTTGTGGATGACACGATATTACAGGATTTCCTTCGTATCCGTCAATACATAAACAAACCGGTTTATGATGTGCTACAGTACATTGCGCATTAATTCCACATGCTCCTTGACATGGTTCTATACACTTGTTATTTGAACAAGCTTTTTGTAATGGACAGTCATTGTTTGTAACGCATTCAGGTCTACAGCCTAAGTATGGATCTCCAAAATATCCTGTTTGACACGTACACGCACCAGCATTATTTCTTTCTGTGCATATAGCATTTGGGCCACATGGTGACGGGTTACATGGATTTGTCTCATCTTCAATCGGTACTTTGACTAAAAGCATTACATAATTATGAAATTTCCAATATAACCAGATAAGTAATCATATTAAAAAACAGCAGTTTCATTTTTTGACGAAACATAACTTTGTTGTGTAACTTTAAAAAAATAACTCAATCACAGGAACTTACCAATAAAAATACAACCTCTAAATGGATCACCAGTATAACTTTCACGACAATGGCATACTGCTTTGTGGTTTATAACAACACATTCTGCGTTAGAACCACAAGAACCTTCACAAGGATTATAACATTTTTCCCGAATACAAGCAAGATTACTAGGGCATTCTTCATCATATATACATTCAGGTCGACAATTAGGGGCGCGACCTATATAACCCGGTTGGCAAGAACATGCTGGCGTTTCCCCTATAATACGACATTGAGAATTTGGTCCACATGGTGAAGGAATACAAGGATTTCTTGATGGTTTTGGTTGATCTCCTAAAACATTGATTTTTAAATCTTAGTTTTATTATTGTAATTGTTAAGAATTATATATAAAATAAATTCAATATATAGTTAATAAATTTCAACTCACGTTCCTTATATATGCAATTTGTAAACGGATCACCGATATAGTTTTGTAGACAACTGCATAGTGCATTATGGTTGACTACAGTACAATGAGTATTACTTCCGCATGCTCCTATGCACGGATCTACACATTTTTGATTTAAACAGGCCTTATTTGGCATACAATCGCTGCTAACCATACATTCTGGGCGACAGAAAGGAGGAGATCCGAAATATTGCTCCTGGCATGAACATATGGCATGCCCATTGTTCACACGACATAAACTATAAGGGCCACAAGGCGATGGTAAACATGGATCAGTGGGCTTTTCAACAGGGCCTAAAATAATTCATGTAATATTATTTTATTTTTACTTGTATTTCTAAGTAAAATACGATTAAAACAAAATAATAATACGATACATACTTAAATAACAGGATGTAAATGGGTTTCCTTCATAACCTGGTAGACAGGCACAAGATGGAGCATGATTATTTACGCGACATTCTGCATTCATACCGCAAACTCCTGGACAAGGATCCTTGCACTTATTGTTTATGCACGCTTTATTTTTGGGACAATCTGTATTTAAAACGCATTCAGGTCTACATTCAACATATGGATCTCCATAATATTCTGGAAGACAGGAACAAGATCCTGCACCATTTCTTTCTTTACATACAGCATTTGCACCACAAGGAGATAATGCACATGGATTAACGTCCTGGAATTCGATGGCTAAAAATTACAAAAACTTTAAGTATGGTGTTTTATAGCATCTAAATTTGAAATAAGTACAAATCATTACAACTCACGTGGAATTAATGAGCATCCTGAGAAGGGATCTCCAGTGTAACCTTGTTCACATGTACATATAGGTATATGTTTAACTACATTACACGTAGCATGTAAACCGCAAGATCCAGGGCATGGATCGCTACATTTTTCCGATATACATGCAAGATTTCCAGGACATTCGATATTTATGATGCATTCTGGTCTGCAATTTGGCGGACGGCCTATGTACTCATCCAAACACGAACAAACTGGTACACCATTAATTTCTTTACATTGCGAATGTGGGCCACATGGACTTGGAGTACAAACGTCTATTGGTATATTCGGCCCTGTTATTAAAAATATCATTTTATAGTACCTTTAAATTTATTAGAATATTTGTGAAGAAGTAATAATAAAAACTTACGTTCGTCAATGTAACATCGTACAAAAGGATCGCCTGTGTAGCTATTTTGGCAACTACATATCGGATTATGATTTACCACTTGACATTCCGCGTTTACGCCGCACATACCGGGACAAGGATCCTGACACTTTTGATTCATGCATGCTTTATCTGGTCGACAGTCAGAACTCACTATACACTCAGGTCGACAATTAGGCGGAGAACCGACACACATATCAAGACATGTGCAAACGGCGTGACCGTTAAAAGTACGGCATTTACTGTATGGTCCACAAGGTGACGGATGACACGGATCCACGGGCACTGATGAAACTAAAGTAAATAGGGATAGTAGAAAGATATAAGTTTAGATTTCAGAAATAAAGAAAGAAAAAGATAAAGTAGAAAAGATCTTACTCGGAAAGAGATTGCATGCATGAAGAGGGTTTCCAGTATATCCAGGCAGGCAGTAACATGAAGGAGCATGATTTACAACTCGACAATCAGCATTTTGTCCACATGTACCAGAACATGGATCCACACATTTATTATTGAAACAGGATCTATCTATAGAACAATCTGTGTTCATGACACACTCTGGATGACATCCTACATATGGATCGCCATAATAATCATCAATACAAGTACATGACCCAGCACCGTTTCTTTCCCGACACACTGTATTAGGCCCACAAGGTGATGGATTACAAGGATAATGCACAGGTATATCTTTTGGTGCTGAAAATATATAATATACAAAACATGCTTTAATATCTACTATAATATAGCACTACGGTAATAGATATCATTTATGAAATTGATGTACAGAGTAAAATCGAAGCCTTTAGCCGTACATAAAATTAAGAATCTGCCTGTGCTATAGAATATATTAATACAGAAATTTCGTCAATTATAAATTCAGAAATATTTTATCATTTTTGTCTTTTCGACCCATGTTTCACCTGTAGAACACTCGTTCAAAAAGATGCTAACGATTTCGATTTAACCCTGTGTAGAGGTATCTAGTAAACATGCAGAATGATAATAACAAGGTACAATATGTGACACAAATACTATCCTATCTACAAAACAAAATAGTCTTTCATAAACTTACCTTCAATAGGATTACAACCGGCAAAGGGATCTCCTGAATAACCTTCATCACAGGAGCATATGGGTCGATGATTTTGCACGATACAACGAGCGTTGAAACCACAAGAACCGATACAGGGATTGACGCATGTACCAGCAAGACAGGCAAGTGCAAGAGGGCAATCTTGGTTGATAACACATTGTGGTCGACAGGCAGGTGGGGCACCCAAAGTACCGGGATCGCACGCGCATATTGCACGGTTGCCTTCGTTGCGGCAAGTTGAATGAGGTCCACAGGGTGAAGGCAAACATGGATCCGGTGGCGGCTGCATAACCTCTGTAAATATAGATAAATTTATAATTCCACTAATATTTCCTCATTCATTAATCCACTAGTTTTTTGCCCACTACTTAGTATACGTAGATTTCAGAAGTTGAATTAATTTTACGTATGGATAGTCTATCAAGGAGAAATATATACCTACCAGATTTAAAGTTAGACTTTCAGGAACACGACTATGAAAACAGCATCCAATGTAGTAGTAGTATTGGTATAGTGCCAGAATAAACATACAGGCATTTTATTATACAAGAAATAAAATAGTAGGATTATTAAGCTTTAGCTTTAAATTTAAGATAAAAGTAGCCTATGTGTTAATTAAATATGCATAATCAGTGTATCAAATTTTATTTAAATCAGTTTAGCTGTTTAAAATTTCCCATTTTCATATTAAATAATAAAGTGTAGATGGAATATAATTTTAATAGGATGAATATATAATTATTTTTGTAATTGTTATACTACACGTCTTGCTATTATAACAATCTATGACACGATGGTAAGCATGTTATTTTTCAAAAGGTTCTTATGTAAAATTTTCGTATAGATCAATCTAGAAAATTAACTGACCCTAAATTAGACTGATCGGTTCAGTCATCATCTATCCTTCTTATAAGTAAATTGACTCGGGTTTTCCTGACTTATTTGGGTTCCTAGATGCACGTAGATCTTACAATTATAATATAAAGCATCAGCAAGTTGGATAAATGAAATGTTGTGTAGCTTTTATTATATAAAAATAATACTAACTTTTTCTGTAGCATTTAATAAATGGATCTCCATCAGGGAAATTTTCAGGACAAGTGCAAATTGGATTATGTCCAACTACATGACATCGAGCATCAAGACCGCATACGTTAAGACAGGGATCCTTGCATTTAAGATTTATACATGCTTTGTTGGGCGGGCAATCAGAACTGACGGCACACTCTGGGCGACAAGCAGGAGGTGCGCCAAGATAGCCTACTTTACAAGAACAAGCAGCTCGTTCATTTGCAACATGACACTCGCTATTTGGCCCACATGGTGACGGTGAGCAAGGATTGATTGGTGTAGCTGTAAAAATATAATTATCATTAATTAATATAGAAAGTATCCAGATGAAAATATTAAATAATTAGAACTTTATTATACAGATTATAGGTATTACTTAATATATTTGTATTTAATTACATTAATTTCACTGCTTTTATTAGCAGTAAACCTAACACGAGTTACGTATGTAAGTAATATTATAATCTATTAATATACCATAACACTTACATGGTTTAGATTTAGGTCGACATGAAGAAAATGGATCGCCTTCATGTCCTTTAAAACAAGTACATATTGGAACATGGTTCAAGACTGCACATTCTGCGTTTATACCACATAAGTCTTTGCATGGATCTCGGCAGTAATTTGATAAACAGGCTAAATGGTTTGGACAATCGGAATTCAAGGTGCATTCTGGCCGACAGCCACCAGCGTAAGGATTTCCGATATTAGGAGGAATACATGTACAACGAGCTACATTATCTACTACAGTACACATCGTGTTCTCGCCACAAGGAGAAGGATTGCATGGAGTTAATGACTCATTTTTAGATATTATAACACATCCAATAAAAGCATCTCCTCTGTAACCATCTAAACAACTACACAAAGGAGTATGATTCACAACATTACATTTGGCGTTATTTCCGCATGCACCTAGACACGGATCCACACACTTCTCATTTATGCAAGCTTGATTTGAAGGGCACTCTTGACTTATAACACATTCTGGTCTACAGTATGGCGGTGTGCCAGAATAATTAGGTTGACAAGAACATACTGGATGGTTAAGCTTTATCTCGCAAACAGAATTTGGACCACATGGAGAAGGAATACAGGGATTTTTTACATCGGGTATATCGACGATATCCGTGCATACTGTAAATGGATCTCCTGTTTTATCATTACCACAGCTGCATATTGGATTATGATTTAAAACAAAACAATCTGCATTGACACCGCAGCTACCTTGACAAGGATTTGAACAACGTTGGTTTACACATGTTTCGAATTGCTGGCAGTCTGAATTGCTAACACATTCGGGCTGACACATTGGTGCTACACCTCTATGACCAGGTAAACATGAACATACTGCAAATCCTGTGGGTGATATAATACATCGACTATATGGTCCACAAGGTGATGGGTCGCATGTAGTTAAAACTGGTGGCAGTGTAGGTATTGGTTGACATCTTATATATGGATCTCCCGTATAACTTTGCTCACAGTAACATACAGCATGATGGTTCACTGTTTTACATAAAGCTCCAATACCGCAAATATCTTGACAAGGATTTTCACATTTATTGTTTAAACAAGCCAAATTGGACTGGCAATCGCTATTTACAACACATTCCGGTCGGCAGGATAAGTACGGATTTCCATAGAAATTTGGTATACATTGGCATGTTAAAGCACCATTTAAATCTTGGCATATAGCATTGTCTCCACATTGAACATTATCACAGTATTTATTTGTTAACACAGCTGTAAATAAAATTGAAATGTTATTAAAAAGTTGTCAATTAAACCATTGGTAGAAAATTATAAATAGAAAGAAAAATTTCTTACGTTCCGTAATGGCCTTGCAATGTTCATATGGGTTTCCTACAAAACCATTTAAACATCGGCAAATTGGATTGTGATGATATATTGTACATTCAGCGTTTATACCGCATGACCCTGGGCATGGATCTATGCATTTATTTCTTAGACATGCTTTATCAAAAGGACAATCGGAACTCAACATGCACTCTGGTCTACAAGCAGGATTACTCGCAGCATTTGGCTCAGCACAAGCATCACATATGGCAAATTGATTTCCATAAGTATCACATGGAGCATTAGGGTCACATGGATTTGGGGAACATGGTTGAACTGTAGTGTTATCAGGTGTTACAAGAATAGCTGAAAATTTAAAGTAATTAAGAATTAAATTATTATAACAAAATAAAAATACAATTGAATTGTAAAAGATTATACTTACGCCGATATATACATTGTGTTAAGGGATCACCTATATATCCATCTTTGCACAAACATGATACTGTGTGATCTGAGCATAGGCAAACAGCATTGATGCCACAAACGTTATCAAATGCACATGGATCTACACACTTTTTGTTCAAACACGCTTCATTTGACAAGCAATCAGAATTCATTACACATTCCGGCTTGCATTCGATTGTTGGATTTCCAGAGAACTCGGGAGGACAAGAACATAATGCTGTATCTCCGACATCTTGACAAATTGCATTAATACCACATTGTGCTTTACTGCAAGGTGTTGAGGATTTTTGGTCTTCTGGTGGTAAACAGCATATGAGAGGATTGCCTATTAGCCCATTTTCACATGTACATAAAGGACGATGAGATTCTACATGACAAATAGCGTTCAAGCCACAAACACCTGGGCAAGGGTCACGGCAGGAATATCCAATACAGGCTTTGTTGATTGCACATTCGTCGTCGACTTCACACTCACGAGACTGACAACCCTCGAGACCATAAGGATCACCGGTACTACCTTCTGGGCAAGTACATAATGCTTGCCCTTCATAGTTAGGACTACAAATTGCTAGTGGACCGCATGGATTTGGATTACAAGGACTTTTTCTCGGTTGACATCCAGCGTAAGGATCACCAGTGAAACCAAATTTACAGAAACACATTTCCGTATTGCTACTTACATAGCAATCTGCATTCGCTCCACAAGGGCCCGGTTGACAAAGCCCGTGAGGTGGCAAATATGGTCGATTAATACAAGATTTGTATGGATTTCCTATTGTATTTTCTGGACAGTAACAGGCTGGTACTCTATTTTGATCGCAACGTGCACCGATTCCACACGTATTTGGCTCACAAGGATTACGTGCTTCCACACAACCTCGAACTGTATTTGGACTTTCAATATAACCTGGTAAACAGGTGCATTTAGCGAATCCATTTGATAATACCGTACATTGTGTATTAGGTCCACATGGAGATGGGTGACAAGGGTTGTTTGGTAATCTACACGACTGTCTTGGTGGATTTCCTTCATAATTTGGTAAGCAGAAACATGCTGGTTTATTTTCTATTAAACGACATCCCGAATTAGGGCCACATGGATTTGGTTCACATTCATTGCCTTCAGGAACTGAAATTATGAAATTTATTAAGTGAGTAGTTTTTAAGACAATAAAAGTCATATGACCGAACATTTATATATACAAATTAGTGCATATTATTAAACTCTCTTCCATCCATCATGGCTCTGTATTATAGATAGAGCGTAAAATCTTATGATAAATATATGATGATGAAAAATGTTAGTGAATTTACAAAAACATTTGGAACAAAATTTTAAACTATTCTAATATTTTATTATCAGATTACATTATTTATTATCTTATAATAACCGATTAATTCTTATATAACTTTAAAAAATAATTGTTACTTACTACAATTTTTAAATGGATTTCCAGTTAATCCTTTTGGACAATAACAAATTGGACTTCCATTATCATTTTCACATAATGCGTTGCTTCCACATGGATTTGGAGAGCAAGGATTTATAGGGGGCTCGCAGCCAAGAGTTGGATTTCCGCTATATCCTGGAAGACACTTGCACGACGCGCGATGATTGAGCACATCACAAATTGCATTTGCACCACACCGACATGGAGAACCGCATTTTCCATTCATACATGCTTCGGAATTGGCACATTCATTATCAGATCGACATCCTTGTACTAAAATTAAGGTTATGGCTAATCACAATCTTTATTTTTAAATACGAAAACATTGTTTACTAATTAACAACAATACATAGTCTTACTCTTATTTATAAATTAATGAAATCGTATTCACTTAAATGCAACGGCTGCTACCGTAACCGAATTCTACGGTACTGAATATAATTTCTTACATTTAATTTCTGCGTTTCATTCGCTGCCTAACTAAACATTTTTACAATAGATATGATATACATATTGTAAAATTTTCAATAACACATATTTATTGGTTATTTGATCTGAATTATTTTGTTTAATTCTTCTACCGTTAATATGTACGAGTATGTGATTGCCAACACTCAGAGATTGACCACCATTTTTACTATTAGAAGTTCAACGACCTTCCATATTAGCCATCAATCTCCGACTGCTAATTTGTTCACGCATGTTTTGCAACACGTGTTTCAAAACAGGCATCATACTAACTGGCATCTTCAGACAAATTATTAGATCGCAGCTCGGAGTCTAGTGTTAACCCAAACTACTAATGATTAATTTTCAACTGTGTTACCTAATTTATATCTTTTTAGTAGTGAAGTTTTCAAATCAAATAACCAGTGATATGGACTGCCGCAAAATAACAGTTCAGTAAAATATTAACAAATTTCTAATCCAATAAAAAGGTTAATTATAGCTTAGATTATGTATATTGTCAATATAATACAGGTTTTTGTTATCAGTAGCATCGAGGATAATTTCTAATACTAGCTATTTAAAATATTAACAATACCAAATAATACAATACCACCTAATGGAAAGTGGTAACCGTCGCCTATAGACATGAGCAGTACTATGGACATAACAGAGTGTACTATTTCGCCCATGATACTCCCCATGCGTTATCATTCCTGAGGACTCAGATGATATTCCTCTGTACCCTTTAAATTCACTGCCATATTATCAAACCATACCCTTCAAACCGAAACACAGCCATGTAAACACAACTGCTTCACGGTAGAAACACTAATGGGACAGAGGTGCCCAACAACTTATGTACATTCTCCCTCTGGTAAAATAGTTGGAATTATGAACGAAATATTATTCTTAAAATTAGTAGAATTTAAAAATATAAGTAATTTACTTACCCTGGAAACATTCTAGATAAGCATTTCCAGTAAAGCCGGCATAACATTTACATTCAATCCCGTGGTTTACAGGTATACACTCAGCATTATCCCCGCAACTATTAATGGCGCACGGATTTATGCATACTCTATTCAGTCTATCACATAATAAATTAGGCGGGCAATCTTCGTTATATTGACATACCGACCCTGAATTAACTACTAAAAATAAAATGTAAATATATTAATGTAAAAATATTTAGTAATATAAAATAATAATTAGTAGAATAGTTTACCTGGTACACAGCCGACGTATCCATTTCCATTATATCCTTCAGCGCAGCTACAATCGGAGCCATGCTTTGTATTTATACAGACAGCATTGGGTGCACATGGATTGTGTATGGCACATGGGTGTTGGCATGCATTATTTATACAAGCCTCAGTTAAATCACAATCTTCATTTCGAGTGCAACCAGCTAGATAAAAAGTTATATATTGTATTATACAAAGAAACAGTGCAACAAAATATATTCTATACTACAAAAGTACTGTATCGTGAATTTTGTTATTTAAATTAATACCTTTGTATACAAAATAATTTAAAAGTAAAATAAACTCATTAAAATTGCTTATCTTTTTTAAATTGATTTACACATATCTCACAATTGAAAACTTTAAAGGAAACACCACCAGGACTAAATGAAATTTTACGCTAATGACATTAGTAATATTAAATTAATTAAGTATTAAACGAGTAGTTAGAGCTTACATATTTTAGGCGAACATTTAACAGCGGGGTCTCCGTCTTGTCCCGCTGGACATGAACACATTGGCCTTTGTTTTACTGGCTGGCAATTAGCACCAACGCCACAAACATTGTCTATTTCGCAAGGATTATGACATAATCCCATGAAACACGCCTCAGTTTCTATACAGTCTCGATCTGACTGACAGGGTTCTGGTTTCTTAAGTGTTCCAGGTGATTCTAGTATGTTACATGTTAATAAGATATTAGTATTATGTTACAATTACAATTATGTTACAATGTTACAACTTTCAACAATTATTATTATTTGTGTATTTACAAAATTATTGAACACGTACTCATTTGTCCGATAAACCGTTTATTTTTTTATATCTTATTGTCTTGTAATATTCATAGATGATATATTTTAAAATCAATATTTATTTTATATTAAGTGTCATTTTAAATTAACTATATTTCACACCATAATATGGTTATAAAATACCGTAAAATTATACCTCTAATACAGAAGTCCCCAGCGGCCTCATCACATAAACAAACAGCAGCGTGGTTGACACTTTTACAGGGCGTATTCTTTGTACATCCATTCTGCTCCGCTTCACATGGGTTCTGGCATACTCCATTTAAGCAGGCTTTGTCCGTCGGACAATGTGAGTTGTTTTTACATTCATTATTTTTTGTGTCTGTGTTAGGGGTACTAGTCATCAGTACTGTGTCGGTAGCAAGTGTGGAGTCAGTCCAAGCAGGTATGTCAATATCTTTTCTTCGGGATGATAAATTTTCTGTAGATGTACTTAAATTAGGAGAAGTCATGGAAAAATTATGCTTGTTCAAAAATGATGTAGAATAATTTACATTATCTGAATACGATTTATTGCTAGGATAGGAAGTAGTGTCTGTATCATAATACGTGTTACTATCAGTATTAGTATCAGATGGTTGGGTTGTTGAGTCAGGCGATTTTTCTAGAATGTTCGAATTCGAAAATGAGGTTTCTGTTACTGTTTCTGATAATGGTATAACTGAAGTTGTCAATTCAAAATTTTCATTGTTTGTGGTAGACTCTATTGTAGCGTTATCATGGATTAATTTAAGAAAATCTGCTGTAGTAGTAATCTCTGGGGATAAAGTCACTATATTATCCACCGTAGACTCAAAACTAATACTACCGGAATCAAAATCAACAGGATTTGTTTGCAGTGTACTATGTTTAGTAACTATGGTTTCTAGAATACTTTCAGTGGTGTTTTTTATATGCTCGACTTCATTTATATTTATTGTAGTGTCTTGTTCAGTCACTGTACTATAATTATTTTCGCTATTAATTTTTAGTATGGGAGTCGATGTAAATTGACCAGTAAAAACCTTCTCTTGATTAACTATATCATTTTTTTCTGTATTTAAACTTATTTCCGTTGTTGATTCATAATCATTCTTATTAATTTTTGACATTGTGATATCTGAAACTATACGAGGAGTCTCTGAAGTTATTTCACTTGTTTCTTTTATCGCTAAAGTTTTCATAAATAATATATTTGAAGTTGTTATATCATAATTGACACTCTCTGTTATAAAATCAGAACTTGAAGAACTATCTAAAGTTGATTGGTCTGAAATAGAGTCAGGAATGAATTCTTTAGAAACTGATGTTGGTAACTTATAAGACATAGTAACTTTTGTATTAGTTTCTGTGCTTTCGTCAATTTTATCTTCATATTTTTAGTTGAGCTATCAGAAAATGTTGTTTGAAGGTCACTATATGTATTCGATGTCTCATAATTTGGAATAGCAGTTGATCCATTATCGAAGATCATATTTAATTGTAATGAATTTTTTGTAATTACTTGATTTGATTCAATATTCGACTCTGATGTAATTGCTGGCGTAACAGGTGCTTTATCATCATAGTTAAATTCATCACGTGCAAATGTAATCGTAGGTAAATTCAAAGTCTTTTTAGTTTGCGATATAATGGGTGAACTTGTCTCGTATGTTACCATATCAGATTTTGTTCCGAAATCACTTGAGGTCGGAAGAGTTACTTTAGAAGTAGACATTAATATATTCGTATCGTAATTTTCAGGCAATAAACTACTTTCTGAAGAAATATAATTACTTGGTTCTAAAGCTGTTTGTGTTTTAACGTCATCAGCTACTGTTGTGCTTTTAATTTCTTGATTAGTAATTGCTTCAGATTTTGTAGATAATATATCAGTACTCTCTTCTGTTGTTTTCACATCATTAAGCGCTAAGTCAGAGACAGTCGTTTCAGAATGATGTGTAGATATTATATTTGGTTCTGTGCTTTCAGTTTGAATACTATTGGATACAGGAGTTAAAGTGTTGTACTCTTTTTCAATAATGTCTGCCTTTAAAGTTGTTAAAGTTGATGTTTCATAATTTGTGTATAATTCGGTATTAATATTATTTAATTTCTTATTAGTAGTAATACTTTTATCCGACTCAAAAAGCGAGGTTGTATAGTCAGATGATGGTATGTAATAATTTTTGGTAATTTCTTGTATATTTTTGTCTTCGCTATTGGGTGTATTACCACTATTCGTGTCAGAGATTTCTGTACTCAATAATGTAGTACTATCATTGATATCATTTGAATTGAAAGTACTTGCACTTGTTCTTAAAATATCATGTTGTTCTACTTTATCGATATACATCTTGTCCGTAGTTATAATTGCATCATCAGTTAAATCTTTATTTTTTATTTCTGAAGATGAAACGGTAGATGAACTTACAATGGTGGTATATAACTTTGCTTCTATATCTGATTTAAATAAAGTTGTTTCTTTTTCTTGTTCTGTAGTAGAGCTGGAGGAAATCTCTGATGTTGAAGTAGTATGAGCTATATCATTGGTTATTTCCATCTTCTCAATATTCTTTGAAACTAAGTTAGAATCGTTGTCTGGATTTGTTAGCGTGTATGACTCCTGGGTTGACAAATCATTTATAATTGAAGGACTAGTAATAAAATCATGAGATGTAAGAGATTTACTTATCGAATATGTAGAATATACTTGTGGTATATTTGTTGTTTTACTATTTATTTTCCATTCATTTTCGGCTTCAGTTGTATCTAAAATTTGTGTAGTTGCTGGATTTTCATCAGGATTTATTATAATCGTTTCTATATTTAGTGTTGTAGAACTCATATTGAAAAATATAGGCAACGTTTTAGATGTTGTAGATTCATAGAATGTGATATCGTCATCTATAGTTATATTGGTACTTACCAACTTGGTGGTTTGAGTTGAATTATTCAATTGACTTGACTTGGAATAAATATAGTCCGAAGTAGGGAATGTAGTAGGATTTATATCTTCTCCATTAATTGGTAATTTGGTTGACGTATCTGTTACATGATTCTTGGTAGTTACTTCAGAATAAATTATAGAAGTATTTTCAGTCAAAATAATAGGTATATCACCTCTTGTTGAATCATCGTAAGATGATTGAGAATATACCTTGTCAGTATTAATAGAACTTTCTGTCTCAGTATCTACTTTAGTTAATTGTATTGAGGTTGTTTTTATGTTTTCAAGTATATCTGCAAATTCTGTTACTTTTTCAGTTGTAACAACATTATTAACTTTATTTAATAAATCCGATGTTTTGTATTGCATAGTTTGATCAGTTATCATTGTGTTAGATTCAGTGGTAACGGAAAACAAATTATCTTGACTTGCCTTCGTGATTTCATAATCATTTTTATTCAAATTTGGAATAATAGTTACAGAATTTTTATTTGTAGTAGTTTGAGGTGTTATAGATTCGCTATTATACTTCACTACATTTTCTGAAGTATGTTGAGATAAATCGGTATATCCTATAGATGGGAGATTTGTTGTAATATCATCATGTGTCTCAGTTTCTTTTTGAATAATCGTAGTAGATTTTATACTAGATATTTGATATGGTTCCGTGGAAGATTTATGAGTAAAAATAGATGAAGAAGTGGCATATTCTTCAGTAAATACTTCATTTGGTTGATATTCTCTACTCGTTTGTGTACTTATTGGTTGAGGTGTGAACAAATCTTCTATTTTGTTATAAGAATCAACCGTTGTTGTTTCAAATACACTTTCTTGCTTAGAAGTCCTGATGAAGGGTTTCGTAGTGATTGTATGTGTTGTACTTTCAGGCTTTTCCATATATGTAGTGGTAGTTAATGTAGTGTATTGTGGTTTTAATTCATTAGTGTCAAATAATATAGTAGATGAAGTGTCGTCATTAACTTCTGTGCTTTGATGAGTTACAGTTTTAGATGTAATAATTTCGTTAATATTTTCATAAATTTCTGTCGTAATATCAAATAATTGTCTAGAAGGGTGTGTATCCAAAGTGTTTACAGGATATGTAGTACTATCTTTTCGTAATGCATTCATAGTTGTAGTTATTGAACTGTCTCGACTAATGTCATTTGTAATTAGGGTAGTACTATCTAGTTGACTACTAGAATCATTAATTTGCGATGCTGTATATTCATGTTTTACTGTATCTGATACTGTTTCTGTATTGATTTGAGATACTATGGGTGTGTTTGTTATAATTTCTGTTATTTCATTAACGGAAACTGTTGAATCTTTATATGTATCCTCTTTACTCTTTTCTTTACTACTAGTTGAATGTAAATTATAACTAAAAGTTGTTTTAGTAAAATCTGTGGGTTTCATTATTTCCTCTTGTAATAAATCATTACTATCAGTCACTACATCAGGCTCTGTTTTTTCAGTCACTATTATTGAAGTATCAAACATTTCATTTGTGGTGATTTTTTCATTACGTTCACTAAAATTCTCTACCATGTCAGTAGTTTCAGGCAAAACTAAACTTGAAATGGTTGTATATTTTTCAGTAGAGTCATTTGTTGAATCTAATGTAGTAGTAGGAGTTGATATTATGTTATTTGTATTTTCCAAATCGGATCTATATTCATTAGTACCTGAATCGTGAACGTAGACAGATTTTGTGGAATCAGGTATAATTAAAGTAGGTGTAGTTGTGTCTGTAACATCAAAGTTAGTTGAAGTACTAGATTCATCAAAATCTTTTATGATATTAGATGGTGTTGTTACTTTTGTTGATGATAATTCTGAATAAGAATTTTCAGTTTTAGCTTCTTCAGGTTTTGTTGTAAATGTTGCAAATTGATCAAATCTAATGGTCGAATCTGTTTCAATAGTATCTCCAATATCTATTAATATAGTTTCTGTACTCATAATACTAGTTGTTGATGGTATAATATCTAATACATTTGTTGATGTCGAAATTAATGAAGTTTGTTCTGTAGTTGTCCTTTCATTAAAGTTATATGGAATTGTACTCAAAATCTCAGATTCAGATTGTGACGACTTAGTAGATATCGTATTTTCAGAGAGATTAATCTTTTGTATACTTGATAAAATTGTTTCCGATGTAGTTGTACTTTCTACATTTTCTGTAGTATCTGGGAGAATATTTGTAGTACTAATACTTGTATTATTTTGAATTGTTAATGTTCTATTATCTATATTTATTGTGGAATCTATCTCTAGTTCTGGTTTTATTTTTGATTTACTATAAGATCCTATGATATTTGGTACCGTTGTTGTCTTTATTGTCGAAATTGCCTCTTGGGCATTTGTTTGAAAATAATTAAAATTAGTTGATTCTGTTACAGTAACTGTGTTTAATTCATGTTTATTGGATAATATAGAAGGTTTTTTTAAGTCAGGGAATTTATTTGATTTAATATGTGACATACTTTCAATTCGAGTTAATTCCGTGAAATTATTATTTAACTGTCTTTGATTTTCAGGGGTCTTTGTGTTTTTATTCTCAATTAATATCGTTGAGGAATCATTCACGTTTGGATATTTTGTAACAAATGGTTTAATAGTACTTTCAGTATGAATAGTACTACTACTTTGTACAAGTATATTATCGTTCACAAGATCTGTTTTTGTTCTATCAAATTGAATTTGAGTAGAGCTTTCAACATTGTTTTCATCTATAAAGATAGTGGTTAATTCTTTTTGGTCGTAGGTTATTTCTGTTGTACTGTGTAGTGGATTATTAGTGGAATAATATGTTGTAATAGCAGAAGTAATATCACTTTCTTTTTGTATTTGTAATTGTTTTGATGTATCTGTTGATATTTCTTCATCATTATCAGGAGTTTTAAATTCATTACTATTTTTTAAAGTAACATCAGTCGTGTATTCTGTTTTAAAAGTAGTCGTAGTAAGTTCATTGTTGGTGTCTGTTAGTGAAATATTTTTAGATCCTTCATCTGTTAATGGGAATGAATAACAACATAGTTAATACATAGTATTATATCTAAGAGGAAAACAAAGCTGATTGTTCTTCGAAGATACATAAGGAATAGTTATTTGTTATATTTTATACAAACATTGAAACTTAAAGCACAAATATGTTTAACGTTAAATACATCTATCTTTATAATTATATTCTCAAATTAATTGACTAATAATTAAAGGGCATATTAATTATTAATATTTTACTACAAAGAATTTCTGTTTACCATTACTTATTAACAATATAAAAATACATTAACAAATATGTAGGAGATAGAAAGATAATAATAGCAATAATTTCATGCTATTTAAGAAGTTATGTATAAGCTAAGCCATAGTAGGAAATAAAAATTGATATTTGCGTATTCAGACTTATTGTACTAAATCGATAAAAATAATAACGTACAGAATCGTACATAAATCTATAATTTTTTTTATATTCACTTATCCTTTATGAAGCGCAAAATTGATTTATAAGCCTAAATACGCCTTAATTTGTACAAAGCTTAATATACATATTTATATTATAATAAGTAGAAGAAAATAATTCAGACCACGTGGAAAGACATTTTTCCCAAAGTTCGAAATAAATAATTTCACATAATATGTAGTACATAATTATTTGCATTGTTTTGTCTGTCGGGTCTGCCGTGATATCTTGGCCAGTACTTTGTGGCGTTTTATCGGACAAATGGTACGCTAAAATTATAGCAATATCCAGTTCATCTGGAGTTAATTTTGCTATTCACATAAAAATAACAGCTGTGAACTTGCTAGCATTATACACAGTAGAAGTTCACAATACATGAAAATGGCATGTAAGAGCAAAATAGAAATACAAGATTCAACAAATATTTGTATATTAACCATAATTTTATAGTTAGAAAATTTATTAACACTGTGATTAGTCCAATTAATAGTTCAGTGTCTAGATGACCAGATTAATTTGTTTAAATGCAGTAGGTACTTACTTTCCATACAGGCGCCAGAAAATGGATCGCAAGGCACGCCAGGTCGACAATGTGCACAGTTTGCAGTGGGTCGTTTTCCTAAATAGTAAATTAATATTGTTTAAGTAACTTACAGAACTATCAAAAAATAATGAAATACCTTAAATAAATTTATAAAATACTGGCGACTAACTCCAGTTTTGCACGATTGCAATCTAGAATGTTATAGTACATACATAGAAATCATCCGTAAAAAATATCTACGAGTACCTAAATGAAAACCCGCGTCAAGATCCGTTGCATGGCTTCAAAAAAGTAAAAAACATGCAGACGCCGAGAGCAACTATTATCTACTAGTTGTACTTAGATAAATTTTTAAGGTATTAAATAATCAGAAAGAATCAATTTTACCCAAATAATAGATAAATTTATTAAAAAATCTTTTAAATTTCTAATAATATATTATTATTTATTTAAATTTTTTTTTTAACTAATTTAGAATAGATATGCCTAGTTAACTTTTTGCAAAAAAGGGCACTTAATATTTTATCGAATGTAGTTCAAATAGTAACTTATACAATTTTTCCGCAAAAGAAATCGCATCAATTTCAATGTTGAGAAAACTGGTTATTTTGATTTAAAATTATACTACTTAACCGATTTATATATTATTTATATATTTTTTCTATGAATTCAATGCTTTAGATTATATCACTACCAATTCCAATGTTATATCCTTTCAGATAAAAAAGGTTTTTCTAAATCGGTTTATAAATGACGGAGTTAACAAACAAAAACATGCTTTTTTGATGATGGTGTTAAGAAATAACTATCATAATTTTTTTTTTATATACAACTTAGAATGGCAAACAAGCTGACGGCCCACCTGATGGAAAGGATGGAAAATGGTAACCGTCGCCTATAGACATGGATAGATGAGCAGTACCATGGACATAACTGAGTATACTGTTTGCCCATGATACCCCCCATGCGTTGCCATTCCTGAGGATTCAGGTGTAATTCCTCTGTACCCAGTAAATTCACGCCAAAATACATCGTAATAGAGATCTTCCTCCTTTTTTGAACTCGATTGACTAGTAAACTCACTTTCACAATTATTTGTAAACTGGTTGTAAAATAGTAGATCTCTTATATTTTTTTTCTCTTTGTAAAGATTAGATATAGTAAGGATTCATAACAAGAGCTAATACGCACTGCATTTTTTTTTTTATATTCACGAAAAATTTGTTTTATATAAATTTGCATATTTGATTTCATATTTCATATATTACCTTGAATACACGCGCAGCCATCACAATATGTATTGGGATATCTCGCGCAGTCTGATGATGTTTGACATTGGCACACTGACAATAAAATAAAATAAATTTATAGTTAATAGTTATTAAATGTAAGTTTTCTCATTGAACAAACAATAAAAATAATACATTAAATTACTCAAAGCTAGCTAATTAAACTACAGTATAATAATAATAGGTGAGTAATAACTATAAAAAAAATCTGTTAATAAACATTTTTGCCAAAATACGTATAAAATATTTTTGATATTTTCATGGAAGCCAAACAAATGTTTAAATTAAATATTTGTATTTTTCATAGTTATACACTACATTTTACAAATTTATCAGTAACATATCGATTGGCCAGGATAAATAATACCTATTTTCGTCGCCGTCCCAAATAGTATGCGCATAATCTTATGACGAAAATGAGTTTGAATGAGGGCACCAAGGCAAACAATCAAACTCATTTTCACATTTATAATATCTAACTAAAATATAATTCGAGACAATCTAACAGTAATAATAATAAGTATTAAGGAAGCAGGACAAATAAATTATATACTTATACATACATACATAGTTTGATTATACATAATATAATGTATTATAATATAAAAGGGATACCCTTAGAACAAACGGGCTGGTGATCAACGACGGCACAGTGCTGCGATGGCGCACAGGGCCCACCTCTCGAACATGGGTCTGCACAGCGACCACTTACACATGCCAGCCCAGTCGCACATTGCTCGTGTGCACTGCATTGTAACGCTGTATAAGATAACATCATATTAATATACCTACTGATTAAAGTAATCATACAGAACAAAAATTAATAGGTATACAAAAACTATATATTACTCAAAGAAAAATTTAACAATTTTTTTTTTCTAAATAATATAATTTGAATAATAAATATTATCAATAAACAAGGAATATTTTATTTTAAGAAAGTATAAAAATATTAAATAAATAAAGGGATAATACAAATCAAATTACTGTAATAATTCAAAAATGTTTAAATAAACTTAATACAGCGAAAAAACTATAGGTTAGATAGTAAGTACCTACTGATCATTTTTGTGAATATGTAGGTATATGTACCATACATACAAACTTAATAAAATACAGAAGGCATTTTCATTTGTGTTTTGCAAACTCTGTCTCGTGGCAGTTTTGTTGCATTTCGTATTAATGCCAAAGCACTGAAAGCATTAGATGTCAGGTAAAAAAAGCGTAACCTCCACCAAAATGTTTATGTGAAGTTATTATCTACAAAGATATTACGTATTTACACAAATATTTGATACTGTGCTAAATTCTACCTGATATAGAAGAACTGTGGAAAAAGATAAATATGAACATGCTAGAAACAGAATAGTACAGCGAAAGAACCGCATGAAGACATAAGGTAGAAAATATCAACATTTCCTGTAATATGAAGAACAACAAAAAGATTATTAAGAATCTTATATACGCTAATATACTAAATAGTATACATTAATATGTATTTAAACTTTTTATTCATGATGAAATTACCTTTTATACAGCCATGTTTTTCATCATGTGTGAATCCAGTAGGGCAAAACTTGCACACAGGGTGATGATCTTCTATTGAACACGGAGCACCACCACATGCATCTTTACAAGGGTCTTTGCACTGAAAATCTCTACAAGCTAGATTATGAGGACAACCGTTATCAGTCAAGCATATCGACACTGTCGGATGACAATCCTCAACACATACGCAAATCGCACGATGCTCCAATACTTCACATTGTTTTCCCTTTGGACATATTGAGTCTCTTGATGCTAGACACGGATTCACACACTTCGAATTACGGCAAGCCGCATTTGAGGGGCATTGCTCATCTCTTGTACATTCAGCGTGTTCTGGTGCGCATGTTAATTCCCCTTTTTCATTCAAAGCGAATCCATTACGACAAACACATACAGGTGTATGATTTCGTACTTCACATTTTTGATTTCTTCGACAATTTTGAAATCCCAAACAAGGATTACGGCATTGATTAGTATTGAAATCGCAAGCCAGTTTTGATGGGCACGGCTTAGTATCCGAGCAAGTGAATGTTGTGTTGAAGTCAGTAGTTGGCTTACAAGTCGGATCAAGACGACAAGCAAGACGCGGTTGGCCCACGTAACATTGTGGACATGAACACTGCGCTCGATGCATGAGAGGCACACATAGCGCATCTTCACCGCAAACGCCGCGCACCGTACAGGGGTCCACGCAATGTAAACTTAAACACGCTTTGTCTACAGGACAGTCCTTGTCACTGGTGCATTCGATACCTAGGAAGATGTGAAAGAAGAAAGCAGAGTCGAAAGAGCGGTACCTTAAGCCGCGAAGAGGAAACTTTCTCACGAGACAGTGCATGCTTTTTGAAACTGATAGTTTATGATCATAGAATGTATATAACGAAATATAATACAAGCGATATGTACATGAAGCCGAACAAATGTTACTGATTGTTTGATTGATAAATTTAAGCACGAACGGTGAGAATGCTTCCACTAATATAAAAAAAAATTATAGAATAAATAACAAGTACAGATATGTTAAACTTTAATATTAAAAGCAAACATATATGTACTCTTATTTTTAAATAGTTAATTAAATGTGTATATTGTTTTCATAGTGTTTTAAAAAATGCTTTTATTTAAAATTATTAAAAATCAAAACCATTCCTCTAAATCCATAACATAATTACGTAATAGATGATAGAAATGTGATTCTACAATTTCAAAAACCAAATTTATAATAAAGAAGTAATTTGTATCACCTGCACCTGTTTATCCTTACTCATTAATTGCTATACAAAACCACTTGTATTTACAAGAAAGTGTGGACCTTCAATATCACCTAATATAATATTTTTAAAACAGGACATATGTAGAAAAGTTTATTTAAGAGTGGACATATTACAACATTTGATATAAACCATGGTGCATTTTTACACGGTGTCAAGACGAATGGGGGCGATCTGACAATACATATTGTATATACTCACTAGTATGACACTCGATGTCAGCCTGACCTTCTGTTCCGGGAATACACCGACATACAAATTCAGCACCTTCACGTAAACATTCACCGTTTATTCCACAACCAGTAGTACGACAATCTACAACACTTCGCTCCTGAGCACCTGTGAATAATAAACATTAATAAAACATCTTTGATATTGATTAATTATAAAATTTTGGATTGTATTAATGATTTTAAAACTTAGTTCATTGTAACTATTTATATGAAGATACGTATGTACTACGTAGTACTAAACAACTATATTTTACGAGTACCGTAATAGGTGAGACGTTTCGACGTAAACACTGTGCCCAAAGAAGACTTCCATATACAGCCGAAATAATTGTCGGAAACGACAAGCTTAGTAAATTTATTAAATTTCTGTTGTCAGAAATTTAATACATTTCTGACAACAGAAATTTAATAAATTTACTAAGCTTGTCGTTTTTGTTACATATAAATGATAATAAATGTTCATTAATTTATTATAATGACCACAATTTAAAAAAAAAATAGTTGTAAACGCATTTTTTTTTCTTTATATCATATAAAAATTGGGTATTTTTTTTTTTTAAATTGTGGTTTTCAAATTATTTAGTCCCATAAATTCATTGTTCCCTCTAATAAAAATTGTTCCTCTTATTTCAGTACTTTATCCTAGTAGACCTGATTATTAAATCTTCAATCTAAATAAATTTTTTTCCCCTTTCTATGATTTTCTTAATCAAACTGCTAAAAACATTGAAAACAATCTGCTAGACAATCCAGCTGTTCTCAAGTAGATATTAACCCGACAAACGTTCCATTTAAATTCTATTTTTTTTTTTCTACAAACCTTAATCTAACTTATAAGCTTTAGCCCTTCTCAAATGATGCGTTTACCAATATTTAATTTTTAATCATATGGATAGTTTTTTTAATATACTGATATCAATTTCCTAGTAAGATTTAAAAGTCAATACATATATATGGCATGTTCACATATTAACAATGTAAGTTTAATGAAAATTGTAATACGTTTGTAGCATAAATTATTAAGAAATACTTATTGAATAAATACAGTTAGGTACTTACATTCTATATTTGGATCGCCGTTAGGGTAATGACGCGGACAGTAACATTGGGCTTCACCGTCTTGTTTTATACGACATTGGGCATTGATTCCGCATGCTTTGTAAGCACATGGTTCCATAGATCCACAATAACATTGTTTTTGAGGATCACCAGCACATCCCGGAGGACATGTGCACTCATAACTACCATCATCTAAATCTCGACATCGAGAATTTACTCCACATAGGTTACGCAAACAACTTCCAGAAGGTGGCCTAGAGCACTCTATTTTTGGATTTCCTAAATAACTTGGTGGACAGGAACATTGCGGAGATCTATTGACGGGACGACAAATAGCATTAATTCCACAAGCATTTGTACAAACATTTTTGCATTTACCATCTGCTTGACATTCTTCATCAGCACTGCAATCCTCGTTTTGTAGACATTCATAGGATTTACATTCTTTTATTGGATCTCCTGAAAATCCACTAGGACAACTACATACGGCCCTATGTCGGGTTGCTAAACACAAAGCATTTTTGCCACATGAATTTTCACGACAAGCAGAGACACATAATTTTGCAGAACATAACATGTCGTCTCCACAATCTCTGTCGGTATTACAGCCTGGTATACATATTCCCTTAACACATAATTGACGTTCAGGACATTTGTTTCTAGATGAACACTGTGCTCTGCATCCACCATTGAAGCACTTTTCGCCACAAGAACAATCTGTGTTTTCTTCACAAAGTGATATACAATACCCGCTTTCATCACAAGGACAGAATCCATCACACAACAGTCTCTTCTTTTTGCATTCCACTAGAGGATTACCAGTATAATTACTAGAGCAACTGCACTGAGCTCTATGACTAATTACTTTACAGTCAGAACAGATACCACAGATACCATTTTCCTTGCACGGATCTATACAAAAGAGATTAAAAAAAAGTATTAGAAAGTGTAAATTTAATAGGTCAATTTATATTTCACACTTATATTTTTTTCAATACAGACGGATTATAAACTTACTGTTGAATAAAGTCAACATATGTTTATATATTGAATTATAAATAGATTCTTAAATTATATTAAAAAGTTATATAACTAATGGTAGATACTACGTTCTGTAATAAAATATAGATGTTTCTGGATTAATTACATTTTTAAATATATTAGTATTTATTATTATACTTGCCTTTACATTGACCATTTAGACAAGCTTGATTAATATCACATGCATTATCATCACGACAGCCTTGCTTGCATATTCTATTTTCACAAATGTGGCCCTCATTACAGGCATCATCACTGTTACAGACCACTCTACAAATGCCTCGGATACATTTTTCATTTGATAAGCAGACTGTATCACTGAAAACAGAGAAAGTGTTAGAATTTATATCAATGGATCTCACGTCTATTAAATAGGTTTCTTTAACTAGTCAATATGAAACCTGTAATATTTAATTATATTGAAATGTATAATTTATTTACCTTCTACAAGATGCATAGCAGGTATCACCATAACAATTAAATCCGTCAGGACAATTCTTTTTAGAATCACAACGTGATGTAGTTCGTCGACAAACAGCTTTCGGATCTCCTACTAAAGATGGTGGACATGTGCATACTGGTTTATGATCTTTAGTTATACATAATGCATTAGCGCCACACGTGGCTGGTTCCGTGCAAGGGTCTGTGCATTGTCCAGATACACAAGCTAAATTATTAGGACAATGTGAATTAGATCTACATCCAGTTACACACAATCTTCCATCACAAACTTCATCATCAGAACAATGATCGTCAGACGTGCAAGCGTACCTACATACTCCATAATAGCATCTTTCACCTTGTAAGCATTCTGATCCGTCGAGTGTACATGCAGGTCTACAACGGTCATCTTCACATCTCCAACCATTTGTACAATCAGTGTGTTTACGACATGGAGAAGATGGTGCTCTTACACATCCAATATTGGGAGTCGGATTTGGTATCAATTCTTCTAAACAAGTACAAGTAGCTTTTCGCTCTACTACAGAACAGGCAGCATTAGGTCCACATGGATTTATATTACTGGCACAGGGATTTTGACAGAAATTATTTCTACAGGATTCTTCAGGACCACAATCTTCATCATGCCTGCACCCATACTGACAACTATTTTCCAAACATATATGTCCAAGGAAGCAGTCATTATCTACTCTGCATGTCACTATAAAATACGAAATATGATAAAAAATATATATATAATAATGATATAAATACATACCTACAAGTGGATATTTCTATTATTATATGTAATACTTACATAAACATACGCCCTTTGAGCATCTTTCATTTAAAGCACACTCTTCATCTACATTGCATCGAGGTAAGCACATAGAATCTTGACACATATGTCCATTTTCACATTCACCGGCAGATCCACATACTCGAGGCACTACAATAAAAAAAAATTGTCAGTGTTACCTATAGAAACCAGGGTAATAGGTTATGGCGTTCTCTCGTGAATATATATTGCTTTGACAATATAATTATTCATTTATAAATAAAGGATCTCTATTACAATCTTTATTTACATTATGAAACTAGTAATATGAAAATTTTATCATGACATTAAATTAATTAGAATTTCAGACAGAAACATGAATCTCCGTAACATGCATTACGAAAGTTTGCATTTATTTATATTATTTTTTTACAAAATATAAAAGTTTTACGAAATGTCATGAAAACTAAGCGTAGCATAATTTCATCATATGAAAGAACCGTGATTTCAACGATATCAGAGCCTACTATGAAAAATGTGTAGACATCGTAACCATGTAATTAAACTGATGAAAATTCTAGAAAAAGTGTGTTTACTTTTTTATGATTTAAATATAACAACTATTATCATCAGCAGGTATTTATCACTGCTAGACATAGCCCCCCTCCATAGTCTGCCATAAAGAACGGTCGTGAGCCACCTGCATTCACTGACTCCCTGCGATTGAATGCATTGTTCATAGTGCTTAAATTTTTTATTTTTTAATCCATTTGTAAAAGAAGATTTTTTGAAAAAATATTCCTTCACGTATAAACAACACTCACTTCTTACACATTCCACGTTCTGGTTTCCAGTGAATCCGTACGGACAACTACATTGAATTACATGTTGCTCAGAACGACACAAAGCATTTAAACCGCATGTCTTTTCTACTTGACATGGATCTACACATTGCCCATTGAAACATTTTTCTGTAGAAGTGCACTCTTCGTCAGCAAAACATAGGCCTGCACATAAAATAAAAATAATTATAATGATATGTACGTTATTTATAACATATTATAATACATTTTGATCACTACAATTTCATAATTTAGTAAATAAAATATATTAAATATATATTAAAATCAGAAAATCACTCTCTTCGTCCATTTTTTTAATAGAATAATAAATTTAAAAATGCTAAAAATAACATTTAATAGTATACGTGCACGAAGATGCAAAACAACTAGTAATTTATAAATTTATATCATGCAAGTATTAATAAGACTGTCTTTAATTTTATTAATTCATACTCACTTTTACATACTCCTTTGTGGCAATAATGGTCATCAGGGCAGCCCGCTTTATCTGTACATGATATTTCTCGAAGTCGACAACCCTTTTCCATATCAGCATTTCCAATGTATCCAGTTTTGCATTTACATTGTCCAGTATGCCGTGTAGCGATACATTCCGCATTTAATCCACATTTAACGTTTTCACATGCATCTGTTCAATTTACATTTACATTAATAGCTAATAAATGCTTATTATAAAATAGAATATAGTAAACATATGTAAAATAATATGTAGTATTCCTATCCTACTTACAATTTAAATATTAAGATATTGTGTGTTAATCGAACGTAGAAAGAATAGAAAAAAAGATAATATTTTTTTAAATATTTTATCGTATTTATAATACGTATATATTTTATTATTATTCTTACATTCGCTTTGTTATGTTACAAATATGTTATGACTTTACTTTTTACTGACCTGTACATTTTCGGATACCATTGATAACAGTACAGCGAGCAACAGCAGGACAATCTCTATTAAAACGACATTCTTGTGCCTGACGGCACCCATCGTTATAGGGGTCACCTACGGCACCCCGTGGGCATACACATTGAGCACCATTTCTTGAGTTTTTACATTCAGCTCCGTTTCCACATGGATTAGATACGCACCAGTTTATCTCTGTACATCCTTTCAATGGATCTCCAGTATATCCAGGTTGACAGTAACATATTTGTTTATGTTTTTCCGATGAACATATTGAATTTTCTCCGCAGTTATTACCTACTAGACATGCAATTTTACAAATATTTTTATCGCATAATTTGTCATCTGAACAATCAGAATCAACATCACATTGTTTTCTTTTACATCCTTGTAAAGGATCTCCAAAGAAGCCTTGTTTACATGAACAAACAGGCTTATGATTTTTTCCAAGACACACTGCTTGCCTTCCACATGGCTGTTTTTGACATACATTTATACATTGCGGTATATCATTTCTACCTATAGAACACTGCTCGTCATCCGCACAGTTGTCGTTAGACATACAATGAATTTCTTTGACACATATTCTATTTAAACAAAATTGGAAATTAGGACATGTGCTATTAGAATTACATGTAAGTCGACAAGTTTCTTGAATACAAACTTGATCATTTAAACAATCTCTTGAATTTTTACATAATCCTGAAATAATATACAAATTGATTAAGAATAATCTATCTTATCAACATTAACTCATTGAATTAAAAAATTAACGCATTGAAGTAAACTCAACAGAACACAACCTAAAATTGTATTTAAAATTAATTATTTATTCTAGATCTCTACTGCCATTTCTGGCAGTTATATTTACTCAGTTAAATACCTATACCATTATATTTTTTTACACAAGTGTAGCATAATTAAAAACTCTGTGTGAGTTGTATTAACATTACAAGTTTTTTAGCAGATTTCATTTATATAGTACTTACCAGTACATAAATTATCAATGCATTTAGTTCCTGATGGGCATCTAGAGTCATCTGTACACTCTTGAACTGGAACACAACCAAGAACTGGATCGCCAGTATAGCCTGGTAAACACGAACAATGTCCGATGTGGTTTCTTGAAAGACAACCGGCATTTCTACCACAAGCACGGGGAATACTACACGAATCTTTGCATCTATAATTAACACACGCTTCTTGAGTAGAACAGTCAGTATCTTTTATACATTCAAATTTAGTACATTTTACATATGGATCGCCATGACTATCAGATGGGCATTCACATAAAGGTTTATGTTTGCTTACAATGCAATTTGCATTATCACCACATGGAGCCAGATTCGTACATGGATTAATACAATAATTATTTAAACATTTCGTTTTGTCCGAACAATCATCATCAGAATAACATTCTCCTGGTAATCTACAGTTACCAGTAACTGTATCTAATACTGTTCCATTTACACAAGTACATGAGTAAGAACCGACACTGTTTAAACAATTTGCATTCAGAGGGCATGGATTATTTAAGCATTCATTAATATCATTGCATATATTGTTTACTAGATCATATCCAGTTGGACATGTACACAATGCTCTATGATTTTGTATTTTACAAGTACCACCCTTACATGCCAATTCATCGCACTTATCTGTGAAAAGAAAACATTAGATTCATTTGTGCAAGATATTATAAATAAATGTTATAAATAGATGCAATAAAAAGTTAAGTTTACCTGAACATTTATTACTTCGGGAATCACAGTATTTGTCATCAGAACAGTCAGAATTATCAGTACACTCTACTTTGAAGCAGCCAATGTTTTTATCAAATGGGTTTCCCAGGTATCCTTTTTCACAATTACAAGAAATTTGATGTTTAATAACTGAGCATACAGCGTTTAGGCCGCATGTCTTAATTTGACAAGGATTGGTGCATTTTCCTTTTATACATGCTAATGAATCTTCACATTGGCTGTCACGTCTACATTGATTAGGTAATAAACAACCCGTCTTAAAGGGGTCACCTACTGCGCCAGTAGGACAAACACATTTATAAGAACCTGGTATATCTATACACTGGGATGAAGGGTGACATGGATTATTGATACACTCATCAATATTGATACATTCGTTATTTATCAATTCAAATCCTGGCAAACATTGGCATTCAGTCGCTTTACAGACTTGGTTACTTAGACAATCAGAATCTGTTTTACAGCCTGGTATACATATTCCAGAACTACAATGTTCTCCATGTAAGCAGTTACTACTTGAGTGACATATTTTATGACATTTGTTATCACTACATTTTTCCCCAATAGCACAGCCTGAATTATCTCGACATGGTACTTGACATAATAATCCTATGCACATGTGATCTGGTGGACAATCCGATGACCTAAAGCATGAACTCGGTTTTCGAACACATCCTTGTTGTGGAGAAGGAGTTCCTTCAAAGCCTTGAGGACATTCACATATAGTATTGTGATTAATCCTAGAGCAAATTGCATTAGGTCCACAAACCCTAGTCGCAAGGCATGGATTTACGCACTTATTGTTAATACATGCTTCATCATTAGAACAATCTTCATTGCTTCTACAACCAATCAAACACTGAGCACCTACACAAGCCTGTCCAATGCCACATTGAGAATGTTTACTACATTGTGTAATACATAAATTTTTTACACATGTTTCACCAGGATCACACTGGCTTGAATTTTTACAAGCTGTAAAACATTGTCCATTTGAACATACATCACCATCGCAATCAAATTCAGTACGGCATTCTAATAATTTCTTTTTACAAGCGTTGCTACCTTTTATATTCTCATAACCATCTGGACATAAACAAATTGGTTTTCTGTCAACAATTTTACATAACGAGTTAATACCGCAAGCTCCATCACAAGGATTTACACAGCGTTGGTGTGTGCAAACTGCTTCAGGTGGGCAATCCTGGTCAGTCTTACATTCATCTTGTATTCGGCAACCAGTATTAATGGGATCTCCAATTAGTCCTGATGGACATTTACAAATATACGATGATAGTCGAGGCTCGCAAATAGCTGTCGAATGACAGGGGTTAGGATTACAAACTTCAATTTTTCTACAATTCACATCAGGCAATGGATCGGCTTTATATCCACTTGGACATTGGCATGTACTTTTATGATTTTCTGGTAAACATACAGCATTATCACCACAAGAATCTTCATTACAAGCATTAATGCAAGTATGTGTCATACGATTACATAATTCATGTGATAAACAATCTGTGTTATAAATGCAAGGTACTGATTGACATCCTTTCTCAAGATCATTTGGATTTCCAGTGAAAGGTCCAGATGGACATTGGCATTTAGCAACATGGTTATTAGTAACACAGACAGCATTTGGACCACATACCAATTGATGACACGCCGGTATGCATTTATTAATATTACCTACAACTTTACACATTTCACTTTCTCTACATTGCGCGTCGTCTATACATTCATTCTTATTTAACGGTATGCAACCATCACGATCGTTTGGATTTCCTATATACCCAGACAAACATTCGCATTGACTTTTATGGTTTCTTGATATACATTTTGAATTTTGTGGACAAGTAAACTGTAAACAACTATCTTTACATTTATTTACACCTAATACATCTTTTTGACAAGATTGATTGTCTTCGCAATCATTATCCACTTCACAGTTTGGCGTTGATGGTTGTTCACAATTAGAACTCATAGGATTCCATAAAAATCCTTCTTTACACTCACAACGTGCGCTATTATCCACTACTCGACATAACTCATTAGCACTACAAGCTATTGTCGAACACAAATCTAAACATTTATTTATAGATCCATCTACTGGCACACAAATCAATGATTCAGCACAGTCACTATTTACATTACATTCTGCTTCATTAGGTTCCATTTGTTTTAAGTGACATCCAGTTTTAATATCCGTAGGTCGTCCTATGTAACCTTCTGCACAAATACAATGAGCCTGATGATTAGCTCCGATACAAAGAGAATTTGGTCCACATTGTAACTTACTACATGAATCTACACATTTTCTGGTATTTTTAGCTACTTGGAAACATATTTCAGAATCTTTGCAATCGCCATCCACCATACACATATTATCAGGGATACAACCTCTTTGCAAGTCATTTGGATTGCCAGAATGACCAGGAAGACAATGACAAATTCCTTCTTCGCAGAGAGATTTAGGGCCACACATAACTTTGCGACATATGTCTACACACCTTGACTTTTCACATATATATCCATTAGGACAAGTTGCATTGTGTGAACAAGTACATATGCTGCCTTCTACACATTTGGAAATAGAAACTTGAGAACATAATTCATAAGGATTACCAACATATCTGCTTTTGCATATACAACTAAAACTACCAGGAGTATTTATGCATATGGCATTTTCGGCACATGGTTTAGAACTACATTCATCTATATCAGTACATTGAATATTAGGATTTCCAATATAACCTGGGGGGCATAAACATTCAACATGTGATCGAGTTTGTTGACAGACAGCGTTGCTACCACAAGTAGCTTTAGCACAAGTAATTTGTTTACGAGGCAGACATTTTAAATAAGGATTTCCAGTATACCCTTTATTACATTTACATGTATTCGTTTGTCCATATATACAATGTGCATTTTGTCCACATTCCGGGTCACACGCTGGTGGTGATATAGCTGCAAAATATACATATTAATAAAATCATAACTGTAAAATGCTTTTCACTGCAATATAATGTTAATAATTAATAAAATAGTTTACCAGATAAAATCATTTATATACTTACGTGGCATACATAATAAATCTGGATTTCCAATAAAGAATGCATTACAAATACATTTTCCACTTTCTTCGTCACAAGATGCTCCAACGCCGCAAACAATACCATCACAACGCTGTCGACAACGACCCGCAAGGCATGTCATTGGTTCTTCACATGGATTACCCGGTCCGCAAACATCTCTTCTACAAGCACCTCCAGGAAACGGATTGCCAACCATTCCCTCAGGACATACACAAGTGGGGCCTGTTTTTGATATTATGCATTGGGCACCAGCTCCACATGTATATGTATCACAACCTAAAAAAATATTCCTTACATTGATATATAAACTTACATCAATTCTTTTTATTTTTGAGCATTCAGTAAGGATAGGAAGTACCTCTAACACAGAAATAAGAGTTAATGCTGCTACAATTTGAGCTAAAGCTCAGCTTAAGACATACATAGTTGACAATATAATTTCTTCAATAATTGTTCCCATAACATTGTATTGTCACAAGAGTTGTAAGAAAAAGAATATGCAGAATTTGCAAAAGATCGCTGAGTAGATTACATTCATAATACAATAGTTCGAGAGCGAACTATTTTAAATAAGTCATTATTAAAATGAAAAAATGTACATTGATTCAAACGTGTGGAAAAAATGTTACATGTAAAGTTTACAAAACAGCTGTACGATAAGAGTCAAGATTCTCTGGAACCAGTGTGTATGCAAGAGATGAGTTATAAAATTTCAGGAAGCAAGAGATGTTTGTAAGGATAAATGCTTTTGGGACTTGGTTCTCACTTCCTACCCCACAAGGATCGTAGCGTACTCGTAATTATAAAGAACAAATTTAAATGCTTTTAATACTTTTTTTTTAATAATTTACTAACAAACTGAACAGAAGCCTTAAAATTTGTATAAATAAAAACCAATTACCAATATAAGCGTATCACTTCATAATATATGTATATGTGTTTGGTTTTTCTTTTGATTTGTTGTTATAGTCGGTCAGAACAAAATTTATATGAAAGAAAATGTTTTAAAACTTGTACGGTAAAAAAAAATAGTATACCTATGCAAAATAGAGGTGAGCTGTAAATTTGTAAAAAATAAGACGATTTATTTACCTGTAATACATTTTCCGCCCTCGGGTTTTGTATATCCCGGATTACAACGACACCAAGCAGCATGATTATCTACTTCACAAAAAGCGTTGGCTCCACATGATACACTAGAGCACGGTGATGCGCATGTGCGATTCAAACAGGCCAGATTATTAGGGCATTCATTGTCACTGCTACATAACTGTTTCTGTGATGGTCCTAACTCTACAGTACCTACAATGAAATATTAACATCAAATGGTTATTACATTTTAATAATATTATTTTTTTATGATTGGTAAACCATAAAATAATAATTTATTATTATTTATTTAAAATTCAAAATTGTAGTAAGTTAGCAGTTTCACTTACAGCCTGTCTTATAAGGATCTCCAACCATATTTTGTGGACAAACGCACTGATATCCTCCCTTTTGGTCATGACATATTGCACCATATGCACATGGAGCACTTTGGCATTCATTCCTATTCGTACAACCAGTGTACGGATCGCCTTCGTATCCAATCATGCACATACATCTCGGTGGATTACTAGGAGTACACTTAGCATTGATTCCACATGTAAATCGCTCACAAGGACTCTTGCATTTCTGTCCATCAGTGACATCGAGATAGAAGGGTGGAGGACAGACACATTTACCAGGCTGTATACATTTTTCATTAGGAAAACAATCAGAATCAGAAATGCACCGTTTTTGATTTAAAGTACAATGGCCAGATACCGTGTCTTTACTATATCCAGAGGGGCATTTGCATATATATGATCCAACAGTATTAATACACTCAGCACCAAACCCGCAAACGGGTTGGCCCGAAGTACATTCATTTATATCTTGGCATGCGCCTTCAGAAGTTTGAGAATATCCAATAGGACAAGCGCAATAGCTTACTCCATCTGATATGACAATACATTCAGCTCCATTCCCGCATTTTTTGTCTTTTGTGCAACCAGATAATACACAATTTCCATCAACTAATTTATATGGAGGTTGACACTGACAACTTATATCAGTGCATAGATCACATAAATTATAAGGATTTCCACTATAATCAGAAGGACATTTACATTCATAGCTACCAGGTAAATTTTTGCAAATAGCATTTAATCCACAAGGAGAACGACCGTGTTGCGTACATTCATTGACATCTTCACATAGCCCAGTTTCTTTACTGCGCGTGAAACCTTGAGAACAAATACAAACGTTTTCGCCATCATGTAAAATACATTGTTCACCCTGAGGACACGGATTGGTGTTACTACATTCACTTGGCATCTTTCCAGGTACACAGCCGTCTACATATGGATCTCCGTTAAAAGTACTGGGGCATTCGCATTGAAATCTTCCTGGTAAATTTTTACACACAGCTCCTGGACCACAAGGATTTACTTTACATTCATCGATATCTTGACAACCACTAGAGGATGGGTCGCCTGTGTATCCACTTCGACATGTACATAGCGCTGTCTGATCGTTTAGCAAACATTCTGAATTGCTTCCACATTGAAGGGTTTCACAAGGATCTGGGAAGGAAATATAAAACTGTTATTTATACTAATTAAAATAACACATATTATATTTGTACTATAAATATAACAAATAAACTTACGTCGACATTCATTTCCTACATTTGGTTCTGGACATAAACATCTTGAATTTGCATCACATAAGGCATTTCCGGGGCAATCATTATCATTTTTGCATGTTAAAATTTCTGCACAACGTATTTTAGGATCAGGGTCAGGTAATGTATTATCAGGACATTCACACATAAAAGATCCATCTTTGTTAATACAGTCTGCGCCAACACCACAAACACTATCTACTTCGCACTCATTAATATCTGAGCATTGTTTATAAGCATCACCACTATATCCTTCTGGACAGTAACAAATAAAACTCCCTAATGTATTAGAACAATATGCGTTAGTTCCACAACGACCAACAGGTCCGATTGAAGTATCACATTCATTGATATCGATGCATCCAGCTGCTATATCATTTGGATCAAATGTCCAACCATCTTCGCAAACACAATAAGCTTCAGAACCATCTGGTTTACAATAGGCATGCTCGCCACATTTAACATCTTCACAAGGAGCACGACATGTTATTTTAGGAGGAGAACCAATAAAACCAATACCACATTCACAGTTGTAACCACCAGGAGTATTTACACATAGGGCATTTTCCCCACAAATAGTTATATTGCTGTTACATTCATCGATATCGACGCAAATAGATCCCTTGGAATCGAATCCCTCTTTACAAAAGCACTGGTTATCAATACATTCCGCATTATTGGTGCAATCAAAGTTCGAAGTACATAATGTATTTACATCAACCTGAAACATAATTACTATTAGTGGCAAGTTTTCTTTTAATCAAAATAAACCTTTTATGTTATATTATATTACCTGCTCGCAAGCAATCTGTGGATCCGGTTTAGCTCTATATCCTTGAGGACAGATACAATTGTAACCAGGCGCAGCATTCTCGCAAATTGCATGTGTACCGCAAGGCCGCTCCAGTGTTTCACACTCATTGACATCACGGCAACCCTCAGGCGCGCGCGCATCTCCTGTGTATTCGGGTTCGCACGCACACACAAAGCTGCCAAGTGTGTTAGTACACACTGCATGTACGCTGCACACTGTCTCGCTACTCTTACATTCATCCAAGTCTGGTGTAACAAACGAATGCACTTCTAATTAAATCTGCCGCTTGCGCGGTCAACGTCACATACGCACGCAGTAGGTACGCCGACAGCCACTACGAAGAATAGTATAGAAACACAGATTCCTACAATAGTGTTAGGGAAGTTCACAAAAAAGAAGAGGAAGATGAAAAGAAACAACACATTATAGAGAATGTTGATTTATGCAATTTTGTTTGCTAAAAGAAAAGGAAAGCAGTCAATTGTTGGAGAGTCGATGCGTTGCCGTCGATTTATGCAGTTGATGCTCGGTACTGAAATTTTTTTATTAAAGACATTTGCCAATAAATGTTTAAAATATTGTGAAAAAATGGTTAGCGAAAGCGTGAAGCTACCGCGCATCCTGGTGCGGTAGTTTTTAGCGCGATTTGTTATGCGCCTCCGAGTTATAAAATAAGTTATAAGTTAAGCGTTAAACCACAGTAGACAGTAATAGGTTAGCGTTCGTCACACCTACTGTCGCACACGATGAATTTCTTACCAATACACTCGTCCTCGGGATCGCCTTCAAAACCAGGAGGACAAACACAGCGATAGGCGCCTGGATGGTTTTCGCAGAGAGCATTGCGGCCACAAGCAGCTCGTGAGCACTCGTCATGGTCGTGGCAAGCAATGCGAGGGTCACCCTCGTAACCAGGTGGGCAACTGCATTCGAAACCACCCTCAACATTTCGGCATATTGCTCCAGAGCCACAGACATCGCCGCTCGCGCACTCATCCACGTCGATACACTAACAAGTAAATTCATACTTTTTACATAATACCCTTTTTTCCACATTTATTAATTGTATTGGTTTACAATAAATAATACAATAAATACATTATACAGTTAAGCAATAGTTTTTATACAAACTAGTATAAATATTTTATGATAAATAGAAAAAAGAAAATATTTTATAATCTTTAAAAATATAATTATAAAAAATCCTTACGCCATCAAAACCATTTCCAGTATATCCTAATTGACACTCGCATGTGTAGTTTCCTGGATAATTCTGACAAACAGCGTTAACACCACAAGCGCCAGGTCGTCGACATTCGTCGATATCTATAAGCATTTAATATAATTATACGAATATGTTTCAATAAAATGAATGTTATAGTATCTAATAAAACTAATACTATAGGAAAAGTATGCGTAAAAATTATTATTCAATTAACATTCTACGTATCAGAGAACAAGCTGTATCGTTGATTTGCACACCAACCTACGTCCTTTCGTGATAATACGAGTATAAACAAACAAGTATTGATTTGGATTCTTTTTGTTGTTTCAACTCTTATTATCTAATTTTCAAAAGAATAAAATTTTGCTAAATAACTAAATAAATATGGATTTGTCACACGATTTTATTATGGTAACAAGATGAAATTAAAATTATAATGATAAAAACATTAAAAAAGTAAATATTTCATTGATGTAAATTCTAGACATTTAGTTGGTACTATGAGAAAACTTTATTCGGATATTATTAACTTATTTCTTGAAATTAATTATGGGTTTTGGAACTTAAATTCAAAATTAGATAGCATACAGCATATGAACATTTTTTAAAGGCTCAAAATATTTTATTATGATATGTTAGATATGTTTTATTAATATTTTATTTTAAATATTTAATATAGTTGCGGTTATCTATAATTAAATATAACGTAATCAGTTGCTATAAATTATTATTATATAATTTATTAACATTATAAATTAAATATCGAGACGCACAGGTTCATATCCTGTTAAATGACAGAATTTTAAGTGTATTTTTTTTTTTAAATTTCATATTTTAATGTGGAAAACATTAATAAATTTTAAACTTCCGCATTGTTTAGATATATTTGAATGTTGTAACCACGTCACCCTGTCCTGATTGTGAATTGAAAAGACGAGAAAATTATAAAATTATTCAATCGCTTTAAATTAAATATTTACCTCTACACTCTTCTTCGCCGTCACCTTCAAAACCTCGATTACATTTGCAAATAAAATGAGCAGGAAGGTTGCAGCATTCGGCGTTTTGTACGCAGCGTGATGCTATTGCTGGATCTTCACACTCATTTATATCTGTAATGAAATACAATGATAGATATCATAAAGCATAGAAACTATGAAATTACCAAAGTTATAAATTTTGTATACACAAAATTATTTATTACCTTTACAAGTGAAACCATCGCCTTCATAGCCAGGGAAACATGAGCATTGAAAGCTACCGACTGTATTTGTACAGTGAGCAAATACGTCACACGGCCTGTCTTTGCATTCATTTATATCTGCAACGTAATTTTTTTTAATTGTTAATCGAAACTTTTATTATTATTAATATTAACATTCTTGAAGAAAATTTTATATATTTACCTGCTTCCTGACAGTTACAACCACCGAAACCATCATTACAATGGCACACACCATTAAGACAAGCACCATTTATACACTGCGCCCCATCTTCTTTGGTACAATCATCTAAAATATTAATAAAGTAATTTTAGGATCAATTTCATGTGTAATTTCACTCATCACTTTGTTCATGTTATAACATTTTTAATTGTTTTTATTGTAACATTTTTAAACTCACCTGTACATTTTAATTCTGACTTGAGTTCGTCGGAGGCCTTATAACAATCCGGCACACCGTCGCATAATTTAGATAATTCATATAATTGTAATATTTGTGTTGATTCGTTTACTTGACAGCCAAAATAGCCGTCTTCTAAATTTAAGAAAAATACTTCTCGTTTTATTCCTAAACCTATTCCATACTGGCTTTGTGTCGCTACCTGTGGAGCAGATATTACCTTTACTCATGCATTAATAAAAACTCATAAAATATAACAATAATGATAATAAATAATAATCTGTTATCAAACGTGTCTATACGTACATATCTACCTAAAAACTTATCTAATTGTACGAGTACATAATAATATATATACAATAAAATTATGTATATATATATATATATATATATATATATATATATATATATATATATATATATAATTTCATTGTCGTTTTATTTTGTTAATTCTTTATCATTCATTTTAATATTGCACAATTTTTAACTAAGAAATTATTTTGTTTAATTCCGCTAACATTTGAAAATTGACTACTATAGAGGCTCTATGACCTTCTCTATTAATCATCAACCTTTGACCATTAGTCTATCTACACTCATGTTGCAACATATGTTTCACCTCTTAACAAAGTATCATCAGACAACTTTACCTCATCAGGTCATAGAACTTCTATTAGTAGGTAGGTAGGTAGGTAGTAGGTAGTAATAGGATCTTCCATAAAATAAATCCCTATTCAATAAAAGCTCTTATCACAGTAGTAACCAATTAAACTAAAATTACTGTTACATTAAAAACTATTAAAATATGACCTTATCACATAACATATAAAAACAGCAGCAATTAATTACTAGTAGCAATTTAAATGGATGTACAGTAACAATAATAATACGATAGGTAAAAGTACCTTACTACTTGCAATTATTATTCATTTTACCTATAATATTGGTCGTATTACAATTTTGCAGTAAATGGCATTTACCAATATACATATACTAATACATTATTGTTAAAATTTCGTAAATATACATTTTATTTTAATGTAATAACGACCGGAATAACTTACGTGTATTATAGTTGAGAATTTTCGACTAGTTTTGGAATTATTCAAGACATTAGTAATGTGTGGCCTAGGTACAGTCTTGCTCGCACTCACGTCACATTATTACATTAACATATATTAATATTATTTACTATCGTACAATAATAATCTCATTAACTCCTGTTTTGCTTATTTAGTTACTAGCAATCAAATTGCTACAATGTTGCATAGTCTCTATTAATTAAGTACTCACATGTGTCGTTGTTATTAGGAGCGTCCAAACCACAAGCGGTAAGGTGTCTATATGCATGGTCTCTGTAACAAATGAAATATATTATCAATAACACATCTATTTTTGGTAATAAACAAAACATAAATAAAAAAGAATGAATCGTGAAGTGTGTTGCTATCACAAAACTTGGGAAAAATTTGAGGAAGATTTTTATGAAGAGAAAAATTGAAAACATTGTCCGGATTTATCTAAAACTCAATTTTTTGGCAATGGATGGAATACTATGGGTATCACAGTTTATTCTGTGATGTACGTGCTGCTATTCATATCTTGGGACGGTGGTTTGTTTCTATCAAATAGGTTTACCATTCTAAACAGGTATTATAAAAAAGTACAATTACAGAGGGACATTCATTCCATCTGTCTCCAAAAACTAAAATGACCGTTGCAGCATCGATTAAATTTAAGGAATATAGAACATAGAGATAAATAAAAAAAACATTCATATATTATATTAAAAGTATCTGTCTACATTATACACGCGCACAAAGCAAGTTATTTTTGTTTCCTTTTGTTTCGCCAGTTCGGAAAGTAAATTCAACTGAAAATAACTGACGAGAAACTCTATTGTTACTCTTACATCCTATTTATTGTAAATTTAAACAGCAGAGGTACAGCCAAATGTAATAATATATTGTTTATAACTAACTCTGTATGATATTACCGACGTAAAATAAGATCCAATCTACATATAAAAAATATATGACAGGCTTCTTAGTGTAACATTCTAACATTATTTAATTATTATATATTGCGAAGATTGATAGATGTTTTTTAATCTTCATTTATTTATTGATATATCAACAGTGTTACATACAGTTTGTCATAATATAACACTCTTTCATGCAAAAACTACTAAAATGGATTTGAAGAAAATTTGATATACAAGTAGGTTATATCATATCCTAACTTAACACATACTTGTAAGTATAGGTACTTAAGATATTTTATGTACTAAATCACATGACTAAAGACGCGAGATACAGCTAATATTTTATATACCCATATTTTGTATTATAAATAGTGTTGTTTATATCTATAGATAATAGTTTATTTATTTATAAAACCCAATACCACTAGGTTATTCTTGATGAGTATTTGCTATATCTCCGTGTCCAACAATCTCGCTAACATAAGTAACAAATCGAAATACGATTATAAAAATATATAAGTACAGCTTATTAGCAACAATATGCAAAGGCAAGTACAAACAACTTTGTACAGAATCTTACTCTAGCAAAACAAGATTTTATATCATACACCCATTAAATGATGTCTATGTCGCTCTCTTTCTCTACAAACGCTTATATAACAACAGAATTTTTCAATTTAGTATATGAATTGTTTGCACGAGTAAATAGGTATAAAAATAATACAGTTATTTATAATACAATACCAAAAAGGGCACGCTTTATTTTTTTTTAAACGCAAACACACAACCTCTATCAAGAAGTGAATTTATGATTTAAATTTGTAATATTGAATCATAGAGTGCATATTAAAATAAGTATAACTACAATATTCTCAGGTGAATGTCTCAATACAATCTGCAAATAACGTTTCCGTTTATAAATAATGACCAATGCGACAACGGCGAAGGCTGCTGCTCGCACGAGGTCACGTAACTGTGAGCGGAGTCGGTAAATTTTGGTCACTATCTTATTAAATCATATCCAATCAGCAATAATCATTTGTAACACAAATGTGATATAATATTGTTATGTTAGTGCCTTTTATAGTTATTAATATTAAAAATATACGTTGCCATTTCTAAGGACTAAGGTGTTCTGGTTCAGTACCCTTCACCCTTTGTAACCTAAACGTAATCACGCAAACGCAAATGCTTTGTGACAGAAATACAAATGGGACAAAGGTAGTCATGCAAAGGACATTTATACAAAGTATCCCTCTGAAAAATTGCGTATATGTATTAATTTTTTTATTTAATATATTATTAAATTACCCTTTGGACAATATCTAACTATAAAATTAAAACCTTTCTTATTATCAAAAAAGATTACATAAAATAGCTGGAAAAACAGTTGAATCAGATACAAAAAAAAAAAAAAACAGAATAGCTATAATCAGCGGTTTTGTCGCTACATGATTAATTTTTCCAGAAAACGTAGAGATACAGAATATATATATTTGATACAGGTCATTCTTTTTGCATATAACTCTAAAATTATTCCTCTAATTTCTGTGAAGGAAGCCTGAGACTGCTATTACTTAATAATTGAATATCTTACACAACTACTTGTATAACAATATAATGCAAATTACAACTCTAATGTCTATATTAATATTATTAATTATTCAACGGATAATTTAATTACATAAATAATACAATTGGTTTTAAGCAGACATAGGAATATAATAAAACTAAAAAAAGTTAAAAGATAGTCAAATAACAATTCGTGTGACTATTTACGTGAATCTTCATTGCATGATAATTTTTTTTATCGACGCCTACATAACTGGCATATTCATTAATGTTCATAACTGTGTGCTTCTCATTATTATTTTTTATTATTACTAATTACTACCTATTTAAACAAACTGTACCTAAAGTTATCATCAATATGAATTTAATAAGCTTAAAAACATATTAGCTACTGTAAAACCCTGACTGTTTTTTGTTTTCATTATTAGGTTATTTGAAGGTATCCATATTTTGTAGTAATATGCCACCGAAATTGTATTATGAGCATAGTGTGCCTATTTTCAATAGGTTTTTATTAGTTATTAATTAGTTTAAAGATGAAAAATTAATCATTTCCTATTTTGTTTTCCTACTTTTAGAGATAATATCTTTTAAATTTAAATAAAACTAACGTTTTACCTTATTCAATAAAAAAATACTCCGTAATTAAATAACCTTATACAGTTAGTGGTTCTTAGTAAAATCATTCCCTATTTCCCTTCCCTTTGGGATAAAAAAGAATAGTATACTGAGTAGTATACTCAGTAAAAAATAAAAATTTTTAGAAAGAGTTTTTCTTCGTGACTGAGTCACTGAATTTAAACATTACATTGACATGATATTTGATCGTGTCTTACGAGTATACTCAATAAATTAGCATTACCATAAACACTGTAAATTGAATGCGATTTCTAAATAAAATGTATTACTAACTAGCTTACAGAAAACATCATCTCCCATTTATGGTAAATAACTTTCTGTTTATTGATCGAATTCTTGGATTCCCAAATTACAAAAATCACCTGCATACAACAATACGAACCGGACAAAGTTGATATAACTAATGATAAACTAAACAGCCTAAAAAAGCTTGAACTTACACATAATATTATCTATTGTAATTATAAATTGTAATTAATTATTAGAAAATACAATAAGGAGTTTTGTAAAATTTTTTAATGTTCCATTTTTTACGATAAGGTCATTTAATTTCATAGAATTAGAACGTAGAAAGAGGACCACAAATACTATTCTTAATCTATGGCGCAAAACATATCTCTGTGATATATTTAATTCTTTATTATATTATTATATTCTATATTATATAGTGCATGAAGTATTAAACACAAGTCAAAATTTAGTTAAGTAAACCTCACTTTGACTAACTTACATATTAATTACATCACGTTTTTTTAAACCAAAATAATGCGCGCAATTATTTTCAATGTTGCAAGTAAATTGATTAAAAAATTTCTAAATAATTTAATTTATTTATTCGAATTTGTAATTACTTTTTATAATATATATACAATTATGTGTGTGTGTGTGTTAATACATACATATTATTTAGTAATTAATATACATGTATTTATTAAGTTACACTTCCAGATATTCCTTATTACACTTGTTTTAACAAGGGAAATACTATTTTATCCCTAATATCAGATATGTTTAAAAGTAAACAGTGAAGATGAGTACGTATTATTAAGAATCATTATGCTATATTTAACTCATTCTTTCAAATTTATTCGTATTTTATGATGTTATTATTGTTTAATTTAACCTTACAATATAAATTTTTTCCAAATATCTAGTCATCGTATCAGTCATTAACCCGCAATTAGATTTGAAAACAATGGTAATGTTTTGAGAGGAACGTTGCTACCCATTTCTAGACCATTAAGTACCCTCGGTCACCTCCTATGATACCCACGGGAAAAAAAGGGATGGCCTATTCTATATCGGGACCACGCAACAAAATATCTAGTAATAACTATATATTTTAGTATCCTAATTTACACACATATGGATACAAAATTGACCTGCTTTTTGTAGGAGTGGGCGAAATATAGTAATATCTATACATTGTACATGATATATAGAGTTCTGCTTTTAATATTTCAAATCAGGAAAATAAAAGCTACTATAATTGATATCACCAAAAAATGGACAATAATATTATCATTATCAAAAATAGTACATACTTCATATTATATCATAAGAGCTCTAATATATTATGAGTTACGCTTTCAGATATTCCTTATCTAGTATCTCATAATACAGAACATCCTAGCTAAAGAATCAGAAAATATAACGTAATTGTGTGATGTATATTTATGGTGAAATCAAAGTTATTAATATCCACTAAGAATTTAAGAATAAATATGCATGACTGCAATATTTTTTAAATTATCTAAAAAAATAATATAAACACGAGGAAACTTTCTTCATTTACGTATTTGACTGACATATTTTAAAAACCCACTTTGTACTAACCATTTAAAACAAATAATTAGTCATAACATATACAGAGAAAGAGAAAGTATTTACGTTCTTGAGAACAAAAAAAGAATAAAAACTAATATATAAGTACCAAAAGTGAGTGAAAATTATCCGCATTCGATATCATTCATCATTTATATGTTTGATTGATATTACGTCATGAAATTAAGTTACAAATAAACCTGCGGATTCGCGTGTATGAATGCGGTGTCACGTTAAGCGTAAAATGCGTCCGTGCGAGTTTGCTTGCACCACTACCATTCACTTTCACATGACAGTGGAGCCAGTGATCGCTGCGTTGGCGCTGCCCTCCTACAA